TATTATATGAATCTGTTGATTATTTAATAATATTAACTTTTAGTGATTAAAAGCATGATCATCACCCCTTTTCAGTATAAAGAGGATACAGAAAACATTTTCATAGGACTTGAGTGACAAAGGGCGAAAAAATGCAAAAATCGTATTTTGCGAGGCCGAAATCGGCGCAAGTCGAGTCAAATATAACTTGGCATGTTGGCACGTAGAGTGAAGTGCAGGCAGTCGAGGCATAGTCAAAACCAAAAGTACAAAGTGGCCAGCGCTAGCGTTGCGTCGCCGAACAACTTTTTTGTTCGATTCGCTGCCAAGAATAACACCTTCATTGGCCGATAAAGTGGGCGAATAAGCTTCGAAAATCACATGGCCATTATGACATCAGACGATCTCGCGTCGGCAGTCCGTCGATTATCGCGTTCCGTAAATAATTTCGCCGCAGCAGGCGCGTGCGTGCCCATTCCATGCACGCTCCATTCATTTGCTTTAATATGAATTAGAGCCGGGCGAGCGAAGATCAAAAGAATCGACGTTTGCAAAGCACAGCTGATTTTCGCTCGAGCTTGCTTTTATATTGTGTCGTTCAATGAAAATTTATTCGGCACGGAATTAATTGAGTAATTAATTAGCGAGAGCGCTCTCGCGTCTGCTTGAGAGGCCACGAGGGACCGGGTGGGTCCGCCACCCGAGATCAGGCTAAAAATAAATCTGCGAGTAAATCACCCAACTGGCTAACTGCTGCTATAATACGCACTCTCTTATTTAATTGCGTCACGGACGCCGCCGCGCTATCAAAATCGGCTCCGATGTGGCCGGGAATTGTAAACAATTAACGCGCGGGATTTAGCTGGTCCGTTCCCGAGAGCGAAATTTATCGCCCTTTTGTTTTGCTGCCGCCAGTTTAGTCTACCTTTGAAACGACCGACATTTCGCCCCTGGAGGTCAAATTATTCAACCCCGTCCCGTGCTGGAAAAGACTCGTAAGGGCGCGGGGGCAGGTTACATGTTTTGAACCCGATTGGGCGCATCGCGCAGTTTCGGCAGCAAACAAGGTCGCCGCGCTCGCCCAGTGTGAAGTGTTTTGTGTGTGGTGGTATATTGGAGTATGTTGACCTAGATTGGCACAGGTACAGCGCGCGGAGCAGACCCCTCTAGCGCGCGTTGGATTGTCACCACCGCCGCCGAGGCTGGCTACCTACTTCTCTCGCCACTGTTATTGTGGGGTATCTCTTTTAAATTTTAGTGACTCACGTTAAATGAGGAACAACAACCCTTAAACGCGCCAGAAATATAGCCAACTAAACAACATCGCCGGCGTCGATAAAAAAAAACAATCAAAGCGTTCGCGGAAAACGTAAATCCGAAACAGACAATTTCGACTGACTTGTGACCTCAGTTTCTGCAAATAAAATCAGGAATTGCTTGTATCATTTTATTTCATTTCAGTTCTAGCCACGTACAAAGTTGCCTCGAGTTACAAAGTATCAAAGTTCGTAGAGCAATAAATTCACATAATATTTGGTGAACTAGAAAGTTGTGTGAGCTATTAAGCTTTAAATTATAATTTTTTTTAATAAATTAGAGAGATTAGAACTCGACTGACCAGATCAATAATTCACAAATTCATGGCTCCATGTTTTCTTGCTTCTCTGGTTCCTCAGGTTCAGTTGGAATTACTGGAGCTACAGCAGCTATTGGAGTGGAAACCGTAGGAGACGGAGTGTTCTCTTCAGGTTTGTCTTCAGCAGGAGGAACAACGACAACCTCAACAGGTGTTTTGGCCTCTGGTTCAATAGGCTTGTCCTCCTCCTCTTCGACCGGAGTGGTGTCTCCGGCGCCAATCTTGCTGCTGGAGCTGCTTGGCTGGAGTTCAGACCTCTCTGTATTGTCCAACTGAAGACACACAGGTCTGCAGTTGGGAGGTGGCAGCCTTGTGTAGTCCTGCTCAATGCGAACTTTACGCACAATGGACAGATTCTGGCGGGCAATGTTGGCCCAGTTGGGCAGAGATCCCTGGCTGAGAGGAGATTTGGAGCACTGCAGCAGGAACTCCCTACTGTAAACAAGTCTGGCGGGACAGGCAGGCAAATCTTCTTCTTCCTCCTTAGCATGCACAAATGAAGTGCTCAGAGTGCTGGATTGAGGCTTCTCCTCGGAAGGGCTATTTTCGGGGTCAGAGAGAATTTCCCCTTCGTCACCAACCTTTCTGGGCCACTTGTTCTTTGAGAAGTACTCGTCCAACACCAGTTTGGCTTCGGACACAAGTTTAGGATCAGCACCAGTGATCTTGATGGGGTTGGCACCTACATTCACCGTGTACTTGTACTCACCAGCCAGCTGACTGTTGGGAGTGGCCGGACGTTTGTCCAGAATCATATCTTCAACCGACAAACTTGTTGGACGGTCAGGACTGGCGTTTCTACGAATGGTCTCTTCAATCAGCCGTCTGGCGTGTTCAATGTTGTCCTCGTTTGGTCCTGTGATCTGGACAAGTCTCTCCTTGGCACCTGGGTTGACCCTCTCAAACGAGATGATGGTCTCGCTCAACTCCTCTATCATGTGCACCCTGCGGCCTTTGATGCCCATCACCTTGCCAGAGTCCGAGTTGCGAATGACAACTTCGTCCTTGAGGAAGTTCTTTCCAGTCACCTTGGTGGCGCCAGCGTATTTGCCAGAGTTCTTGACTAGTTCAGCAGACTCAAAGGACAAGGCTGGCGGCTGTGTAGGGGAAATGAGATGTGAAGAGACAGGGGCGGCCAGAATGTCACTGGACGGAATCAGATCTTGCTCGCTTTTGCCGAATTTCTCCTGAGAAACAAATAAGGAGGGGGGAATGTAAACTAATTTAACTTAAAAGAACACTAAGATGAAGATCATGATGAGTGATTGCTGAAATTATCTTTAATAATATTTGATATATATAAGATAGTTGCAATCAAAGATTTATTTATTGAAATTTAACTCTAAAATCTGCAAGATTATCAAAAATGATGAAATGGTAACAAATTTAAATCAACATGAAAAACTAAAATAATTATGGTATTTTCTTTGGATAAATTAAATTTAAAACACCATAAAAATAATTTCATCAATAAACTAAATCCATTCCATTATTGCATTGCTTCCAAATTAATCATTTTAATATTTAATATCAATTTTTTTACTTTTTTTCACAAAATATTATTTTTAAAGAAAAGTTAACAATTCGTTTTAATTTCATTAAAAGATTACTTGACTTGATATTATTTTTAATGAAGCAGTAAAACAAATTGAAAATCATTTTTGTTAAATACAGTGACAATGGAAAAATTATAAAAATAATAATTCCCAACCTGGTAGTATTCAGCACTGTCATCAGTGAACATCCAGTGCATGGCCCTTAGTTCGATCAGCTCCAGCAAATGAAGTCTAGTCAGGATGTCGAGCTGGTCGTTGTTTGCAAAATTCCTCAGGGCTATGAAGCTCCTGTCCAGTTGGTCGCCATAGATACTCTCGAGCTGCTGGCCATTGAGTTTCAGGTGTGAAGCCATAAGGCTGATGTCCTGCCGGACGTTCTCCTCCTTGTTGGTCATGCGGTCCAGGACGACGTCGACCAACTTCATGACGTCGTCGTAACTCTCGCACGTTGACTTTCGCAGGTTGGTTTTCAGCGGCCGCGGCTTCTCAACTTTCTTCGTCGTCCTTGTAGATGGAAGTCTGGCAGCTCCGATCGAAGACATTTTTCACGCGATTCGCTTTCTGCAATATTCACATTTTGCAAATTAGAAACGCAAGTTTAGCTACGTAAAGCAAAGTGACTTTCCATTCTAGCAAACTGCAGGCCCCGCGGGTGCAAAGGGCCTCTGGCCGCTCCTCCGTCTCTGCCGTCAAATTCACGGACGAGACCCCAAGCTTGCCACGGGGCCCAAAATTTTACTTTTTGCACTGAATTTAATTATTTTAATTTCCATCACCTTTTTCCGTTTGAAAATGCCAGCTTATAATTTGTTGTAAATGATAAAATAAATTGAAGGCGATATAAATTAAAAAATTATCAGAAATCAAAGTAACTGTCTATAACTACGAAAGCAGGAAATGAAAGCTAATTTAAATTCAAATGAGAGAAGAAGAGAGGATTTCAATTAGTCAGTTCGTTGAACCATTCTGATCCAAATACGGCGAGTTTTAGTTGCGAGTATAGACCGTTTAAAAAAATACATTATTTTAATACTTTAATTTTTTTACGTTTAAGAGACGATGTGAACCAAAGAATATTGATTCCCATTCAAGTTGGAAGCAGCCGGAAGCCAGTTTTAATTCACTTAACATATTATCGTAAATTTATAACATAAACTTTTACATAATCCATCCACCTCAAAGGCAAGAACGGCATCTAATAATTTTAATTTCCTTAAGCTGTTTACAATTAAATATAAAATTATCTGCTGAATTTTTTCTTTTGCAAAGTAAACAATTACAAAAACTTTGCTTTATCTGAGAAACTCTCTTTTCTTTACAAATGCCATGGAGCTTTGAATAATTTAGATCAAAATGAGCAGATTTGCGTAAACAGTCGTCTGTGTGCTAATTCAGCGCGCAAAAATGTTTGAAAAATTAATGCGTATTGATTGCTCTCTGGCATGCAGTCGACTCGAATGGACCGACGTTCCAAGTGCAGCCTTTCGCGCCGGTCGGTGCGTGCGACCCCTGAGTGATATTTTATGATAAATTTCCCCCCGCGAGCCCAAATTTAGGTCGGTTTCTCGCAAAACAAAGGGATATCGGCCCAAATATACATTGACCCATTCAACTGACGTCACAATTCAGTTATTTTGGGCGGAGTTGTCACAAATAGTGGGTTTGGCACTCGGCAAAATTTCCATTGTACATATGGAGAAAACCGAGGCATGCGAATTTCGATCAATTTTTTTGTGAGTGCCGACGAGAACGGGCACCCACCGGCGGCCAACTCTCACCAACATGCAAAGGTCAAAAGTCAAAAGTGGCCAAATTTTGGCGCAACATACCTTCAGACGACGAATAATCCGCTAAAACTTAAGAAAAACTGAAGACCGTCCGCACTTCGCCCATTTTACGGGGTTCCACTCTTACGTCACAGTAGTAGGGGAAAGGCTCGCTGGCTGGCTCCTGTTCCAGCGGAGCGCCTGCAAAATTCAATGATGATTTCGCGGGCGAGTCTACGGCCGACTGCAGAGTAGCACGTTTTGGGTTACACGTCCGCCATCTTTGAGTTGTTGTTACGAAATTTTCTCCTGCGGCAACCTGCGCATATTCATACGTTAGCGCCAGCGGCCGTAAAGTGAACCTGTTTGGGCTTGAAAAGGGGGGCGTGGCACGTGTCAGAAAAGAAAATAAGGCGCCGGCATGGACGTGGAAATGACCGAGGTTCGTCATGGGAAAAATCCGAGAAAAACGGTGGATTTTCCTAAGAGGGAAATCAGCGAATATGGGGTGAAGGCTCTAGTTGACGGTGGGTCGATAACCCCGAAGCAGTCGCCCTGCCATTACGATCACCAGCTTAGAATAACACGGTTGGTATGATTCAACCATTCAACCCCTCTACGCAACTTGATTAAACTAAACTTAAATTATGTACTTTAAATTAAGTGAAATAGAACTTTCGTATTTCTGTCACATGTAAAAAATTGATTTTTATCTTTTTAGTTGAGTCGAAGTTGTACATAAGTACATAATATGTTCATACTCAAATCAGAAATGATTTTGAAAATAAATAACATTACGTAACTTTTATGTCAACTAAACCTGTATTAATTAGTTTATCATGTATTTAATCATATTATTTTAATAAATATGTATAAATTGTTCTTCTTAATTCAAGTTTTATGAACAAAGCATTCTCAAAATTACAATAGAATAAATATGTTTGCTATTTAATTTTTAATTTTATTTTCCTCGTCCAGTACGCCTTAATTTTTTTTAAACAAAAATTTAAAATTAATATTTAAAATATTTCAGAGCGTTGGTTTCAACAAGCATTGCTGCCTATGATAAGTCAGCACACAGTGTTGAAAGACCCATGCAGTGCCTGGAGGCCCTTCCGTCCACAGGTGTTCCAAGCCTCCTATGGACCAAACACCTCTCTTCTGAACTCACAAAATTCCACTCGAACTGCAGCTCAGACAAACTTATGTTGGACCGCGTCACAGAAAACGTGAAACTGAATCATCTGGATGGCAAAGTGAATCTCCTCAGTTTTGATCCTTTCTCTGTTAACAATGATCATTCATTCTTCAACTTCATGTAAATTTTAAAAAATACGTGTAGTCCGTTGAATATTAATTTCCTTTAAAGTTATTTGGAAGGTTTTGCCAATTCGGCACAGTACTTGGACGGAATATTCAGGAGGATGCCAAGGAAAGGACTTGTGGCCATCTCGACTGTGGACGACCCAGCACTGTCATGTAAAACTCCAGAAGTTGCCCAGCGTCTTTATGGTGGATTGACAGGAAAGACACTGTACTATAAAGAACTGGGCGCTAGATTGATTTTGTCTGCTGTTGCCAGGTAACTTTACATTCTTATTCAAATATTTTTTACGATATCCCTTCACATATAACTGAATTAAAGACTGATATTCCATTAAATTAATAGATCTGCTGCTCGAGCTAACAGAGGAATCAAAGTTTTGTGGTGCTACTGCTTCAAATCCTGCCTCTCTATGCTGGTTCAGGTCGACAAGGGTCCTGCTAAAGCTAACGAGTGTTTGAAAAATGTCAGTCCTTTGATCCACTGCAATATTTGCGAGGAGCGAGTTTTCTACCCCAACTCGATCTACGTCATTGGTAATATTTAGCAAATTGCATAAAATATTACTCTAAAATAACGTTTTTTTTATAGAAAATCCTTACAGTCTGTTGCCATGCTCTTGCAATTCAAAAGTTCCTGGCAAGACTGCTATCAGCATTGGCCCGGTTTGGAGTGGTGAACTCAATGACCCGAGTTTCATTAATAAAATGATCTCTGAGTCGAGCAGTTTGCCATGGAACTCTGAAATCAGTGAAGTCTTGAATCAGCTTTTAGAGGAGGGTGTGTGCTCTTCAGCAAATCCCACTCTAGAGGCTGTTGAGGTGCCACCAGAAAACGGAGAGGGGGTCATCCAGGATCTACCAAAGAAGAAGGTTCGCCGCGAAATCCAGCTCGAGAACAACATTGCTCCTCCCTTTTACTTCAACCTGCACACCAATCGACCTAAAGACTCAAAAATGGTTAAGGCTGACAAAGTTGTTACATTTTTGCGCAACACTGGCTTCCGCGCCAGCAGGACACACTTTGATCGCGAGGCAGTCAAAACAAATGCTTCGGTAGAAGAACTCTTGAAAATTATAAGGACTGGAAGTCACACAGTGCATGAGTGAGTCTTTTCTCACATTTTTACATCCTTTGTATCAAATTGCTATGAAACAAGAAATAAATCCATGCTACAGATTACGTGTAGCTAAATTCTTGAACACAAATAATGTCTCAATCATTAACACCTGATAACTTATGAGTTTTGTTTTTTATTATAAAACTTTGCCGACTTATTATGAAATTTAAACTTAACAGCCTTAATTCAATGCAACAAGAAAAGTAAATATTTTTGACGCAAACCATATCAATTGGGTTGGGCACTTTGATAAGAATAGTGTTGCAATTGCTGAAATCTATCTGCGGTTTTCCCATTAATGTGGATTAGCCAACAATATATAGGTCTATTAATATCTGTTTTAAAATAAAATTACGGGGGTAGAATGTGGATTAGTGTGAGATTATACTCGACAAAGGATATGAGAACAAGTGCTAATTTGTTTTTGACGTAAATCAAGCCAGTGTGTCGACAGCAACTTGCTCAGTCTGCGACATGTGAAGTGATATCAGCCCAGCCGATTCTCCTACACAAAATGTTAACCCGCACATACTTCAGCGCTTATCATCTCCTTAGCAAAAATCAAGCTTTAGAGTGCAGTTGAGTTGTGGCGAAGCACTTGCGAACAATGGACTTGAATGACTTGATTCCAAAATGGTTTGTCACAAATTATTTAAAAAAAAAAAAATTATTGAAATTACTTAAAAATATTTTTTGAAAACTGATTTAAAATTAAAAACTTGAGTAATTTTAACTTCATTGTATTTTTTTAGCGCCTCTGAAAATGGAGCAGAGCAGGATAAGGCAGTTAAAATTCCAAATGGTCACCCACCTTTAAGTAGTAAGCGAAGCGTTTACTTGAGGAGTCCACTTTCTCTGACAAATCTTGCAATGGATATTGTTTTGAAAAATAGAGATTTTTATGAAAATGAATACGAAAATTTCAAGGGGTTTGAATTATTAGGTGAGAAAATTTGTAACTAAATTACTGTCTTTTGTTTTAATTTTATTTGAAGCTCCGTTCGTTCTTCAAACGCTGATTGAGTACATTAACGCCAGAATAGATCGTTTCTTAACGGCAAAGTTTACCAAGATGCTCTTGAATGAAAATACTCACTTTGCATGCATTGCAAATGTTGACGAGAAGCACAGAGAGGAAGTCTATAAATATATGATCAGACATTGCGGTCCGCGCTTGAAAATAATAGAAAACCTCTGGCTGGACTCTAATTTAAAAGTGTCAGTGTGTGACCTTCTCAAGTTTAATAATTTAGTAAAACTTGAGCTACTACAACTAGAGTGCGACGACGAGATTCTAAAAACCATCAGCATCAGTTTTCCGGAGCTGAGGTACTATCATTAATTACTATATTACAAAGAAAGAAAACCAAGTTTGTACCAAACAAGGTCTCTGGCCGTGACGTTTAGAGAAGATGATGTTTCTGAGGAAGGATTAGCTTTTCTGCGAAATCTGGAAGTGCTTGAAAAACTAGCCTACCGGGTGGATGAAAATGATCACACGGATTACTTGCGAATGCTTCAGAGGCTTATGAAAGACTTTGAACTGAATTGGGAGATTAAAACATTTTATGTGAGTGGTATTAGAAGAAAAGTTTCTGTGGAAGAGGATAATAGAAGCAGTAGCTCGGACAAAAAACCAGTTGCTGGCCGAATCGGTTCGTACATTAAGAAAAAATTTGTGCGAGCATTTTCAAAGGAAGGCGGGATGTGAATAGAAAAGCCATTTAATTATCTGTGATCCAGATTTTAGATAATGCCATTTTAATCCCTCTAAAAGAGCAGTACAGTCAAATGAGTATTTATGATATGGCTCCACTACATAATCTTTCAATTTAATTCCTTAAAATTTGTGTACAATATTAATATTTTACTGCCAAACATCAAACACTTTGTGCTCATTTTTGTGTTGTGCATGAAATATCTCATTGCCTTACAGTTATTACATTTATTAAAGAGATTCTCAAAATTTAACTTGAATAAAGATTGTGAGTACAATAAACTATTTTCTTTTGATAATATTTTATCATAATGCAAGAGTATTTTAACATTTATCCACTTTTGCAAAGCAGTTAACAATTCTAAATTAGGAAACGTGCAATACATATTTTCCAGTAAACATTAATTAGAGGAACATTAAATTTAAACACCAACATGCAACACTACAAGATTTTAAAAAAAAGTTAAATGCAAATAATGACTATTATGCTGTTTCAGTTTTTTTATTAATTCAATATCAACAGTTACTTTTCAATTTCATTGAACATTGATTATATTTCCATCAATACCAATGAACGAAGCATTAACATTAAAATATAATAATTTAATATCAACTGAAATTAAATTTCCTTCTCATAACCAATGTTCTATGAAATAAGATATTAAAACACTATTCAAAAATAAAAAATTTCTCAAAAAGACTAGAATATAAAATATGGCTTGATAAAACGACTAGATACATTAAAAATTCATGCTATGAAAATGAGATGTCAAAAAACCCGAAATCCATAATCTCTCGTTCAAGCTGAGTTGAGGTTAGCTGAGTTTCGTGCCCCCATACCACGACCTAGCAGAAGTTAAACAAAGGTTGTGAGAAGGAGACAAACAACCATCCGTTTAAATATATGACAGTAATTTTTGTTCTGCATGTATTGTGCCTTTGGTTTCATTTCTAAATGAACTCTTTGTGCAAGTATAATTTAGCAACGCAAATTTATAATTTACATTTTTAAATATGTATATAGATTGCTACTTTTTAAGATTAAGGGTCAAATTTTTAAACTTGTGATTCAAGAAGTGTTTTATATTTTTATACACACCATAAAGGCGGCTACCAAAGTTTTATGAAAATATAGATAAAATATGACCTCATCATGTATAATAGTATTTTAGAGATAAAAATAATGCCAATGATTGTGTGATTACTGAGCAATGCGAAGTCCAGAATATTGTTCCCATGATAAGTAACTTTTATAGATATGATTCTGAAAATTCAAAGTCTGATTGGGAACTTCTTGTGTAGCCAGATATAGGGCCAATTGCAGAATCTGAATTTGCCGTTAAAGGATCAGGAAGTATCAAACCTGCTGGTTCCAGCTGCCCTGGAGCCGAGTTTCCATGGTGAATGCGTCCCAGGATTAAATTGTTCCTCACTCCTCCAGCACCAAGACCGATTGGCTCATTCATTCCTTCAGCAGCAGAGGGTGCCGTTCCGTCAGTGCCCAGCTTCATAGCATCACGCTCTTGTAGTTTTATTTTTAATATCCTTATCTTTTCCTCTTTCTGTAAAATTTTTACTATTACAAGCAATATTGAAAACAATTATATACACATACGGTAGCAATAAGTTTTTGTAGTTCGTCATTTTCAGCAAGCAAACTGTGGTAACGGTCTTCATCTTCCTTCGAAACTCCAGCATCTGTGTTGTACTTGGCCTCCACTTTGTCCCTAGGGTGCTCAATTATTTCAGCAATCTATCAAGGTAAAATTAATGTTTGGAAAAATTTATTTCAGATGAAATGTGGTGCATACCTTTGGCACAAAAACTAGAGCCATCGACAAAAAGCAGCAAAATATGATGGCAAGTGCTTCAAATGCAAAGCTCGCGTCCTGTTGTGATGCAATGACCATGATGACAGGGGCGGTGATCAAGCAGAGTACAACCACATTGTAAATCGCCATTCCAACGTACCGTGAATCATTGATTTGCTTTACCTAAACAAGATAATTGTTCAAAAGTGTAATATAATAAAAAAATCAAATAATACTTTAATGCTCCTTGTTTCGTAGGCGAGGAAGAGTCCGAAAATGAGAATTAGTCCTTTGTATCCGCAGAGTATTCCTGATAATATGAAAAAAAAAAATTTGATAAAAAAAAGCTAGGTTGAATTTAATTGGTAATTACCAAGCCAAACAGCATTGTGCTGACTCTCGCAGTGTTCCAGTTCTGGTCTTATCTTGATATCGTCGTCAGTGGATGGAGGATCTTCCAGAGGGAAAACCTCAATGCTCCGTTGCAGGGGATCAATAATTTGCCAGCAGAGCATCAGTATGATATCTACGACAAATAAACCTCCAACCATCCAGTATAATTTCCAAGGTTCAACTTTTTTCTAAAAATAGGAGATAAATATTTTATAATATGTTATGGAAAGACATTTAGAATCAAACCATTCCATTTTGCTTTGACTTTGTGGTCAGTCGGTGGACCCTCCAGACTTTAGAAAACATTGCTCCGTATCCTAAGGTAAAGCCAAGTGTCAGCATCCATGCACGCGCCTGACACACAGCAGGGTAACCCTCAGCCTCTACAAATCTACCATCCAAACCTATAATATTTTTTTTTACAAATTTTGGAAAATTAACAATCAAAAACAGCTTACCAAGCAGAAAAACTGAGCCCAGGCAGAGGCAAACGCCTACAAGCATGATGGTATTGCAAACTGGATGTGATGTTTCGATAACACGACGATGGCGGTGCATGATATTGAACACAATCAGAGCAATAGCCCACAAAATTCCAACCACTGATACGGTCCCCATTGAAATGAAAAGACCAAGCGAGACAGTTCTTAAGACAGTTCTGACAATTGTCCGATCTTGAGGTATTTTTCCGCCTAGATAAGAGTTGGGATATTATAAAAATCTTTAGCAAAAATAATATAAACATACTAATCCATTTCTCCTTATTGTTCCACGTTAGATTATCACTTTGTGTGTCATAATAGCCTAACAAAACGTACTTCCCATCAGTCATTTGCTCGATCTGGGTTAGAGCAATACGGTCACCCTGAGAGCTGAAAGCCACATGACCCTAAAATGATTTCTGTTCTAACAAAAGTCTATAATTATAAAATTAATTAATACAGAAACTCCAAGAAACTGAGTGCTGTTAATAGCTGAATAAATGTCATCAGCAGTCTCCTTGTCCGTGTAAGTAAAATTCTTTAAGCTTTTGCCCACACGATCCAACTTTTCCATAGTTTTGTTGAATGCTGGAATTTCATTATATCAATAGTAAAAGTTTTTACAGGAAAATAATTCACCTAAAGCAACAGCCCAAACGGCATCATATGCCAAGGGAGCCTCTTGGTAGCCTTCTGGATAACGCATATTGTCGATATCATAATTTTCTTTTTTCAAAGCCTCATTCAGTCGCTCACGAAAATCGGCAGAGGTCTATTGGAGAAATTAATTATTTTAATGAGAAATTCAAACATATATTTGAATGAATACCATTCCAGACAGTGTTCTTTGATTGTTTTGATTCCACATTAAAGCCTCAGTTGTCAAGTGACCCTCGGCTGCAATTCTCATCTGCTCTTTTGTGCAATTTATTTTTTCTTTCTCCAGATTTTGCTCAAACCAATCATCCTCATACCAACCTGGGTAATTTACTTACAAATTAAGTTTCAAAATCCAATTTGTTAAAATTACCTATGAAGAACCAGACATATGACTTTCCATACAACTTGTGCTTGTACACTTCGCAGAGGACCCTTCTCGCAGCAACAACATAAAACAGTCCAACTATCACTCGAGCATCTTGACGCCTTAAATTTCGGACGGCGTCAGTAGGATCAGAAAGAAAACTTTGGCGGGTGACAATCTCTATTCCAGCCTCTTTGCATCTTGCTTCCAAGTCTTCAACAGTCTGTAAGCCAAATTTCGTGAAAATTCTTTAAACAATTTTTTATTCAAATTAAAACTTACTGAAATAAAAACTTCCTCAGCTTGTTGGAGAATTGCAACTCTGGACCAGCCAAATTTCTCCATCAACTTAATCCTAGTAGGGTTGTGCACCGTAGCTGAAGGGTGGGTGCGGAAAAGAGTAGGGAACCTGTTACGGTCCGACAGTGCAGGAGAGCTCGCACCATAACAGAGCTATAAAAGAGCAAAATGTATAAAAAAATTTAATTAATAAAAAATTGAAAATCGCACCACAACAAGATTCCACATTTTTGCAGCCTCTGCCACAGTTGTGCAAACTGTACTGCATCCAGCCAGCAACATAAGTTTTTGAGGTTTGTTGTACAAAAGGTTGTACATGACAGAAGCTCCCAATCCAGGTTCACACTAAAATCATTGTAATTAATTTTCATTTTAATTATATTTTATATTTTTACCTCGCTGTCATTCCAGTGCAATTTTAAATTCAACCCTGGTAATAAATCAGTCCTGTTGTTCACATCTTCAAGCGCCAATCTAGCAGCCGGCTGACAGGCCTGATAATTTTCAAAATTCCGTAATTATTACTCGTGTTCTTAACAAATGAGTTTTCTAATTACCTGTCCACCTTGCCAGCCTCCTTTGCCACCAATTGGGAAAATGCCAGCGATGTGCAACACGTTGTCATCTTTGGGTGAGAGTGCATTTGACACATGGGGTGGCCCGAAAACGGCCACGGCCAGTCCAACAGCGACGGCCAAAGACAAAAACAACTGAAACAAGGATATTTTCTCTCAGATTATAGAAATAATAAAATTTTTTAAATCGTGGAAAAAATCATTTTACTATTATCTGTGCATCCCGAACGGAGGGTAAATGAAAATGGTACCCAAAGGGGTGCGCAGCTCGAGCGCCGAGCCCTGGAGAACAGTTCAGAGAAAAATATTTCCGCATTCAGAGCTCGAATGGCTTAAAATTATCGCTGAAATTGTGAAATTAGTTGTCAAATTGCTTACCAAGTTGACTTTCATGCTGTTAGGCGGTGGGATTTGAGAAATTCCATCTCAAAATAGAGTATTGATTATGCAATTTCCAGGCCGCCTCCCATTTTTCATCAATCAAATATAAATCCGTGCGCGTGCGCCGCTGTTGCTTTTGCTTCCCCGAGGGTAGGCGCTGCTGGAACTGTTCGCCCTCAAGACGCGGCAACGGCACGCGCCTGGAAATACATTGAATACATGGATGAGAAAAAATATTATGGCAAAAAGGATTTTATTAATATTTATTCGATTTATTCTTCTTAATCGATATAAAAATTAGAAATTTTAAAAAGAGAAGAAAGGGTTTATGACTAAAAGATGTCTGCTAAAACGCTTGGTATCCGATATCAAAAAGAGAATCAGCCGCCGCGGTAAACCCACAAAATTATACAATTTTAATTTTTTTATCTACTTGAGCGAAAGGAAAATGCAAATTAGTAGGGGGTTGGAAGTTGCAATGTATTTTCCGCATAATTGGTTGCGCTCTTGTGATTTTGAAAATATTTTAATAATCCGTGTTGAAAATATGTAAAATATTTTAAACCGTTAGCATCAGGTTGGCATTGTATAATTATATATCTCGTATATTATAAAACTTTAAATTGTAAATAATTGAATCGAAAGATTCTATAATAAAAATAACTATTTATAACGCTAGAGCAAAATTCATTTTTTTTTTGCTTTATAAAAGATTATCTTAATTCAATATGATAAAATTGTCAGTTCACATTTTTGTTGTAGTTACTGGGAACTGAACCTTTATTCATTTGTATCTGATTAGAAAAAATACAGGATTTGCCTAGCATTGATGTGCGGATAAATTTGAGATGGCTTCTTCGCAGCTAGGAGAGGAGAGAAATTTATTATAATGCTTCTGTGTAAAAAAATAATGTGAAGGTCGCCTCTTACCTTTTCAGGATAGGCATATTTTACAATATTTGCCAGTGGCTCATATTTTGAAAAAAAAAATGCATTATCATTGAGGAGCTTTTATGGCTGAGGATAGCATTGTATTATCATATTTGTACAAATAGAATGAAAAATCCTCACTGAAAAGTGAAAAAAAATCTTTTTGCATGGTCACAGTTTTTCCGACTGATATGTACAAGCGAGCAGGAATCTGCAGTTACAACCGCAATTGTTGGTGTGAATTTATTTATTTATGTATATTTGTGTTTAGCATTCGAGCGATAATAAAGTCTAAAATCATTGTTCTAGTCCAAATTTAATTCGCTGGATTAAATTTGTAGTTTAATTAGTATTATATTATTGCAATAATAATAATAATAACAATACATCAGTTCAAATTTTCATTAGCCATCAATAAAGATAACCCAAAAGATCCACACGCCACAACAGAGTAAATTTGGATCGTTGCTAAAATTCATGATTGAATGAAAATTCTCTTGCACCAAATAATAGAGCTCGAGCAACAATTAATTAAATTCAGTTTCATTGTTTGTGACGCGCGGGCCTTGGGAAGTATCTATTGCAAATCTTTAACATTAATTTCTTAAATCAAATTTTGAATAACGAATGTCTAAAAAAAAAATTCAAAAATCATTAAAACATACATGACTAGATGAAAATGATTGTTGGATAGATAAAGCAAATGTCTTATCATCCTAGAAGTAAGAAAAAAAAATACTTTTCACGGCCGCAGGTTTGTAAGGTGCTAGGAGGAGGATAGACTGACAAATTATTGTCACATACTTTATTTATAATTATTAGGCATCATGGGACTGGCAGAGTTAGACCTACGCGATGTTGTGGTTATTTTGGTTGCTTTGCCGCTGATTTATCGCTTGGTGGTACCAATTTATGTGCACTTCATCTGGGTGATTTTGTGGAAGAAAAAGGACTTAGTCAAGGTCTATGGAAAATGGGCAGGTAAAAATACTGATTTCTTTAAGCACATGAAATGAAAAAAAAAATAATATTCTTTTTTCTTTTCAAATTAAGTTGTCACTGGCGGTTCAAGAGGCATTGGCAAAGGTTACTCTATAGAATTAGCAAAACGCGGCATGAACATTGTTTTGATCAGCCATGGGCTAGAAAATTTGAGGAAAGCTGCAAAGGAAATTGGTATGAAAGTTTAACTTTTTGGTCTGAAGTGTTATAAAGGAAATAATTAATTAAAAACAGAAGCTGAAACTGGCGTCGAGACGAAAATAATCTGCGCCGATTTTAGTCGCACTGAAAAGGAGTATAAAAAAATATTCTCAGTCATTGACGACCTAGATATTGGCATTCTTGGTAATTATTTAATTTTTTATATCGAAAAATATTTAGTCCTTCTTTTTTCATTTGTAGTCAATAATGTTGGAACAGCTGAAGGATTCCCGAATTATTTTGAGGAGATGCCTCGAGATAAAATGTGGGCTATAATGATGATAAACATGTGCGCAGCAGCGTCAATGACGCATTTTGTTTTGCACAAAATGATAAGGAAACGCAGGGGAATGATTGTTAACATGGTGTCTCTTACTACTTTAGGGGCAACTCCTTTTGCTTCCATATACGGAGCATCAAAAGTATGATTAATTTCCACTTTCCATATATGCAGGAAATAAATATATAAGAAAATCTTCAATTTTGAGGCTTTCATGAGGAGTTTCACTGAGGCTTTGATTTTTGAGTGCAAAGGGACCGGCGTGGAATTCCAGATTGTGTGCCCGGGATTTGTGGACACGGATATTGTTGAGAGCAATGCAAGATCTTACCTGCCATCAGTTTTCTTTCCTAAACCAGAAAATTTTGCTAAGAGTGCGACTGCAACTATTGGGAAGGTCGTCACAACGACTGGATGCTTTGCTCATGATTTGCAGGTAAGGGATATTTATAATTGAATAACAAAAATTAATAATTTTCACTGGTAGTTTACAACAGGAGAATACTTGCCAAGAAGTTGGAGGGCTTGGATTTGTTCAAAGTTTATCAATGTAAAAGATCGCAAATGCAAAAAATAGAAAAATTACGCTCCACTCTCAATGGCACCTTAAAAAAATATTATCTCTTGCGATAAAACTTTGTTCATTGTTACAAAAATATTATAATTAACATAATTTTGTTCTAATTAGTGAAAAAAATGTTGAAGAGTACGAGATTGGTATAAATTGCATTATTATGGTATTAATTTTGATTGAACATTTTTTAATTTAAATGAATTAAGAAAGAAATTGTATTTAATTAGACTATTATTATATGAAGTATTTTTAGGCACGGATCTTTTAAAGCAATAAAATTGCACAGTTTACATTTCTTCATCCTTTTAAAACTATCTCCACACTTCACAGAATGAACTTGCCTGTTTTCACGCTTTTACGCACCACAATTGCAATGGTCTTGTGGCTTTGAATAAAACATTATGAGAACATCTTGCATCTGTAGGCAACCATTTCATTTTCAAGTCAGTTCAAGTGAATTGTAATGGGTAAGTGCTGTAGTCTGGGGCGTTAGTCACTCTTCACTGTTTGTCGGAGATGGATCTCTGGGACGTTTATTCCTTAATGGCCCTCGTTTTGGTGACCAGAGCTTTGCTGCATTTTATGTTCACCTGGGCGAAAATTCTCTATTTGCATTTTCTCTCCAACATCCTCTTTAGCCAAAGAGACTTAGTAAAAGACTATGGACTCTGGGCAGGTAAAAATTTAATTTATCTTTTTTTCCTCAACAATTATTTTAAAATTAACCAATAAAAGTGAGGAAATATCTTTAAATATAATTATTCTGTTTTTTTCTGCTTTTTAATTTTTATTGAAGGCAAAAACAATTCAAATGTATGATTTGCAGTGGTCACTGGCAGCTCTAGTGGAATTGGAAAGCATTATGCAAAAGAGCTTGCAGGGAGAGGCATAAATATCGTTTTAATTAGCAACGAGGAAGAAAATCTAAATATCACCGCTAAAGAAATCGGTATATTTTTTTTGAAAATAAAATCAAAGTTTCTAATAAAAACAAAAAATATAAAAATTTTAGAGAATGAGAGCAACGTAGAGACAAAATTAATATTCGTCGATTTCAGCCTGGGAGATGAGGAACACCAAAAAATTTTCAAAGTCATAGAAGAACTGGACATAGGCATTCTAGGTAAAAACGTTTTCTGTTCTGCATATTTTATTAAAAAAATCCAAGAGAGTACATCAGCATAGTAAGAAGTACTTAACTTAATTAGCTAATTTTTCTAGTAAATAACGTGGGAACAGCTGCAGGACTTCCTAACTTGTTTGAAAACATGACTCGTCATCAAATGTGGAGTCTTTTGATGATCAATGTGGGCGCAGCCACCTCCATGACTCACTTTGTTTTGTCCAAAATGAAATCAAAGGGAAAAGGACTCATTGTTAATGTAGCTTCATCTTCCGCAATGGCACCCACACCCTTTGCAAATATTTATGGAGCCAGCAAGGTTTAAATAAAATTTATTTAATTATAAAAAAAAATTAATTTTCATAAATTTTTACAAGGCTTTTGTGAAACATTTCTCTGATGCCCTTAAATTCGAATGCAAAGAAACGGGCGTTGAGGTTCAGACGATTTGCCCTTTCTTTGTGGACACAAAAATCATCGAAAGCAGAGCAGGACTCTATCCAGCATTTTTCTTTCCAACGCCAGAGGATTTTTCAAAAAATGCTGTTTTGACTTTAGGAAAAGTAGGAAGTACCGCAGGTTGCATGGCCCATGATATCCAGGTAAGCGTTGAAGTAAAAGTTAAAAAAGAATATACTATCTTATTTAATATTTTCCATGTTAGACGGCCTGCGCGGAGCTTTTACCTCGCCGCGTTCTTGTTTGGCTAAGTGCAAAAAGTTTTGAAGTAAAGGACTTTAAAAGCCAAGAGAAAAAACAAGAGTGATGTAAGCGCTGGTTGCGCAGATATAATATTAATCCGTTAAAAATGAGAACTCAAAAATTGCTTACAAAATCAATGAAACCTTGAAAATGAAATTTTTTAATTGGAATTCAATGATATAAATTTAAAATAATTTCATTTATTGTGCTTGTAGCTTCTATTGAGAGCCTTATTATTTCATACAAATAAGAGCGATTTGTTGTACATATTTAAAATTTAATATTAATAAATGCCAGTATATGAAAAATGATTTTTTTTTATAATTATTTTGATAGAATACAACAATACAAGGAAAATTATCTTTACTTACGGAACACTCAAAACTTCACTATAAGCATCAACCCTATCATAATAATATTTTTCGTAATATTATTTGAAGGGAATAAATAGCAATGTGGAAGAAGCACTAAAATAGGTACCACACTTGCGAGTTCAAAATTTTTTATTTTACTCTCCTTACTCTATTAAAAAGCGTATACAAATTAATTTTGCAATTCTAACGCTGATTTTAATCTGGCCAAGAAAAACTACTCAATGACAATATTGACTTAAATTTAAATTTCCACACTGGAGTATTATGCAAACTTGTCATTATTGCAATTTGATTTATTTCTTATAATCATTGCTCTGTCATACATTTTTTGAAGTCTATATTGTAGTGTCTTAATTGGTATGTCCATTCGCCTTGAGACATGTATGGCCTGAAAAGTGGATCATGAAGAGAATTGACGTCAATGCTGCTTTTTCGATGCCCCCCATTTCATTTAACCCGAAACATTTCTGTCTGCAGCAATTGCCCTCTTCTGGACCTTATATTCATGCGGCATAGTGTTTTTTTATAATTAAACGTAAGGGCTTGCAAAGAAAACCTGCGAAGAAATTTACAAAAAAAAAAAGATCTTTTTATTCAGTTTATTCTTTTAAAATTCTTGCACAGCTGCAGAAGTATTGCGATTTCTTTGCAAAATATGCCCAGCTTTTTTAAGAGATAAATAAAAACAGCATGAAATAAATATTCTAGTAACCTACATCAATAATTATATGTCTCGCCTCCACTTCAAATCATGCAAACTGCACCTTCATTTCCATACAAAATGTAGCCCAATCATGCTAATTTATTAATATCATGCTGTATAACATTAATTTACAATATAAAAATTTATATAACAAAGGAACGTATTTATACGATAAGAAAATTAATATTATTATTTCAAAGTAAAATTGCAGTTGATATCATTGATTTATTTTTTTATTTAAATTCTTTAATTCTTTAGTTCTTTAACTAAAAGCATTCCCATTTACTTCAATTTGGAACACCTTTAAAATTATAATTGTTGTTTACTTGTGCAATTGGGATTTAGAGAGTAAAAAACTCTTTTCCCTAGGTTATGCTCCAGAATAGAAGATTTTGCTAGTAACCATAATAATTAATTATTTTCACGGTTTTAACAGTAGGCCTCTTGTTGAAGAGCCAAACTTAATCAGACAACTAAAATTTAATAAGTCTTTAATTAATCGTAAATCACGAATTATTCTAATTAATACTTGACATTATATCGTCTCAATTAATATCAGACCTCCTGCCGCTGCGCTCTTGCTTTTGAATTGTACAGAGTTAGTAAGCTTGAGACTTAAAAATCATAGTAAAATTAACCAAAATTAAAAAAAAAAAAAAAAAAAAAAAAATGGGTAGTGCCTTCCGCACCACTAATAAAGGGTACAGGCTGACAAGACTGTGTCTTGGCCTGACCCTAAAAAAAAAATAAAAAAAAAAAATAAAAAAAAAATAAAAAAAAAAAATAAATAAATAAATAAATAAAAATAAACTATCCGAACATTTTAATCCACAACCACAATGTACTATATGGTCTAATAACGATTTCTTGCAGAGTGGCGCGAGGCATAAAATCAAAACATACAATTATTATCTCCAATGATCCAAAAAATAAAATATAAAAAAATTTGCGCCTAATTCAAGCATCGAGTTTAGCCATTGCAGCTAAATCTCTCCCAGAAATGGTTTTTGTATAAAATCAAAGCTTATAGACTAAAAAATATATTGTGGAAATTGATATAATAATTATTCTGATATAGGCTGCCCTTTCACTGACAGATCGTGTGCACTTACGTGGCATCCCTTTAGTATCTTTCATAAAATTTAGGAGGGGATTCATCAGACACAACTGTCTGGTTCCACCATCGCCAGGGAAATAAACCCAATTTTACGGCAGTGACCCAAAAGAAACCGACCAAAATGGATCCACTCTGGCTCTTTTACAACATTTTTGCTGTGCTGTGCATTTTGATTGTAGTGCTTCCATTTGTTTCAAGGATTGCTTCCTTCATTTACGTTTTTATCTTGGCTAAGTTATGCTGCCAGAAGAAGGACTTTTCACAAAAATATGGAAAATGGGCAGGTAAGGCCCTTCATTTAGTACAAAGACTCTAAAGACTACTTCCAAGACGACGGGAAATTTTATAGGAAATACCACTTTATATACATTTGAATTTCCGATTAATCAAATTATTAAATTTGTCTTCAATTTAAAAGTAGTTCACGATTTGATCTTAAATAAAATGGAAAGAACTTGAGGGAAACGTTGTGTTTACTGTGAGAGAAAATTCTCGTGTATTAAAAATGAATATTTACATTAATATTAATTTTATATTTAAGTTGTCACTGGTGGATCCGATGGAATTGGCAAATGCTACGCTATAGAATTAGCCAAAAGAAAGCTAAATGTTGTTTTAATTAGTAATGTCAAAGATGCATTGAAAAGCGTTTCAACTGAAATAGGTAATGAATTTATAAATATTGACATAAATCATTTTAATAAACAACAATAAATTCGCAGAAAGTAGCTTTGGAGTTCAAACGCGAATTATCCTAGCTGATTTTAGTCTGGGTGAAGATGAATACCAAAGGATATTTGTGGAACTAAAAGATTTGGACATTGGAGTGCTAGGTAAGCAACCAGATCATTTATTGTAATTTACTTATTCTACCATCGGCCTTCCATCAATTTTGCTCAGTCAATAACGTTGGTGTCCGATTTGGTGTGCCCAATCGTCTTGAGGACATGACCCGCCACGAAATGTGGACCATGATGAAAATCAACGTCAGTGCAGCTATTTCAATGTCCCATTTCGTATTACCCTTGATGAGGAAAAACGAAAGGGGGCTTATCATAAATATTGCGTCTGCATCAGCCCTCTTTCCTGGACCTTACGCTATTCTATATGCATCAAGCAAAGTAAGATTTTTTTTAAATTATCATAGAGCTGCTAAGAGGTATATTTTATCAATTAAGTATGAATAAAGTAATCAAATTTCGGCGGTTTTTTAAGTTTTTTATTCTTTTGATTACGTTCACTTTTAATGCAAGCGTCGGCGTTGATCTGTGTGTGACACCTGCCTTTCAAGAAAAGTTGAAAAAATCTAGCTTATAAATTTAAAACCGGTTTAACTGTGTCAGCACGAAGGTGGCTCTTGCAAGTATTTCGCCATAGAGCCGCTCAAATTAACATTTTTTTTAGCCTAGAATCTAGAGTCATAAAACTATTAAACCAAATGCAGAGTAGCTATGGGCTAAATCCATACATTCGTGTTAAGACAAATTTGCAACTTTCTATTAAAAATTTGACCCATGCAAGCGTAAAAATTTTTAAGTTTGTCTAACAAGTACAAAAATAATTATTTATTGTTGTTCGTATTTAACTTTATTTTAAATGCATCAGATACTTGGAAATTCTTTAAATGTTGAAAAGATGAGAGAGATCGAGGAAGCAAAATCACGATGAATCTTATTATTGCTAACTTCTACACCAATAAGAAACGACGTTGTTTGAGAATGGATTAAAATAACAAACTGTTAACTGCTGGTAACTAACTTAAAAAAAATTGTTTTTTACTTTATTAATTTTAAACAATGTTTAATAATCGTTAAAAATAAGTAATAATTTTTATAAAAAGAAAGTGTCATTTTGGCTTCTAAAATTTAATCCAACAGAAGTACTTCTAACATTATGGTTAACATTTTCCTAATAAAATTAATTAATTATTAGTTTAAAAAATAAAGCAAAATTAAATAGTAAATAAGTGACTTAGTGAAATAAGATAATAATACAAAAAAAATCTTTTGCCCATTTGAATATTAGGCACTAGAAATAAAATTGATTATTTTTTCACGAAAGGCATTCATCAAAAGCTTCTCTGAAGCTTTGCGTTACGAGTGCAGAAAGTCTGGAGTAGAGGTGCAGACAGTTTGCCCCAGTTTCGTCGATACGCAAATGTGCAAAGGGAACAACGCTTGGAAGCTAATTTCGCTGCTTTATCCATCACCTGAAAACTTCGTCCGCAGCGCAGTCTCGACGATTGGCTTCACGAGCTTGACTACCGGCTATTGGCCCCACCAGTTGCAGGTATGCAAATTTTTCGCGTATAAAAAAAAGCTATTACGCTCTAATTCATGAGATTTGGTAAACGAAAACAATTTTTTCTGCAAAAATTTATAATTTGATTTTAGTTCATTGCCATGGAGAGAATTTTCCCAAAGTGGTTTGGAATGAGAATGATGATGTTTTACATGAATACGAATCGACGAAAGGCACGCAGCCATCCTCAGCAGTGTTCTATGAACGTTTAGAATCAAATTTTTTTCACATCTTTTGGCCATTTTGATCTTGTTTTTTTTCGCTTGCTTCTGATATGTTAATTAACAAGATCTAATTGCAAATTATCTTTATTTTTAACTAATTTTTTGCAGCATGTTTTATTTGTTAACATAATATTGTAATATATTTGCAAAATTCTCGTGTTTCTATTTCAATTTGTGAGCAGTGTATCTTTAGAAGCAAATACATGCCTCTGTTTTAGATTAATAAATACTTTTATTAGCAACTAACTTTAATGATTAAAAACGTTGTTTGAAAGTTGATTGATTATACGGTGTCTGAACTTGGGCGGGAGATTTTTCTAGCTCTGGCAGACAAACAGCGGCGAAGGTCAAAAAAAGGCATAAAATATTCCACGCGGTCTGCCTTGACGTTTGCAGTCAGGTTTGCACACAGCAATACTTTGGTAGGGGATAATTTGCCGATTAACTTTTTTGTAAACAAAACAGAAAATGCAATATCATGTCAGTCGGTTTTTGGTACCAGAGCAGAATGGAGCTAATTTGGATCCTTTACAACATCATTGCCCTGATCTGCATTTTGATCGTTGCGATCCCACTCATCATCAGAGGAGTGCTATTCTTGCACGTTTTTCTCATCTCGAGGATATTTTACAAGAAAAAGGATTTTACGAAATGCTTCGGCGAATGGGCAGGTAAATGCAACAGCATCAGTTATTTAATTTGAAATTAAATAATTTGTTTTGAATTAAGTTGTGACAGGTGGATCAGACGGAATAGGAAAAAATTTTGCAATTGAATTGGCAAAGAGGAAGGTGAATGTGGTTTTAATCAGCAATGTGCAAGAAGATTTGAAAAAAGTTGCAAACGAAATTGGTAAAGTAATTCTAGTTATTAAAATCAAATTATGCTTAATTTTTTTTTTTTTTTATTAGAATGTAATTTTGGCGTGAAAACGAGAACAATTGTGGCTGATTTCAGTCTTGGCGAAGAAGAGTATCAACGAATTGAATCAGAAATTAAAGATTTGAGCATTGGAATATTAGGTAAAGCAATATTATTTTAATCATAAGTATTTTAGATCAACAATCAAAAAATAGAATTTCATTTAAAAAAATTTATTTGATTTATTTCAGTAAACAATGTGGGCATTGGTTTGGGTTTGCCAAATAAGTTTGAAGACATGACCCGCCAGGAAATGTGGAATATGCTGCGTATTAATGTGTGTGCTGCGGTTTCAATGGCTCATTTTTTGCTGCCTTCAATGAAGACAAATGGAAAGGGACTGATCGTCAATATCGCATCCGCGTCGGCACTTTTGCCTGCACCTTATGTAAACCTATATGGGGCTAGTAAGGTACAAAAAGATAAAATATTTAAGTATGAGGAATTTTTAAACATAAAAAAAGCTTCTAATTTACAAATTTTTTTAACACTTATTATTTGGTTCCTGGTTGTAAAATCTGCCTTGAGGGAGCCATTAAGTTAATAACATGCACACATGGGAAAAGGCTGCGCTGGCTGAGGATTAATTTCCCTCCCGACCTTCAAATTAATAACCTAACGTATCTTGTGATTTTGTTTGTTATTTTGATGTTTGCAGGCATTTATTAAAAGCTTTTCGGAGGCGCTGCGATATGAGTGCAGGAAAACTGGAGTCAAAGTGCAGACGCTTTGCCCGTGTTTTGTAAACACCAGGATTTGCAGCGAAAGCAATGCAAGAAAGCAGCTCAAGCTTCTCTTTCCAACACCCGAGAAGTTTGTCAAAAGCGCCGTGGCCACAATCGGCGTCGCGAGCACAACCACTGGCTATTGGCCACACGAGATTCAAGTAATTTACAAATTAAGTGTTACTCAATTATAGAATAATTGTACTTAATTGCAATGCCGGTTGCAAAGTATATCATAATTAAGAGAAAGATACAAATTAGCCTTGAGATAATTAAATTAATAATTTGTTTCAGTATATTGGCGTGGAAATGGTTTTACCTAAATGGATTGGAATGAAACTAATGATGCTTCTGATGAATACAAATTTGAGGAAGGTTCGCAAAGAAAGTGCCTAATACAATGAAGGGCAGCTAAATAGTTGATCAAATTTAAAAACATTACTAAATGAAAATAAAATAATTATTAAATGTGCTCAAGCAAATCACCATATTTACATAAGGCATCAAACATTGTAAGCAATAAAAAAGATACGAAATCCTCTCAGAAAAAGGCTGTTGAAGTTGTGTGAATAAATTTTAAGAATTTTTTACAATCAAATTCCAAATTCAAGCTTGTACATTGACCTCTCTATTGTATGGTCACCAAAGGCGGCAGATGGCCAAAATTGACTAATACGTGAGGTTCATGGCGATTTGTAGGTCAATGTCTTGAGGACGCATTATGTATACATGTGAGAATCTTCATCGAGTGGGGAACTCTCGCTGAAGAGAAACCACCAGCCTAATCTCCCAGCAGTCGTGGCACCAACACGGTGCAACTTGGGTTCATTTTTAAATTGTGACGATGGAATTCTTACTATGGTTAGGGTTCCAAATTCAGGCATTTTTTGTTCTGTTGATCCTGTATATTTTGGTTCTCGTCCTCATAATCACTGTGAGGTACTATATTTGTTTTTACGTCAAACGGGAGAAAGATCTGCGTGCGCGATATGGAGAGTGGGCAGGTACGTTTTTTTCCCTTCTCAATGACTTTCTGAGTGTGAGCAAATACAATTTTCCAGTGGTGACCGGCGGGTCTTACGGAATCGGAAAGTGCTATGCGATGGAATTAGCGAGAAGAAATATGAATGTAATTCTGGTCAGTCGCACTAAAGAGAAACTTAAACAGGCGGCACTCGAAATAGGTTTAATTTTTTTATATATCGTCATTCTAGTTAAATTTCTAAAAAATACTTTCAGCTTTAGCATACAAAGTGCAGGTGAAATATGTGGTTGCTGACTTGAGTATGGGTAAAGAAGCCATTGGCAAAGTTTATAAAGAGATCAAACATTTGGATATTGGAATCTTGGGTGTGTATAGGAAAAAATTAATAAAAAAAACCTGATAAAATTTACTTAGGTTTTAAAAAGCCTTCATTATCATTCTTTCTCATTAAAATTAATTTTATTAATTTTTTGCAGTTAATAACGCGGGTTCGTCCGGCGGCTTGCCAAATTTCTTTCACAAACTAACGCGTGAAAATATCTGGGAGTTGATGTCACTAAATATGTGCGCCCTTACTGACTTGGTCCATTTGATTTTGCCGGCAATGCGTGCTAAGGGTAAAGGACTAATTGTGAATATGTCATCAGTGTCATCAATTGCTCCAATGATACACGCCTCAACTTACGGAGCTAGCAAGGTAAATTTATTATTTTGTTATCAATAAATTGAAAGATATTAATACTTTAATTGAATGTGTTTTATTGATAGTCGTATGTGGTGAACTTTTCTGAGGCGATTCGCCCAGAGTGTGAGGCCGCAGGGATCGACATTCAAACACTAACGCCTGGTTTTGTACAAACGACACTGCTTAGTTGCGAAACAAAGCGCAGTAAACTTCCAGAGTTTTTAAACCCAACAGCTGAAAAATTTGCCAGAAGTGCTGTTACTACAATTGGGCACATGAAGATGACTTCGGGAACATTGTGGTTCGATTTGCAGGTTTGAAACTGAAATGTTTTCAAATAAATATGCATTTTAAATTTTAATTGCATCTTTCAGAAAACTTGGCTTGAGCTTTTGCCGTACAGACTGCGGATAATCGTAATGGCTTACTTCCTTAAGATGACATGAGACCTCCATTGTTTATTTTACTAATTGCAATGGAGACAGACTTTATAATAATGAACTGTGGAACTTTAAGTGAAATAAAAAGCTTCCGTTTGTTTACAGAAGAACGTGCTTTTTATGCAAGCTCTTCACTTTCGCATGGTCATCATAGTTAATCAGGACGCTAAAAAAAAAAACTGCAAAACCATTGCGTTTTGTCACACGCATTATATCATTTAATGTGGAGTTTTTTACTTGAATTAAACGCTTTATCTTATCGCTATTGTAAATTAGCTTTTTCGGCACTAAAAAAAATATATTTGACGTCTCTTAAATTTCGTGGTGCCTTGAAAAAAGAGGAGAAGCAGGATTATAGCAAATTGTAGGTCACTGGGTGACCACTTGCAAGTGAGAAGAGGCGCTGCTCTCACTGCATGCAGAGGTAATTTGAAAGGTAGGGATTCGCTCTTGTTGGACGGCGTGGTTTGTTTCAGTGGATTTTGTGAGATTGAGGAGGATGGAGTCGCCGATTTCCATCCACTTTTGGATACCACTCTTCATATTGGCAATTTATTTTTTATTTAAATTGTACATCACGCTTGTGGTATTCAAAGTCGTTTTCAAGTACCTCATTTGCAAGTATTGCAAAAAGGAGAGAGACCTCAGAAAATGCTATGGAGAGTGGGCCGGTAAGAAATACTTTTATCCTGGAAAAATCTTAATTATAAATCATAAAAATTATAAAAAATTTTAATTATCTCCGCTCCTTTTAATTTTAAAACAAAAATTATTAAATCCAGTAGTTTTTATTTTATTTTCTGTTAAATAGTTAAATTAACTGGTTGTTCAATTCAAAAAAAATTTGTATTTTATCTGGATATAATAACTGAAATAATTGATAATTAATTGATTATCGCGACCTTTTCATAAAATAATTTAAAATTGCGCTGAAAATTTAATAATTTAGTTTTATATTGCTTCAGGCAAAATATGCAGATAACTTTAAATTAAGCTGCCTGTTTCATCAATATAAACTCTTTAGGATACTAAAATACACACTTTTCTTTTTTAGTTGTGACAGGGGGATCATACGGTATAGGAAAGTACTACGCTATAGAGCTCGCAAAAAGAAAGATGAACATACTTTTGATCTGCCGCAACGAAGAGAAATTAAAAATCGTCAGTCAAGAAATAGGTTCGTAATTTTATTCTGTGTGTGCCAATTGTACGCACACAAAAATCGCAACATGAAAATTATTGATTTCACTTCTTGCAGGTGAAGCCCATGGCGTTGAAACAAGATATTTTGCTGTGGATTTAACCCAAGGTCATGCGGCTATAGACAGAGTAGAAACAGAAGTTCAATGCCTGGATGTTGGAATTTTAGGTTGGCAGATTTTAAATGCATTTAATATTTAATATAAAATTCCTAATCAATCAAATAATAAAAATTTAATTTCAGTTAACAATTCTGGGTCACTGTGCGGTGTTCCTGGTAGCTTCTACAAGTTGACTCGCGAAAACATTTGGAATTCGCTGTCGTTAAACATTTGCGCGCTGACGGATCTAGTGCATGTGATATTGCCAGGGATGAGACAGAGAGGCCGAGGACTGATAGTGAATGTTTCGTCAGTGGCGGCATTGAGCCCGAATCCTCATTCTCCTATTTATGCAGCCAGCAAAGTAGGAAAAATTAATATGTGGAATAATATAATAATCAATCAAAAAATTCGCAGGCTTTTGTACAAAGTTTTTCCGAGGCGATTCGCACAGAGTGTGAGGAGGTTGGAGTGGAGGTTCAAACTCTATCTCCAGGATTTATGAGAAATAGCTTTGGCAAGGGCAAAAGCTATCGACTTCCCGCCTGCCTCAATCCTACACCTCAGGCTTACGCCGCGAGTGCTGTCGCCACGATTGGACACATGAAATGCACCTCTGGAAACGTGGCGCACGAAGTTCAGGTAGTTTTTTTTATCACATCTTTTACAATTAAATTACCATATTCCACCTTATTTCTTTGTGATGGTCCGTTATCTTTTCAGAGTGCGATATTTCAATTCATGCCCATGAATATGCGGCAGAAAATCATGGCTTACTTCTTGGAGAATTTACAAGACAAATGTGGAATAGAGGTATAATTAATTAAGGAGTCTATAAACATCATGAAGAAAAAATACAAAAAATCCTACATCGTTGTGCTTTCCTAAAAAAGCTGGCAAACTGAAACATTTTATTCCTGTTTTATTCCAATATTTCGCATCATTTGCCATAATCTCATTTTCAAATGTAATATTAAATAATAAATTATTATTTCAACTGTTTAAAAGTACCTCTTGAATCTTATTTTCATGAATCATTGCTCTGCACGCATAGAATAACTTGCATGGTAATAATAGCAATGCAGCAGAACGATTACCAGCCACTACATCCAAACAATGGAAAAGTGGGGAGTTTATACTTTCTCTCTGCAGAGCGGTGCAGGATGAAATTTCTCTTTCCTCTCGAAGACCGCGCGCCAGTTAATCAGGCGAGATCTGACACGATGGAAGTGTTATTTTGGATAGCGTTTATTTCAATTGCACTTATTGTGCTGGCTGTCGTCTCTTACTTTGGTTTGGTCATCACTTATATTTTGTACCATTATTTCGTCTGCGCGCTTTTCAAACAAACCAAAGATCTAAAAAAATGCTATGGCTCATGGGCAGGTAAGGTTAAAATCTTTTAAATTACTTCATACAAGATTTTATTATTAAAAAAGGTTTTTTTTGCTGAATATTATTTTTCGGATTTTTTTTCAAGTGTGATTTTGATCATAGAAAAAAGTATTGTTCCATTCCAGTGGTCACCGGCGGCTCTTACGGAATCGGCAAATATTACGCAATTGAGTTGGCCAAGAGAAATATGAACATCATGCTTGTCAGCCGCAGTGAAGAGAAATTGAAAAGTGTTTCCAAAGAAATTGGTAATATGCTTGATAAAACTTTTTTGACGAAACCACATCCAAACTAAGAATGTAATAATTTTTTACAGCTGAAACTTACGGCGTTCAATCTAAATATGTGGCTGTTGATTTGGGTTCTGGTTTGGAAGCCACGCAGAAGGTCGCAAAGGCAATAGAAGGATTGGATATTGGAATTTTGGGTAAGCCATAAAAGAGTTATAATTAATATAAAATAATATAAATTCAAATAAAAAAATTAAATTCCTTATGCCCAGTGAACAACGCAGGGACTTCGGGTGGACTGCCGAATTATTTTGCAAACTTGCCTCGCGAAAATATTTGGAATCTGCTGAATTTGAATATTTGTGCCCTAACGGATTTGGTGCACATTGTGCTACCACAGATGAAGTCGCGTGGTCGGGGGCTGATTGTGAACGTTTCCTCTGTAGCCGCCCTTGCACCGAATCCCTTTTCATCAATTTACGCTGCCAGCAAAGTACCAACAACAGAATAAAAAATTAATTTAACAAATTTTACCATATTTTTTTCTAGGCCTACGTGCACAGCTTTTCAGAGGCCATTAAAGTCGAATGCCAAGGAACTGGAGTGGAAGTGCAAACTTTGGCACCGGGCTATGTAGACACCGATTTCATTCAGAGCAACGTTCACTTGTTGCCAGGACTGTTCAACCCTTCACCTGAGTCATTTTCCAAAAGTGCCGTCGCCACTATAGGCCATATGAAATGGACCTCTGGCTATTGGTCTCACGAATTACAGGCAAGTAGAGGAAAATTTTAATTTTATATTTAAAAAAAATATATATTAATAAATATTTTGCCTTCAGAGCGCTTCTCTTCAGTTACTGCCAGAGTTTTTGAGGCAAATTGTGATGACTTTGTTTGTAGACACAAAAACTTACAAGAGCTAAAAAAACTACTGCTGCAAAAATGCCAATTAATATAAATTAATTTTTAGAGACTTGCACTTTCCTATTAGATAAATTAGCAAATTCTGTGTTATTTTCTCAAATTTATAATGGGAAATGTTCTTATGCTAAGTTAGTACCTGCAATTCCCGTAAGCTAACTTAGCGTGTGAATATCCCTCATTATTTTTTAGCAAATAAAAAATATTGTTGATGTTAATAAAGAAAAAATATTCGTGTGCATATTTTCAAACCACTGCCATTGTCAACCTACAAGAAGTGACACTCGACGTATTAATGCGTGTGTCAGAGGAAATGCTTTCAGTGTCCGTGACCGGCGTGCAATAACAGTTTGAGCATGGCCGTTGAGCAACTTGACGCGCTTTTGTATTTTGATACGCCAAGTTATTTGCAGCATTTTTTAACTCGTTTTTGCGTTCACTTGCCTCCAAAAAGAGCGTATCGCCGCACTTGTGTGTCATCATCATAGACACAGACATTCACCGAAAAAACACGCGGGCGCAATGTTAGGCCAACAGCAGCAGCGAGACGATTACAGGAGAAGAGCTTTCGAAATCTTATCTTATCAAAACCGAGAGAGGGGCGTCATCAGCACCAGAAAACGCGAGTTAGTGAGTTCCTGAGTTAATGACTGGAAACAAGTCGGCGGCTGCTTTTGTATTTCTCACGTACGGTGTCCCTAGTTTGTTTTAAACCCGGCTCGAAAACACACGAACGGTGACAGGGGCTCTACAACCAAAAGGAGAATATTAGCCCAGCCGTTGCAAAATGGGAAAATTCGCGGCTCCGCAGAGTGATTGGAAAGTCTAGTTTAGCTATCTGATAACATGGAGGAGTGCCTGGACGATTACTCAATGTGACAGCACCATGGATCAACTTTTTGAGAGTGGTAAAGACTTTGAAAAAAAAATCATTTTAATTTTAGTTAAATAAAAATAGCAAATCGAAATTATGCATGTTGCATAATATTTGCATTTGTTTTATAGTTACAAGACACCGAAGAGATGATAATCTTGGTCGCAACATCACATTTCACTATTACACTCCGCCCAATTTCAACACGTTAAAAAATATTTTGTGACAAATCCAGCCTCATTGTTTGCCCAACAGTGTATTATTTTTATTACAATTGTCTTTATTTTACAGAGGCTCGAGTAAGTGCCGCGTGGCGATCCACTTTGATGGCGTTACAATTGTTCATTTTCATCCTGGACATGGTATCGGACGTGGCCGTGTCCATCGAGCTTTTCAAGAGGGTGCCGTGGGCCGGAGGAGTATGCCTGTCGTTCGTATTTGTGCCGATTGTTGCGTATGGAGTTCACGAAACTGTGAAATTGTTCACTTCCGAGGAGGAAAAGACATGGCAAAAGGTCGTGGGAAGAGTGCTGGACATTTTATTCTGTCCAATGTTTGCGTTTATAAGGTAATGCTTAATTAATATTGTTTATTCCGTCTATTCCATTAAAATAAGTAAAAAATTGAGAAAATTAAAAAAAAAACAGCCAGAGAGCCGCAGAGTGGATACAACGAGCATATTTATTTAGAAATAATTTAAATTTTTCATTGTGCAGCTCAATTTTATTTACTAAAATTTACGCAAAATATTTTGCAATTAAAAGATATTAAAATAAATATATAAATTTAATTGTTCTTCTTTAGGTATTTGGAAAAGCTTTTTTGGCTAATTGAAGCGAGCATCTCAAAGAGCAAAGAGCAGCGAGAGTTGGCGGAGCGAAGGGCAGAGGAGCCGAGACGCATTGAATGGTACATAGCGTGGAGAGCGCTTTTTCAAGCGGCGCCTCAGTCTCTCCTGCAAATGATGCAGCTCCTTCTCATTGCGGACGTCAATCTCGGTAAGAGTAATTGCACAGTCACTGAAGATTATTTCAAGCTCGTTTTCATTACTGCAAAAAATGACGATCGCGTCAAATCTATTAAAAAGAATTTGACGTGCTAACAAGGAAAAGAACTAATGTAAAATTAAACTTTTACATTGTGTGTATGTAACAAAGGCGTTGATTCCAAGCGGCCCTCTTATTCTTTTCAAATCATGCATGAAATGTCTGGCAATGAAAATAAAATTTATAATACAATAGAATTTTTCAATACACGGAATAAAAAATAAAAATTAATTTTTTTCAAATTATTCCTTCTCAGGCGTGCTCCAGGTGGTTTGCGCATTTACTTCAATTTTGTCTGTGACGATTTTCGCGAGCAAGTTCTCCCGGTTCGAGTCGCAAGACGCAAACGTCGCCCCCTGGCCGCACCAAAAACTGATCTCGGACAAGCATTCTAATTCACAAAGTCGACCTCTTCTGAAGTCATCGCCGCAAGAACAAAGGACAAAGAAGACGAGTGACGTGCCAGACTCGGCAAGGGCTTTGAAATTCCCGCCCTTGACTATTGTCCTGCCTGCCGGAAACACAGACAGCGGCATCGAAGCTGACGTTCCTCAGTCGCCTCCTCCGCCCCCGCTGCCTCCAAGGGCGTCCAGCCTACTGGCACCTAACAGGCCCCCGTCTCGTGTGCTCCACTCGAATGAAATGGATTCGATTTTGAGCGAGAACGATTATAAGAAAATGCCCTTTTTGCGATATTCTTATGTTGAAAGAAGTGAGCGAATGGCGGCAAGTATGGACGCGGCCAACAGAAGGTCCTCTTATCACTATTTGCAAGCGATCGAAAGTGACGGAAGCAACAGAACTTCGATTGTTGCGGCTTCAAGCATCATCACACCACCTGACTTTCCTGCCCCTGCTCCTCCTGAATTTACTTCTCTTAAACCCCCGCCTGGCAAGTTCGACACCGTAGGGAGGTAATAATAAAATATAACAATATAACTACTAAAATTAGAATTTCTTCCTTCAACTTCAAATTTAAAATATTTAATTAATGAATTTAATTAAATAATTTAATGTATGAAATTAATTAATTAATTAAATTTATGATTTTAATTGAACATATTGATTTATTTTCAATTTTCTAGCAGATCAGCTCTGCAGCTCCCAACTCGAAAAAAGGGTCGGAAATATTTGGAAAGCGACTCGACGGCTGGCATAGGAATTCTCCATCTGCACTGGTTCCTCTTTTTCATTTCACGCACCATCGCCCTCGGCGGGCTATTGACCATCGTTCCATACATGTTAGTGGCCGCTCTCGTGGCCTTAGGTGCGGTAGTTGGCCACGTGGCCGCCATGGCCGCCGTCATTACAGTCAACAGCGATAGGTCAACTGTGAAAATATGGCGCAGCATTTTAATTGCTGCTTCATCGCTGTATTGTTTAGTCGAGTTCGGAGTCAAGTTTGAGAAAATCACGCGCATCATGGTAATTTATTGGCCGCTCATTTTCGTCGAGAACTTCGCGGCCGGCTTTTTCGTTTATAGACCAGACGCCACATCAGTTACTGAAAACTGGTGGTCGATTTATTTCTTTTACACAATGATTGTGACCTATGTTCTCGCCGTGGCTTGTCTCATGTTTTACAAGTTGGTGCTTCATCCCAGAAGATATGTGATTTATTACGAGTGAGTTTATTATAAGTGTTATGAATATTCAATAATGCCTGCTGCAATCAAATAAAATTAATTTTATGTGATTTAAATTGCTTTTCTTAACGCATCATTTTCTTACACGTAAAAAATTATGCGGTTTTCGTTTCATAATAAAAGGAAGATTCCGCGATTGCGTTAATCATTTTAGCCGTGAAATTGAGATTCAATTTTCTTTTTGTTCGTCTTGACGTCAAAAGCGACAATAATAATAGATGCGGTGGGAGTTGTGACTGAACTCCATGTAGAGGGAAACTTCACAAGTAACTCCAGAGTAAAATATTTTACACAATAAACTTTCATAAATTTAGAACAAAAGTCATTTTGAAAAAAAAAATGATATTATATTTTATTTGAAATTATTTTAAAATCAATGGAAATTCCAAAGACAAAAATATAGCAATTTTTTAATTGCCCGGTTATTTTGCATCGTTAAATTATAATTGAGCTAAATCGCGGTTCAAGTGTGACTACTGAGGACGCTACTACGATTACGTACCAACCTCGATGCTTGCAATTACGGGGCTGTTAACCGAGTGCACACGTTCTCTTAGCGGCCAAGGTTTATGAATTTTAATTAGCGGATATGATCTGCTCATCATGACGAAGGTATGGAAAGTCTCAATAAAGCGAGAAAAATTTATGACGCAAGGCTGGGTTTTGCACGTGCGTTTCTGATGTTGCCACAGTTTTGGAGGAAAATACAACTGTCAATGGCTTACATTGAAAAATTGCAACATTGCGTAGTCAGTAAACGATTGATTTAATCAAACCATCAAGATAAAATCTCGGAGTAATGTCTTAAGCTTTTGATGCTGGAGTTCAAGAAAATGGCAAATACGTGCTTGGCTTACAAGTTACTAATTGAAAACTAGAGAAATAACTCATCACATTGTTTGAAATGGAATTGTGTTTGAGTGAGTCAACTAAGTTTTTGTGCTAATCAATACAATTTGTCACTATGCATGTGAGCGACTGAAGGTCAATTAAAATATTTTCTTAAAACAAATTAAATAAAATGAGAGTAGATTGAGCTTTCTGAATCATCCAATTCTAAAATTTTTGATGGTAATAATATATTTTATGAACCGAATTTGGTTTCATTTATATTAAATATATTTTTTACAAAAAAATTTTTTGTTCAAGCTTTTATTATAAGGTTAATAAGTTTTTCCGTGCCATAGCTTTCAAAGAAAACCCTGACAAAAAGGAAAATTATGTAAAGCAATTGAGAGGTTTTCCCCTGACAATATACAGCCCCTTCTGTCAACATACTGCTCTTCACCTTATGTAAGTAGCGGGCATTATCCTCTTCTATAATAATTTGCAGTCGCACACGTCAGATATTATATTGTTATTACATAGGCATGTACATATATATAAGAGTACCCTGAGGCATCAAGGTCTCGTGTTCATTCCCATTGAGAGAGGGAGTAGAGCAGAAAAATACTTTGATTTATATTTTTATATTTTGTTGTATCAACCTTGCGAGTCGCCCCCAACTTGGCACAGGGAGGACTAGCAGTGGGGGAGCGGCACAGCACAAAGCATAATTTATAATAAATCTTGGCGTCTTTGAAATTGGTTGGTCATTTGCAGCTCTGCCTCATTCGAATCAACATAGGGTGCGCTGAGCAGTACCGAGATGGATAAGCCGGAAGAGTAAGTACATACAAAGCAAATAATTATTAATTATTACTCTTTTAATTTTTAACTATGCTTTTTTTCTTTTATAAAAAAAATAACAATTTTCTGAATTAAAATTAAGTAAATATAATATCTTAAACTTCTTGTGCTAACTATTTATTAAATTTTGAAAAAAAAAATTAATTCTCCTACATATTTTAAATTGCAGAAGTTTAGTTGCAAATTTTTACGAGGGGAAAACTGTATTCCTAACTGGAGCCACCGGATTCTTGGGAAAGGTTTTGGTTGAAAAAATCCTACGCTCTTGCCCTGGAGTCGATTCCGTGTACTGCTTGGTTCGTCCTAAGCGAGGACAGGATCCCAAAACCAGATTCGAAATCTACATAAAGAATCTTGTAATTGCACCAAATAATATTTTTGCATTCAGTGCTAACGTTGGTACCTCTCTAGGTTTTCGATAGAGTGCGTCAGGAACAACCGCAAAATTTGAGCAAAGTCCACCTAATCTGCGGGGATGTCACGGAAGACGGGCTCGGAATCAGCCAGGAGGATCGCAAATTGCTATCAGAAAAAGTGGATGTGGTTTTTCATTCGGCAGCGACGGTCAAGTTTGTTGAGCCGATCGAGGTTGCTCTGCAAATGAACACATTCGGCACCAGAAAAGTGGTCGAGCTTTGCAGGGAAATGAAAAACCTCAAGGTTGTATGAGCAAAAAAAAAAATGATAAATTTAACTAAATTGCATTTCTGCCCACAAACAACAGGCTTTCGTCCATGTGTCTACGTGCTACTCAAATGCGGTTATTAAAGACATCGCGGAAAAAGTGTATTCACCACCAATGGACCCAGACTTATTGAAAAAGTTGCTCAAGGAAATGCCAACCGAAGAGACAAAGAACGCCAAAAGGTATTTTGGTGTAATTATTTACACATCAGCACTTTTTTGTGGTTCTAAATAAACTAAACTAACTTATCTGTGGGCAGTTTAATAGGCAACCACCCAAACACTTACACCTTCACCAAAGCCATGGCTGAGCATATTGTTTTGAACGAAACAGGAAACATTCCTACTGCAATTGTGAGGCCCTCGATTAGTAAGTATACCAAAGTGCCCAACAAAAACACGCTAGTCGTGCCCTTTTAAAAAGTGCTTTAATAATTTTGTAATTTCTTATTAATAAGTAACCGGTTCGCTGAACGAACCCTTTCCGGGATGGGTGGACAATTTGGCGGGCATCACTGGATTGACCACGGAAACTATGAGAGGAACATATCGTTCTGCGGTTTGTAACGTTGCCTGCCGAGTGGACTTGATCCCGGTCGATTTGGTCGCTAATTGCATAATCGTCGCTGCAGCTGAAGTTCACAAAAACAAGTGAGAATTTATTTATATTCGCAAGAATGATGAAAAAAAGTTTTATGTTTCCCTCCAAGTTGACAAATTATTCTAGTGTTATTTTTACAAGCACTCTTTTTTTGTAATAATTTTATTAAATTCATTGTGATGAGTTTTGTGTTTCTATTTTTTTTTCAACACAATTTTTAACAAATTTAAGCTCATAAAATTTCTAATGGTACGACAGTGACAGTTAATTTTCATGTCTTCAAATGGAATAATTTTTCTTTCCAGGCCAGCGAATGGTCCACAAGTGTACAATTGCTCAACTGGTGAACAAAACCCCTTAAAGTGGGGCCGCCTCCGAGATCACATCATTCAAGGCGCGATCGAGACCCCGACGAAGTACATGCAGTTTTACCCGTCGTGCACCTACCGCAAAAGCAAAGCCGTGCACCTTTTCATGGTTTTCTTTTTGCACTACCTGCCGGCCTTAGCGCTCGATCTTTACTTGAAATTAGCGGGAAAGCGACAAATGTGAGCAAAAATTTGTTTAAACTTGAATTTTTCAACTGATCATATAATGCCTTGATAAGGGCAATGAAAATTTTCACAAATACGCGAAACGCTGAAAAGATGGGCGAGTATTTTGCAACGCGCGAATGGAACTTCAAGAGCGCTAACTTGATGCAATTGGTGGAGACGCAAAGTGACGCCGACAGAAAAAGGTATACTTGTTGAATTGGCTTCCTGGATTTTTTGTCTGACGCGCGCAATTATTATAGGTTTAGTATTGACTGCAGACAAATCCACTGGGAAAGCTACGTCAAGAGTTACATCAAAGGGATCGTTATGTTTGTGCTCAAGGACGATTCTTTCACGCAGTCAGTGACAAAAAATAAGCTTCAAAAGTGAGAAATATAATTATTTTTCGCTCAATTTTCCGTAACTCATGCTTTTGATCATTTTTTTGGCAGGCTTTACTGGGTGCAGTTTTTCTGCAGAGGCGTTGTGCTGGTGCTCACATTGGCTCTGCTGTTGTGATTGTAACTTATTCCGCTTATTTTACTTTGGGACAGTGAGCATTATATTAACATTTTTAGTTGATCATTATTTAACCAGAGTAGTAGTGAATATTTCTAATATTTTGTAATTTAATTTTTGAAGGAATTATCACGACATGTTAAATTTCAAGTATCATTTACCTGATTGAGAGTAAATTATTTGTACGGATACAGCAAATTAAAATTCTCAAATCACAAAAAGGCAGCTGTTTTATTTTGATGAATGGTTTTTTCCCAAACTTTCCTCTTATTTTTTACCATGGCATGTTAATATTATCTTCTCTACTTGAAAGCCTTGAAAGCTCATATTATAAGACGAAACCAAAAACTTTGATTATTAAAATAGTTAATTAATAGAGATGCATAAAAAAATTATACTCCATGTAGAATGATGTAGAATAAAGATTATAATTTATTTATTATTATTTTTATAAATAAATTAGATCAATCTTTACTGTTTTAAAGAAGTGTTCCTGCTATATAACATTTTTTCACGCCATTTCAATTTTTTGGCAGAATAATTTGCAATATAATTTTATTGATAATAAAAAATGAATTACGTTAAACGAATCGCAGTTCACTTTGCTCTTTCATGCAGGTATGTATGCAACTTTCACAGCACATAATTTGAGCTGGTTGCATAACATAGGCTTCATGGAAAATGAAAACAAGTGGTGCCAAGACAAGAAGTAAACCAAAGCGAAACGAGAATAACTTGTCGTTGAAATACAAATTGCCATTAATTTCTTGAGCCAGACTTTACAATTGGTTACAATTGCCTGAATATAAACTAATTTTTTTTTACCTAAAACGTTAGCAATAGAATGAACTGTTTTTAAAAATATAAAAAATGTGAAAAAGATTCACTTAATAGAAACAACTAATTTTGGAGTTAAAATGAAATATTTTCTTTTTGAATCCATTTTTTTTTTAATTTTAATTTAATTTAAAATTTAATACATGTGCCAAGTTAACGTTTAAAAAAATCAGAGAGTGTACAAAAAAATATTACTTTAATTTTTATATTATTTTGTCAAAAATTTTTACTCCTTTTAAAAATTTTCCTTCTAATTCCTCTTAAAATTAAAATGTTCAATGTTAGTCAAGTGATATCAAGATTGACAAACTTGCCTGCAAAATTAAAAAAAAAAATTGTAGTACACTTCTTAATTAACATCAGTCAAAATTAAAAAGAAAATAAAATATTTATAAAAATTCAAGCATAACTGTAAATTTAAATCGAAACTCACATTATTAACATTAATAATTATGAATGAATGTATGGTCGAACTTTGATGACAATACATAACCAAAAACTCTTGATCTCACTCAGATCTCTAGTGTTTGTTCCAAAATGAGTTAAATTAATTTTTTTTTTAAATTTGAATTTTCGGTAAAAATTAATTGACAAGTTCAGGCTCAATTTCTATGATTGCATCAATGCAAAATCTCAATGTCAAATCAAACATCCTAACTTGACGGGAGCGATCAAAAGTTCCAGAAGTGTTTGTTTACGTGTGTGTTGCACGTTTTGCGTTTTAGAAATGCGCATAGCTCGCCAGGGCGTGAACCTTTCAGAATGTTTTCAAGTTGACTGTTTCCTTACCTGGCCACGTGGTGCCCAGCGAGGGAAAAGCCCTGGTCGACCTCGTCGTCACGTCGTCCGGCGAATTATTATGCACGCGTGACATAGCACGCCATCAGGTCTTTCCTCAAAAAGATCCAGAGGCCGCGCCCCCTTTGTTTTGCCGAGGAGAGCGCAGCGCACTCACTTTCTCTGATCCGCCGAGGCTCACTGCTGCTTCGCTTGAACCCCATTCAGTCCGCCGACGGTGAACGAACGCGACGAGAATTCTGCAGTCTAGTGCCCATGTGTAGGAGGTGAACTTCGACTGCATTGCATTTCTGTTCTTGACATTTGCACCAACACCTCTATCAAGGTAGGAAAATCTTACATTTTATTAATTTTCTTCCGTTTTCTTCCTTATATTAAAAACAGCAAAATAGGATGATTATATAATTAAAGAAATTGCATTAAAAAAATCACAAAAAGATCAAGATGTTGAAAAATTGTGATTATTTTTTAATATCGATCGAATATACTTTAAATTAAAAAGATGAAAATTATTCACATTAATATAATTGGATAGTTTATTGCGCTATACTTAAAAGCCTTAAAAGTAAGTCTACTAGGAGCACTTTTATCCTACACCGGCCCGTTAATTTGCGGCAAATCAATCAGTATTGCTTTTGAAGTATTTAAATTTTAAATACAATAATAGAAATTACAAATTTTTTTGGCCGTCTTCTGATAAAAAAAGTTCTTATTCGACTCTGAAAAATTTAAGCTTCTTATAATAAGAATCAAGAAGCAGCATATTATATATTATTTTTAAATCAAACCCCAATTTATATCTATTCATATATGTAAAAAAAGAAATTCTCTCCAAAACAAACAGGTAGTTTAAAGAAAGAAAAAAATTAAAACTCTCTTTCGTATTCATTTTTAACTTTTCTTATTTAAAATTATATCCCGTAAGCTGTCGGATAACTTTTGATAAATTTCAAGCTGTTGGCATCGTGCAAACCCAAGCGAGAAAATTCATCTTTCGCGTCCCTGCATTCTTGAATGGGCGCACTTACACTTTCTTTTCTCACAGCACAATCGCGATTTATTTTTATTTATTGTTGAACGCACCTATGGGCGATCACACTCGATGATCGTGTGGTAGAACGGCCAGAAAGACGAAACGACTTGCACATGTCAGAGCGAGAGAGAAATCAATTAATTACTCTTGTGGCGATGCAATTAGGCCGCGGCTCTTTTTTGCAGCCACGTCGTATGTGAAAATAATTTTTTCCAGAGGTAATGAGCAAACAGAGTCATTACCAGCAAATGTAGCCTTGCGACTAATTACTAATTGCACTTCAAAAAATTTCACTCTTCTCTCTGCATACATAATTTTCTAACCCTCTTTCATTTTTATTATTGACACATATTAAAATTTTGTAATTGCCCTCATATAGTTAATTGGCGATTGATTTTCCAACTAGCTGGTAATTGACTCTTTATTACTGGAAGATGATCGGGTTGATTATTTGACACGAGATGAATGGAGAGACAAAGAGCCGCAAGGTGGGAATGTGAAACGTACACACAATCGAACGGGATCAATTATAAATATAAAAGAGACGAACGCGCAGAAAAGAAAATTGCTAAAAGTGAGTGCTGGCGCGAGTAAATGTGTCAATGCGGTGGATGCTCTTGTTGTAGCAGGAAGGCAGAGAGTTGTAAAAATATCGCGTGTCTTGAACGACGGCTAAAATTTTTATATTTATATATCATCATGATACGGTGCCTATTGCGGGTTAAAGTGGAGAGAGAATGCTCGCTCAACTCTCAAAACAAAGCCACGAGATCTGGTTATTAAATTGGATATTTGTGTCAAATGCGTCCTTGAAAGTGTCTTATATTCGCAAGAAGCGAGAGAGAAAACATCGTGTTAGCAAAAATATTTTTAATTGCGAACACAGCGTGAATATTAAATATGTCTGTTTCCCTCAAGTCGCTTCCTCAATTTGCCGCTACAAGAACAAAGTGGGGTAATTTGCAAAACTGAATAATTGTTAAATTATGCTCTAAATTTTGAAATGCATTTCACTACAACTTGTAAATGTTCCACTCACTAATTTTTTTTCTAGATTCCAATCGCAATAGTGTGTTTTTAATTTAATTACTCGCTTTACCTGAATTTACGCGTGTGTGCTGCAAAATTAACATGCGGTTTTCATAGCCTTACTTTATTATCTGATTGTTATACATGCAGCTACTATAAAATTTCTGATGCTGCCTTAAATTTCCCGAGACAGTTACTGATATCTTGATAACTAATACTCTGAAAGCACTGGAGAATAAATAAATTCAAAAATGTAAATTGGCTTCTTTGCGTAAATTGAATTATTTCGACCCCAAATCTTCAAACCTCTGTTCTGCGCGTCTCTTGAATTATTCATGCATGGCGCAATCACAATTGCAAATATCACCAGTCGACAACCATTCGCATGCTTCATTGCGTCATTTGACACAGAAAATATATTGTTTACTCTCATCCCAAATATATAAAACAAGCCAATTCAATGTTAAATATTTCCCCGAATTCTATGTTTTTCGTCAAAGAAATAAGCCGCTATCTTCAAAGGACAGTCTGTGGTCATCCAATTTTTTTCCCTTTCACCTGGCTCCTTAATTAGGCTGATGACCGGCAGGCTAATTATTCGGCTCACACGCACGCTCAAGGTCTAGATTATTAGGCCAGTGTGCGGTATGCATTATAAAAATCGTTGGCATGCACCGGATCTGACGAACGAGAATGAAAGCCTGGAGTAGAGAGTGAGAGCACGCGCTTGACTTATTATCATTCTAATTGTCATGCAGATAGGACTTTTTGTCCTCTCCACCGCATTTCACTTTGAAATTAATGCATTTCGTTGTGAGAATCGCACGCGTTGGGCCCACGTTTTGTCTTCAAATCTATGTGAGCGCATTGTTGTTGTTTTTTTTTTGCGGTTTTATACGCCGCACATTTTCGCTTCTTACCACTCTTCATTTTGAATGCACGCCGACCCGTTTTTAATTAATCTGACTCGGCGAGAGTGAGTATGCACCTTGAAAACGGGGACAGCAGCAGCCCTGCGCGTTTGACTTCTCTTTCGCGAGCGCGTAATTAATCAGAGCGCTCGCTGGACTTTAAAGAGGATGGACAAATGAGATTGTGTCCTCTCTCTTTAACAAAGATATTCAGAAGAGAAATCTGCAATTCTCCCATGAAGTCGTCTTTTTATTTATTTGAGGATGAAATTGAATTTTTAGGTTTTTATATATTTTTTTCTCAGTGGTGTAATTTTTAATACAGTATCAATTTTCACCTCGTAACACTTGCTTGCTTGCTTGCAATGAAAGTATAGATTGAAATGCGCCTATCATCGCTGTCTGCTCTTGCAGAAAGTTTTCTGTACCTTTTATCGTTTCGACCGCACACGCAGCGGAGAATGCATTTTTATTCTTTGAAAAGAAAACGCCTGGTTAACCGACGTCCGCGGCGAGATTCGCTGATAAATGTTTCGCGAGTTTAAGACAGGACGCTGAGTTACTTCCCTGTTGAAAATCAGCATTTTTTTTCGTTCCTTTGCAACCGTGCCCCATGGAAGGGTTATGTAAACGCGGTAGTAATATTTTTAAAGATCAAACACAATGCCAAACGACTATAAATTTACATTCGCGGCACCTGCAACTTTCTCGGCGTGGCCAATGCGCGCGGCAGCTCTATGGGTCTCACAATCAGCCATTTATTTTGATCCTGACCATTATCTCTAAAAATCTAAAATCGCCGTTTTCATATAATAAATGGCTATAAAATTATGATTGAATGGTGAGAAACGCTTTTTCATGTCTTTCGGATGAAATTTATCTCACTTGCAGAAATAACTTTTACTCTTTGATTACAGGGAAATATTCTAAGGTCTCCAGCAATATTCGCAAGCGAGTCATTTTTGAACAGGGTCTCTAAAAAACCTTCTGTCAGATTTCGTGAAATTTAATTTATTTTATTTTGAATTTTCCTTTAATAATTTTCCTCATAGACTTTAACAAGTACTAAAAAACTTATAATTGAATAATATTCTTAAACTTCTTGGAAGTTGTGCTGAAGCAAATAAGATTTGAACTGGTCGAGGCAAATGGCAGAGTTCAACATGTGCTTTTCCCCAAATTAACTCATGCTGCAGCAAAATCCACTATTCAAATGACATACCAGCTGCCGGCCATCCAAAAACAAAACAAACAGCTTTTCCCTTTCAATCGCAGAACGCAGGTTGCAAAATAGAAATTACAAACTCGTGCGTCGCGCGCCGGATCGCCCTTCCTATGTTATGTCAAAATATTTCCCTTTTCATAATCATCCAGACATCAGCACAATTTTAGAAACGGCATATATACCTGACCGGCAACTTTCAGTTTCTATAAAAGGTTCCTCACGTCCTGGCCGGTTCAGGTGTTTTAACTGTTTGACCAATGAATCAAACTACAAGCGAGGGCTCGGCCAAAAAGTGCCTAATGAAATTTTTCACGCCGGCGACCTGGGCTCGCTTGAGGCTACTTTTTCATTCCAATTCCGGCTGATTGCGTAACTTATGTAAGCCTGGGTGTCCCTCGAGACATGCAAATTGCCAAAGTAGCAGGAAGGCTTTAGCATCAAGTGAGCGAGATAAATGTGATGTGGATTTTGGCGAAATGAACGCGCTCTCTACTTGACATCTCGCTTGCTGATGGGATTAAAATCCGAATATTAGCTTCCAAAAAGAAATGTTGCGCTCGAGATGAAGTTCACTCACAATTTTTAAGAAATTAAAAAAAAATACAATACGAAAAATTAAAAATCAAATTTCCAGGTATAACTTTATTTTTTAGTTTTATACCATTTGTATTCAATGCAGCGATTAAGTTTGTCCTTCAAAAATTTACTACTCAAATTTGCAAATTGGTCGCGTCCTTATTGATACTTTAGAATTCTATGAATATAAACTAATCCTATCTTGAATTTGTATGTAAATGAACAGGATATTGTCGATTATTTACCATTCAAAAACCAATGCAATCATGGGAACTATGTTAAATTGACTAAGATCCTTTGAATGTTATTTTATTCATTTATTTTTTGCTATGTCCATGGGAATTTTGTTCTCTATTACCATTATTATCATGCCTGTATAAACGGAAATATGTTATTAAACCATTGTAAGATGGAAACATTTACCATTTACATAACAAAACGCTGCACGATATGAAAAATTTCAAAATCATGCAACTTCTTTTCATCACGATTGAACTCTTGTCTCTCAAGGGCGGCTATTCCATTTATTATTGGATTGTGCGTCCCCTTTGTGCATCAATGGCTAATACGACTTTGATGAAAGTCACTCAATTTGAGAATTCCGTTCGCATGAAAAGGTAATAAAGTTGCTCTCTCAGGTTGTAAAAAGAAGCCTCGCACCAGTGGTTATAAAAGAGACACGTACTCCATCAAATAATGTGTGGGTGCCTGCGTTTCGCATTTTAGTCAACAAACGAAACGTCAGCCGAAGACGCTTGGACAGAATAGTTTTCGTTCATTCTTAAAGTAATTAGTTTTGGAAATAGAGCAAGATAAACTCACAAAATCCACTCTCAAGGCTCATTTTCATTTTAGTTTAAGTTTTTATTTTTATTTTTTTTCCTTTTTAACATTATTTTTTTAATAAAAAAATAATTTAAAAAAAAATTCTTATCTTTATAACAAAAAACTGGCTAAAACAGTTTAACAAGATGTATTTTTATATTTCTTCAGATGTGTAGCGAATCGACTGCGCGATTGCACAGACTTGTAAATAGATACATCATCCAGTTACCTTCCATGGGATGTTGGTGCATTTGTATGCGGCTTTAAAACGCGGTGTTCGGATAATTCAGAAAATCAATACGGAGTGTGTTTGATTACAGTCTCACGACCGCAACATCGTGGAAAGGTGCATTGCAGCACTCATCGCTTGCGTCTCGACATGCTAATTTTTAAAATTTGATCGCAACCCTTGCTCGTCAAAGGGTAATTAAAGAGACAGACTAGAGCAGTCATCGTGACGCGTTCACACACAAAATGTAGATCTTGGCCCTGATAAATCCACACGCTTAGTTTAACTAATTTATATTTAGGAAAGTGAAAACTGCGGGAAATGGGTCTCTCTGCGCTGTAGCTCATCAAAATACGAGTGAACTGCTTACAATGCGGAGCCCCCTGGTTACATTAAGGTTGTGGGAAAACAAACTCACGCACACACGGAATAATAATGCCCGCGGAGTGTGTAAGGATGTGTTTTGTGTTTTAAATAAGTGTAGAAACAGAAAACCACCAAGGACAACCTCAAATTTTGAATTAATGTCAACTGAGTCAACACGAACCAGTTAACACTTCTTTCGACATACATATCAATTACTTTGGCTGTTATTTTGACTGACATGGAAATTATTTGCGGTTTACCATTGACATAAATCACGTAGCCCTGGGCAGGTTACGTTAAAAACAAATTACATAATTTGAATAAGTCTGAATCTGGTCAAAAAAAAATATCAGATTTGAGCCTAGGAAAAAATTTGTATTAAAAAGATGCAGTTGATAATTTTTTTTAACTTTTTTAAGTGAGTTTGTTAGGAAGGGAAGTTTATTTGTCCTGCAAGTCTTGAGAGTAAAATAAAAACAAGAAAATTGCTGCGGTGTCTTGTTAGAAATACTTCCAAGCAAATGTCGCAGCCAGGCACAAAGAGATAAGGTCAGGCGACACTCTGCAGCCCACTCTCAAGCCATATGACCCTCTCGGGCATAAGGCAAAATTTCCACCGTCAAGAGCAATTTCTTCAGGCGCAAAACAAAACAACAAGCGGCGCACAAAGTGAAATATTGATTCAGGCCACCTTTGTTTGTGGTTTTCGCATCTCTCTTTCTCTCCCACATAATACGTAGTAAACTCCTTTACTAATTCGGGTCCAATTAAGGTCTCTGGGGAAGATGCACCTTGTGGCTCCGGTTGCGAATTTGAGAAATTAGTCTTGCCCTCCAGGAGCTACTGAAGGGCAAAAGCGGCTATTACAAAAATAAACCGCCGCAGAAACAAAGGAGAAAAATCGTGTGCGTGACTTTTTCTCTTTATACCTTTTATCTGACTTTGTGTATCGATCTGCGGAAAAAGTATACCCTGGTACGTGCAGGACAATGTGTAATGTGCATTATTCGCATGCTGCATAAATATTGTAACGTGCGCGCTGGCTGATGTGGAACACGATTGGACTCGGTGCCAACTTCGTGTGAGCACTCAACAGAATTATTTATTTGCACTTGCGGCTGCTTTTAATGTCAGTGCCCTTAGAGACCGAGAACAAATGGAGAGAAATGCCTTGCCCACAAGTAAAAGTAGCATTCCTTTACGTCTGAAAAATTAAACAGTTTATATCTAAAATTTAATTAAACAATATGCTTTGCTACAATTATAAAATTAATTGGGGGATATTCTCTTGCTAAGTTAGAAGCTAACTTAACATGTAAATATTCCCCATTAATTTTTACGTTTTTTATTATTCTTTACTTATTTCTTTCAAGATAAAAAAATAATCATATTATTTGATTGCCGGGCCTTTAAGAATAAAAATATTATTTTTCTTTCTTTCTTAAGTTCATCTTAAGTTTCATTTTTTGGCAAAAGACAAAATATAATTTAAATATTTGTATGCATTATTATTTTTCTTTAATTGGAGATCCAGTAATTTAATATGAATATACCAGACCAGGTCATTTTTCAGAATTATAAATTATTTGAAACCTGCAAAAAGTTGTTCCCGCAATAAAACTTGGCTAATTCGTGGCACTGATTGAGCAACAGAGTGCTCCAGATATAATTTACAGAGGCTGCTTAGCTCCGGAGTTACTGCACGTTATTTCCTCTTTTTTGTTTGTCCCAAAAGATTCTCTCAACTGATCCAGAAAACTTGTTCTTTGTCGGGTGCAAATACAATGCAGGTGCCCTCTCCATTCCATTGTCTGCTGAAATGATCTCGTCACTTCTCTTGAGTCATGACGCAAAGTAACCTCTTCTAGTATAGTTATAATATTCGTTTTACTTTCATCTCGCGACCTTGCGCCAACTCGTAATTAGATCGCACACGAGTATTTGAGAACTCTATCAGTTAATTGCGAGATGGGCTAATATTTTATAATTCGAATCGCATCCATATCTGCCGGACAATTGAATTTTGATGGGAAAAAGACCTCCAGCTGAGCGATTTTGCTGGCGTTTTGCAACAAGTGGTTCCAATTACATATCTTTTTCGACTTAATGCGACTATATTATTATTAAAGCGGATTATAACTTTCAAGTAATGGATCAAGAAGCCCAACCATCTAAAGTGAGCCCCTCTTCATATTTTATTTTAATTTTCCTTTTATTATTTTTTGATAAGCTTAACGCAATTTTAGGCAATTTCGACGCTTTGATTAATATTTTTTCAAAAGAAAAGAAAGCTCTGAAAGTGTGACCGAGTTTTAAACACTAAAAATATCTTCCAGGAAAAGTCCAATGCGTGTTTAATAATTTTACAAATGAATAGAACTTTGGCGAAAATTAAATTAGTGAAGAACCCGCGAGCAATTAAATAAATGAAACTTTTGCTGAATCAATTTCTATTTCAATAGGGTTAGAACAAACGGCATTATCCAGGATCTCACAGTTCCTGCTGAAGCCTTACATTTTCTGCTGAGAGCTTTTGCCAATCACATTCCTCAAGGTGTATCACTCGAGTGCTACGCTTCTTACTCGAGTATTAAATTCACTACTCTCTTGGTGACTTTCACTGACAATATCGCATTCAGGTCGAAATCAACCGCGCTCTCAGGTGCTTGCCGGGCTGAGCAAACACGTAAATTGCAACCTGTGAAATACTCCCCACCGTGGCGCCTGAAATTTTATCGCGCTTTTTGCACTCGAGTAAATTTTAAAAGCAGTCTTCTCTCGTATAATGCACATTTAATTAAAGAGATACAAAAGCTACTTGCAGCTGCTGGCTATTGCTCTTTTCGGCGAATTGGCTCCCAGTTCCCACAAACACGCTTGTGGGAATAAATTTCTAATGAAAATTCCTTTCATGCGTACACAAAGGTGAACAAGAGACGTGCCTTGAGTATAGAATTTATCATCATTAAATGCATAATATAATTTGATATATATTCTATTTGATAACATTTATTGATTTTTTATTCTTTTTATTTTTAACTGTAGTGTTTTTCCGTGGTAATAAAAATGAATTAGAACAAAATATTTTTTTGCTTTACTTTTTCATTCTTCCAATGAAAAAATGCAACAGAAGATCATCCTAATAATAGTAATAATCAATTTTGAAGTACGCCTCTTGGCAGGTGTCAAACAAGCTTGATACATAATGTAAATTGAACGCAGAGAAAATGAATAAAAATAATTCATTTATGAAATTTGAAGTCATTCCCGGTTATTCCATGTTCCAATTTAGTTAGTAAAAAATTGAATTAGTTGGTATTTATTTGTTTATTAAATTATTATTTGATTCATAACAATTAATTCTTACAGATAATTATTAATTAAATAACATTTACAAAGCATTTACATTTTTTTATTAAAAAGTTCCGTACAAAAAATATAGTTGAATAGAACATACTTGTACATTTTTTGGCCTTTGATAATAATGTATATAGCTTAGATTTCATAATTGATTTGTTTAAATTAACGAATCATTTGAATTCTAAAAATAATATACCATTCGCATTTAGGAGAAAAACAATAAACTTAAAAATTAACGAGTGAGAGAATCATACAAGAAGACTGTTTTGGTGTTTTTTTTTTCGTTTTTTTTTTTTATCACACATTGATTTATACAGCGGCTGAGCGGCACGCGGTCAGCATTCGCGCCGAAATCGCGAGCGCTCAAGGCCTCAATTCTTGGCCTACTGTAAAGCAGCGCTGGCAGCGCCATACGCCGCCATTGCCAACCAGTACCAATTGCAATTGCAGCCGAACATGGCCGCCGACACAAACAACTCGTGCATTTTATGCGAGTCAATTGCCGGCGAAAATAGCCTTCTAATCGCCGACCTAGACAAGAATAAATTTGCAAATTGGTGGCTTGAGAACTTCGATGTCGAAATAGAAAAGTCTGTGCTCGATGGAAAGTCGGCCCGCGTCTGCAAATTCTGCATCCACGATGCTCGGTGAGTCAAGCTTTCGGGTGAATTGAAATAATTGAATTTTTTTTCAACGTTTTCTTAGCCCGCCGGATATAATTATGTATTTGTATTTATTTCCAGAAATACTGTTGGTTCAGACCGAATCCAAAGAGAAATTCCAATTGATTGGTGGACAGTCGCTTCCTGTGATTCAAGTAACAGTGGTCAAGGTGCATAAAGAAATAGATAAATTTGAGATAAAATAACTAAATTACGCTTAAATAAATTAACAGAACATCAACAATTCTGCGACCTGGTCTTAGAACCACTGAAAAATGATGAAGTTGCGCTATTTTCAGCTACAAACTCGTCAAGCAGGACATTAGACGGACACTCTTCTGGCTCTGGCCAAGGTATAAAAACAAATTACATATTTTATAATATCTCTTATATAAAAGTTATAAAATAACAGAAGTTCCAAAAAACTGCGACGTGGTCTTGGAACCCCTAGGAAACGATGGAGTCGCCATATCTAGGGCCAGAAAATCATTAAGCAGGAAATCAGACAGACACTTTTCTGGCTCTGGCCCAGGTATAAAACAAAATATTTTAGCACAATAACTTATAATAAAAATTTAAAATAACAGAATTTCCAAAAAACTGCTACGTGGTCTTGGAACCCCTAGGAAATGATGAAGTCGCCACATCTACGGCCAGAAAATCATCAAGCAGGAAATCAGAAAAACAAATACACTCTTCTGGCTCTGGTCAAGGTATATTAACAGAAAATATTGTAACTCTACTTGAATAACACAAAATCAATAGAAATTCTAAGAAACTTCTACGTGGTCTTGGAGCCCTTCGCACACGATGAAGTTGCCTCATCTTCAGCTACGAACTCATCAAGCAGGACATCAGGCGACCACTCTTCTGGCTCTATGAAGAAGGCTAAAAGTAAATCATTTCCTGGCAATAAATCACCAATCGCTAGGGCACCAAGAGATAAGGATAAGAAGTTATATTACACCTGCTTTTACTGTCATCGTCGAACTGCCCACATGATTGATCATTTGAAAATTGTTCATAAATTGAAATGTGTGGCACAATGTCGTCAAGGCCTTTGCCGCCAGTATCTTGCACCACAAGATTTACAGCCCCACATTTCAAAATATCACTTCGGCGGCAATGTCTTGATTTGCGAAGTATGCAAATATGTTTTCACAAATAGTATTCACCATAAACTGCATGTTAAATATGCTCACAGAGATGTGAAGGCAGAATATGAAAAATTGATAAATGTCATAAGGGAGATTAAATTTTACAAAGCTAAATTAGTCCGTCCTGAAGCATTTGCAGAGTGGGAACAGACCATTCAAATTGTCTTTGTAAAATGCGTCTTTTGCAATGAAGAGTTCAAGTGCATCGATGCGCTAAAAAAGCACGTAGAGTTCTCTCATAAGGACATTGATGCAATAATGTGCACTTATCCTGACTGCAATGAGTTTTTTGATCTCAAGGATGACTTGGTGACCCATTTGAAAACTGCACATCCGTATCTTACGGAGGGAAAGTTAGAAATTGGGGGGGAAAGCAAAACGGCCTACTTTAAATGCAATTTTTCTGGGAAGTGTAATACAATTTTCAAATCAGACGAAGAAGTGGCAGAGCACATTTTTAATGAGCATACAGACAGTTTGGGTATGAGAACTGCTTGCTTCTATTGTAAAATGTTTGTGTTTCATAAGTCAATGAGCACCCACCTCAAAAAAGTGCACCATGCCACTGACGTATTGAAATGCCCTGCTTTTGACTGCCATCAAATGTACTTAGAATATGCTGATTGGTGGACGCACCTTGAATCTTACCACAAAGACCAGTTCAAAACTGCGACCGATGTCAAGACATCACATATATTACTTGACGGTGAAATTTGTTGCCAAATATGCAACAATAAATATAAATCTGATCTTGCTTTTTTATTGCATTTGAAGCAATTTCATAAATTTGAAACAGTTCTGTCGGAAACATCTTTCAAGAACATTTTTAGGAAATGCACTGAATGCCCACTTTACTTTCAGACCAAAATGGCCCTGAGCATTCACTTGAAGCATGTTCATGAAAAAGCAGAGGGATTGCCAAGTTTTTTTAATGCTTCCGAGTCTCTGATGCAAAGTGAGGTCCCTGTAAATTCCCAAAGTAAGGACGTCTTAGATCCAAAAAGATTAGCTGAACCAACATTAACCCCCGTACCTGCCGAGCAAACTTTGCCACTGACATATGTGTCTGAAGCTTCGGAGTCTCTTTCCCAGAGTGCCTCCAATGAGCTAAATGCAGAAAATGAAACACAAACAACAATAGAACAGACCGTATGCGTTTACTGTGATGTTGAATACGAAGACTTAAAAGAACATTTACTCTCCATTCATAAACTGAAAAATGTGGCAAAATGTACTCACAGTGGCTGCAGCCAATACTTGGCATGTGAGGATTTGGAGTCGCACATTGAAAATCAGCACACAGTCCAAGACATGTCTAGATGTTTAATTTGCAGAATTTGCAAAAAACTATTCATAAATCATGTGTATCACAAGTTGCATATGAGGTATGCTCACGAATTGGATTCTGCAGAAATAAATTCAAGTTGTTCCAAGGAAACAAATCAAATTAACAAACCAGATGTATATCTGAGGCAGAGAGCAAGTGGAGCAATCCTAGTTTCTTGTATCTTTTGTAACAAACGTGTTGCTGGTCACTTACTAATAAACCACATTCGACTTGTTCACAAGCGAATTGATGAAAGAAGGTGCCACTATCCAGACTGTCATGAGGTGTTTGAATTGGAGGGTGACTTAGTAACTCATTTGAAAAGAGAACACCCTTATCTGACAGAGAAAAAATTTGAACCTGACGGGCAAATTGGTTGCTGGAGCACTGAGATCCTTAAGTATGGCTATAAATTTGCTGATTGCCATACAAATTTTGCAAATTACAAAGAGTTTGAAGAGCACATATATAACAAGCACTCTGATTGTTTGGGCAAAAAAATGTCTTGCTTCTATTGTAAGAAATACTGTACTTATGCGGCAATGAGCTACCACCTCTTTAAAGTTCACAATGCGTCTGACATCTTAAAATGCCCGGTTGAGGGCTGCTTTCAAATGTTCATAGAATATAGTGATTGGTGGGCTCATATTAAAAAATATCATAAACACTTTTTCAAATTTGACGATTCCATTGATGCACGAAAAAAATTATTATATTTTGAAGTCGAAACAACAGCATTGCGTTGCAACCAATGCCAGTTCATCTTCCATGCCCAGAAAAGTTTTGTTACTCACTTGAAGCAATATCATAATTACAAAACATACGATTTTGCACAACTTGCATTAGAACCTCTTAGGAAGTGCCTAGATTGCAAACTTTCCTTAAGGAGTAGAGTAGGTATGGAAATTCACATCAAATATGCTCATAAATATACCAACATAGAACCAAACGTCGCACCAAGGACTCCTGAAGTTTCAAAGTTAATGGTGGCGATGAAGGGCTCCTCATGCCTCCAAAATGTGATTCCGCTTAATTCGGACAATCAAATAAGAATAGACAAACAAGTAACTCAGCAGGGGGGAAATAGTCAAGCTAATATTACAAATATTGTGCAAATAATTGCTTGGCCCTTGTGTGATACAAATATTGCTGCAGTTAAATCAAGTGTAGACTGCTCTAAATATCATGGTGGTGCAAAAGGGTCCTTGGAGCAAATTCTTTCGGAGCATGACTACTTTACTAAGTTTCCCTTTGGTTGCGTTTCAGGAAATAAAACTGTGATAGAAAGTAAAGAAAATGAACCCCAGTCAGATGATCAAAATTTTCCAGTAGATTCCAATCCTGATTTACTTTCTCTTAAAAAGTCAAGCAGGTCAAGACATGCCACAAAGATCCACGCTGAAACGAATAAAACTGAGGTTGAAGGGCCTACTTGCATATACTGCAATTATGTAGGCCAGGATTTTCCACAGCATTTTTTCTCTTTTCACAAACTGAAAACTATTATGAAATGTGGTTACAACTTTTGCAAAGACCAATTCACATTAGAAGATTGGCAAATGCATATGAAAAATGAACACACAGGCAAGTGTCCCCCTGAATATGATTTCAAATGCAGAATGTGCAATAAATGTTTCGCAAACGAGGTCCATCATAAGTTGCACACAAGGTATGCTCACAGGGATAAGAAATCTCTCGGGCCTTATTTCGAACTAGAATTCCATGCTACAAAAAAAATATGCTCTCGGGGAGCATTGCAGGAAAATGAAGATAATTTAATGTTAGAAATAACTTGTATCTTCTGCGGAAAAATTGTTAAGAGCCGTTGGATAAATAGTCATTTAAGAAACATGCATAGTGATATCAAAATCATACATTGCTCATACCCAAAATGCTATGAAGTTTTTGACGTAAAGTCTGATTTGATTGAGCATTTGAAAAGTGACCACCCGTACATCCTGGAAATAAATAATTATTTGGAGGAAACTTTTAGTGAGATTGATAAGCCTGAAATAAAATGTAGTTTTAGTAGCTCGTGTTCTAGAGAATTCAAGACAGTCGAGGCAATGAAAGAGCACATTTTAAATTTCCATGCCCTTGATTTGGGCAGCAAAATGCCTTGCTTGTTTTGCGGCAGGTATTTTTCTTACGGAAAAGCTTTGAATGGCCACCTGCAGATCAAACACCCCCACTGGCCAGTACTTGAATGTTATGTTTTTGGCTGTTATCAAATGTTCAAGGATTATACTGATTTGTGGGCACATGTTCAGTCCAAACACCCAAAATCTTACAAAGTGGAAACTCTGGGAAATTCCCCACATTTTGATATTCTCATTGGTGATGGAAACAATGTTTGCAAACATTGCGGAGAGCAGTTGAAAAAAACTGGAAGGTTTGACGTTATGAGACATTTGAGAGAAACTCATCACTACTCAAAGTACAATTTTGACCATTTCGAATTGGCATTTAATAAGCAGTGCCCCAAATGCCCAATTATTTTTAAGGAGAAAAAAGGCCTGGATGCTCATGTGGAATATAAACATCCAAAATTATCGAGACCAACCAAACGTAAACGTAGTTGCAATGATGAAGAGGTTTCGGAGATGGCTGAAAACCCAGTAGAGTGCAACAGTGGAGAAGTGCATTCGGACACTGATACCGCTTCTGAGAATGGAGATTCGTCAATGAGTGATTGTAAACGAGTAAAAATCGAATATGACGAAGAAGAAGTTGAAGTCAAAATTGAACCAGAATCTGACTATCCCCTCGAATTCGGCAATGAAAATCTCAATCAAAATGAACCACGACCAAACTCCTCCGATTTTGACACACAATGTTTTGCACCGCCTGCCTCTTTTCCAACTGTTGACTCTGCAGATATTGCTATAGAGAGCATTTATTTCCAACAGTAGAACCAAAGCTGAAATTAGCTGGTAATGGAAAAATGTAAAATTCCTCTTTTGAAAAAAAAGCAGGTCTCATCAACACATTCAGAAATTGATAGGTTGTTTTGTATTAGTTATAAGCGGTTGTAAGAAAATTGTTTCTAACACTTTTTGAGTTTTAAAGCCTTCCAAATTAAAAAAATAGGTTCAAGGCTAACTGATTGTAAAATTAAGTTAGCTCCTAGTTAGATTTAAGACAAATAAGTCGTTGTATCATGCATGTTGAATGTAAAACCAATAAACTTGCTGCAAAATTCAGCATTATATTTATTACATGTATTGTTCTATTAATTTAATTACATGATAATAAATTTAGAAATTTCATTCCAATTAATAAATAATTTCAAATATTACTGTTTTGATGTTGCTTGCATAGTGAGTCTTATTATTATAATTTTTGATAATCAACCTGTGATTGAGGTTGACTTAAACCGCCTCAAATAGAAGCAAACTCTTCAGAGTCGAATTTTTTTGTAGATTAGATTGGAGTGCGAATAAATAATGTTTGTTGAAATTTTTACTGATCCTTTTTCCACACTTTCAGTTGCTAAGCATCAAATTTGAAAAAGCATTCCGAAGTGTAAAATAGTCAACTAATTAAATTAGAAAACCACTTCACATGCTATTTTGTGGATTGCAAAAATTCAATAAACCAGCTGCCAAATTCGGCATTATAAAATCATATAATATTTTTATCCTATTATTTGATCGAAGTTTATTAAAAAGCTTTCCCGCTGCTTTAAGAACAAACAAAATATAGCTGAAATAAAAACACTGCAACATTCTATCCTCTTTTGCAAGACTAAAAACGTTACTCTTAAATTGTTTAATTCTGATTTTAAAAAAGCAATTTCGTTTCGTAAGCTTTTTTTTCATTCTGAAACTATACTTTAACTTTGAATGAAAAAATGGAAATTTTGGTAATTTTAACTCCAATGAAAAATTAAGTGCTTAATTTATAATAAGCTAATTTAATTCATGCAATATTTTATTTTTACTTAAGCATAATAATTAATATTTAATAAAATTTGCGGGTCCACATTTATATAATGCGTGATTTTTTTATTCCAGAGTTGAATTGAAAAAATTATTTCAAAAACAGCATTTTTTTATTGTATGTCGGATCGCGAGAAACCAACCAATGCATGGAAACTTTAAAACCCCTTCTCCTCTACAAACACACCTGAGCATCTCACTCTTGTAAACCCACACCAAAGAGAATAGAGCGAATAGAGGCTTACACGGCTCACTCAATCTCCGAGAGCCGACGAAGGCACTAGTGCTTGCAGTGCCAAACGCATTTTAGCAAAAAACACCGCATTGACTTCGCTCCTCTACGCCTTTAACGCTTTGATTGTTGCCAAATTCTACAATGTAAGTACACGCTAAAATCAGTTTTTTTTATTTTGTCTCCGCATATATGCTAATTTTTTTCTATCAATTAAATTAAAATTATGCATATTTTTAGCATTTTACTTATTTATTTAAATAAAAACAATAAGAAATATATTCATTTACGTTAGAAATATGAATTTTTAAAGAAATTGGAAATATCAAAATTAGTGAAGATATCCAAGATCAATTTCAAATTTCTATTCGTCACTCTCTTTTCATATTAAATAATTTAAATTATTTCACAAATGTATTTTGCTTTAAAGAAATATGTAAGTTCAATCAAATTAATTCAATCACTCAATGACTCGATTGTGTTGCATTATATAAAATAACAATTGAAACGCAAATGAACATCATTTATTATTTCTTTTATATGCGTTTGTGAATAAATGATATTATAATATTTTCATTCTTTTCAAAACTTAAAGATGAAAAAGTTTAAATATAACTGGGACATTTTAAAGATATTTTCAATTTGTTTATCTATTTTTTATTTTATAAATTTTAAAAATATTTTGCAATGGAGAATAGAACATAATAAATCTGATTTTTTTTTTTTTTTTTTTTTGAACCGAGGACATAATTATTTAGTTGATACTGCAATAGCATAAAATAATAATTAAAAATGACAAATGACCGACGCAAATTTAATGTACTTAACAACAATTATTTAGTACATAATTTAATTTCTTTTATTACACGGTTCATGAAGTTTAGTGCTACTTCCCGCTTCCCGCGTTTCTATCTGCGCCGCTCGTCACTCGTTTTTCTCTCCCGCAAAAAAAGGCCACGCCCACTTCAGTTCTTGCAAAGACGAGTCGCCATGGATGACGTCGAAAAAAATCAAAACATTGTGTGCATTTTATGCGAGTCGATTCCTAGCGATGAAAGCCTTCTTGTCGCAGATTTGGACTCTACCAAATTTGCAAATTGGTGGTTGGAAAGCTTTGACATTCAGATGGATCAGTCGCTGTTAGAAAACAAGTCTGCCCAAATCTGCAAGTTTTGCATTTCAGACGCAAGGTGACGATTTAAATTTTTTATTTTGACCTTAAAACTTCAACTTATGCGTGCAATTTAAAAATTCCAGTGTTGCTGAAAAGTCTAGTCAAGTTGAACGTAAAAATGCCGTGGACTGGTGGGAAAGTAGGCCCTTGAATTCCTATGAACATGGTAAATTATTACTTTTATGATAGAAATTAAGTTTTTTTTTTAAATGAAATTAAAAATAGGGTTAACTAAAAGCTGCTCAGTGGTACTGGAACCATTGACAGAAGAGATGATTCAATTGGCTTCTGGCAAAAGCTCCGTAAATTCGAATCTCGTGTCAATGAGTTGCACTGTGGATGTGGAGGAAGTACCGATATCGCCAATTGCGTGCGAAGCAAATGACAAGCATTCCGGATCAAAATCATCTGCAAATTCAGTTTCTTGTTCGGTGTCAAATGTTTCAGGGAGGACTCCAGAAAAACTTAAATGTCAGTCTTGCCAGAAAGGCTTTTCAAATCTAGCACTTCTTCAATTGCACTTGATCTATTGCACCAAAACAAAACAGGCAGAAAAATCAAAAAGTTTTGTAAAAAATGCTGTTAAATTACCAGATAAACTTCCCTCTAATTGTAAATCAAGGATATTGCCAGATAAAGTAACCTCTAATCATAAATCAAGGACGGATCCATTCTTAACTAAATTCATGAATTGCTTTTACTGTGATGAGCTTATGGAGGTAAAATTTCTGAGAAGCCATTACCGTCTGGCACACCCTTCAACGGCACATCCTTGCCATCAGCCAGGGTGCAGGGAGTGTTTTTATTGTGAAGCAGAAATGTGGGAACACTTTGATAAAAAGCACAGTAAAAAATTAATCCAATGTACATCCAAATTATGTTATCTGCGTTTTGAAAACACTGCTGCTATGCAACTGCATGTTCAAAAAGATCATGATGGCGACGAGACACTTAGCGCTTCCCTCAAATGTTGCAAAGAAGGGAAAACAAATTTTTTTGATGCTTGTTTATCTGGTATAAAAGTTACATATTGTGATCGATGCAGCGAAAAGTTTTACTCAGCAACAGATTCGCATAGCCAATATAGCCATGCTTTGCACTGCCGTGCTAAAAATAATCTTCAAGCAACACCAGTAGCAAAACCAATAAATCTCTTAAAAAACGTTTTGGAAGTGCCATATAATAGTAATGTGTTTGCTCATGCCAAAGAGGAAAATTGTAATGCAGTTTCTAACTTAAAGTCAGAGCAAAATGTGCAAATTCAAAAGGAAGTGCCAGAACAATACATTAAGATCGTACATGGTTGTTTCTGCTGCAAAATTTGTCAACTTTTGTTTCGAAACATACAACAACTGCGTGAACATATTACTGAAAAGCATCTATAGTTCATATTTTCACCTGTCGTAAATCACATAGTAATAACAATGCTTGTAAATATTGAGGTCGATTTTGGCTGGACAAAACTTTAACTCGAAGAAGACAATGAATTAAAATGATTTTAAAGTTAATAAAATACTTTTCTTAATTCTTGTCCCTGCATTAAAAAAAAATGGGAAAGTATGCCAATTATTAATTACTTTATTTAGATATAAAAAATGTTATTTTTGTTCGAAAACTAAAATGCTTTGAATAACTTTGAATAAATCAGTTTTTGTAAATTCAGATTAGTTGTCAGTGGATTCGGAAAGCAAAATCGTTAGTGAATTAATGACTTGATATATGTTCTTTCTATTTTTTGTTCTTCGAGGTGATTTTTCTTTTTATCAAACTTCATGGTAGTGCCAATCTGCGTCAGGAATAACTCAAAATTGATAAAAAAAAAGGAACATCAAAAGCAGTTCAGGGCTTGTCATTATTCACAGTCGGAGAAAGAAAGTGCGTTTTGGGTCAGAATACTCACGAGTTGACTCACAAATAAGCCAAACGAAAGGCAAGTCGTGATCGAAAAAATGAAAAAATGCTACCATTGCGTATATCTATGTCTGTATAATAGTTATATGAAATTAATTATTCAGTCCGCTTTATAATCGATGTCCCTTTGGGATGCGTGCTACGATCTAAATTGGGACGTTTATCATGATTGATTGACTGCACTACTATTCTGAGGTGTGGGGCATGAAAAAGCGATTAAAAAGTGTTTGCATGTCAGCGTACCATTAAAATTATTCTGAATATAAATGAAACAATTTGAAATATTTAATTGATTTTATAGCAATTTATTGAGAGAAAAAACGGTTACATTGTATTTTTTTTTTATTAATTTGAAAAAGAATCAACTTTAAAGTAAGTTTATATTTTGTTCCTTAATATTACACACCGCTGTACACAGAAACCCGTGAAGAAAATAAAAACTTTCATTGATCAGAAAGCCAATAAATTATACGCAACCTGAGAGACCTTTCATCAAATAATTAATTAGCAAAACTCCAGCGCGACGAGGAAGCGTTTTTTCCGCTCTTGACTCCTTTCACGCACAAAAACAAAAAATCTCACCGATGAATTGGCACAGACGCTGATTTCCTCACTTAAAATTTAACTTCTCTCCGCTCCTGTGTCTGCCAAAAATTTCGTGCCTAGGAAAATATAAATCTCCCGGTCGTTTGAGTGGAAGAGATTTTCATCAATTCGATCGTCCGTGAGTCGGATTTTTGCCCGGAGGGTTATCGGAGAAAGCGCCTGCGTAATTAATTATCGGCGCGGGCACATATTTTTGACACACCGCCAGCAAAATGTTAAGTCACAAATAAAGGCTGTTAGCTAATCAAAGCTTCGTCGCGTCTAGCTGACATAACACATAATTGCTACTTACCATGTCCCCTGGACATCTGAATTTTTTGCCTGCGCGTGCCGGGGGAATTGTGCAAAGAATCCACGCTAAGCGAGAGAGAGATGCTTCCATAAAAAGAAAAACCGGCTATTATTTGCAATTCAACTGCACGCGTGCCTATGATGAAATCACCTCGGCCATTCAGAGGATTTCTAGACTCGCGATGATTGCCGGGAATTATGTAAAGAAGTCTAGAGCTAGATGCATATCATGCATAATAATCAAATTTGTCATCGCAAATTGAGCGCGAGATGGACAAATATGGCTTAGACAGATATCTTTATTTTGTCTCTAAATTGGAAATTTTGAAGAGAAAAAATATTCCAAATAGGAAACTTTTTCCGAACAGGGAAATAATTAAAAATTAATTTTTTAAAAAATATTTAAAGATTTTATTAATTTTCATTATGAAACTAACGATTTTTAAGGCTTATTTTTTATAGTAAAAATATTTTTTATTATTTACTCATTTTTTTAATATGAAAAGAATCAATGAAAGTCTTCTGTTGTTTTTAAGTATTTGAATTAATCAGATGACTGTTCATTTTTTGAAAAGCAGAGATTTCAATCAGACGATTGCTTTTGAACCAACTGCTTTTTGCTCCACCCAATCAACATACAGTGCTACTTCCTTGAAGCTGATTATTAATCCGATGCAGTTGTTGTACAAACCGCACCAGCAGCTCCAATCATGAATTGCATTTTCATCAAGCTGTTTTCTTTCGCGCCGCCGGAACCCCTTTCACATTCCTGCATACAGATAGGTGCAAATTTACACATGTTATTTGAAATATTTCAATTTATTTTTTTAATGGTGGTCAAAATAATCGCATTGCAATAATTACGCGGAAGAAGACGCGGCTAATTTTGTGTGTTTTGTAACCGATTCATTTGCATGCCAATAAAGCAATTACGACCGCGCGCAAAGTGAAGTAATAATGATCGTTATGGACGCACCAGAGAGATCTCTTCCTAACGCGTCTATTTTGCGATACCAGCGTGCAGAAGCTATTAAATTACATTGTGCGGAGGAGAAATAGCTTGCTTGAGTCGACCAGTGCGGTTTTCAACTTTCATCACACTTTATTGTCAGCATGACCTGCATGTAGTTTATTGTTCATTTACGCACAAACTCACCGCGTTACAGGTGCAAATTGGATAGTATATTTTTTCTATCAAAAAATAATAATTTGCCAAAAATGCTATAAAATTAAGAGCCGATTCTTTTCTCTGCGCGTGAGAAAAAGGTGGTACAAAATTAAGTTTGATCATTTTAGTAAGTTTTATTGAGTTTTATTTTATACTATCTTGTGCGTGGAACAAACTAGAAGATTTGATACTTTTTATTTTCCCCACCAGAAGCATTTCCTTATGCTTGATTTTGAAGTCGATTAAAGATAATTGTCAGTGGCGTCGTCAGTATGTCGGCCTTGAGACATAAAAAGTGCTCCATGAACCAAAACAGCACAAACCAGTAGCATAAATTATCAACAGGAGCAAGACTCGCTTTATTTTAATCTGGACCTCTGCGTCATTTGCACGTCATGAGGACAATAAAAGATTGGTCAAATTAAATAATTAATTACACATCATAATATTATTTAAAAATCCACAAACGTGCTGAAAATATTTAAATTAAAGAAGAATTGAAGGAAATTATTTTTTCTAATCGTTGATTGCATTGATTTAGCAACATTTTAAGAGAATTCTTGATATTTAAAAAAAAAAATACAGTTTAATTCGTAATTAAAATCTAAAAATAATGTTAGACGACAGATATTCAGCATAGACTTAAAAAAAATGACTTGTTTGAAATCAGATTCGAATCAAGCTGCTGTCAGCAGCATTTTCTAGGTGCGGTAATTGCATGAGTGCTCAAGCAAGAGTATGCCAATCAAATTATAAAAACACGGCATACTGTAGAGCAAACCTCATCATATATGAGAGGTTTCGTGCATGCATTCTTTTCACCTTTATATGCTAATCAAGGCAATTTTTCGCCAAGCATGCTCATCTTCATGCATGTGCGATGTTTTGAAACCAAAAGAGGCTTTGATCGTTTATGCGCGAAAAGACCTTTAATTCAGACATTCATTTTGACGCTGGCAGCGCAAAGAGCCTTCATGCTCTTACTTTAAAAAATAATTCTTGCAGAAAACCTTTTGCTCTGGATGAAGGGATTGTAAAATTCATGTCAAGAAATGAAATTTTGATCCCTAAAATCGTATTTTGATTGTTAGTAAACTACATTCTGACTGTGAGATACTTCAACGTCAAATAAAGCAGCTTCAAATGTAGCACTGAACCTAAAATTTTAAAATTAAACTGCACCATAAGCATAAAATCGTATTTCAAAATTATTATTCCGTCTCAGTTCAAGGAAACTTCCAATGAGTCAAGAAAGGAAAAACATGGCAGTTGAGGAATAAAAATTAAATTATGTAACGTGTCGGTCGCAAAAGTGTTCATATTATTTTCCGCGGTCTTCCACCTCAGGCCGATCGTTGCATGGCAGAAACCGTTAGGTCGCGGAGATGACGCAATGCCCAACCCTGCCGGTCCGGCAGCAAGTGCGTATACGGAGAAAGTAAGACCCACGTCGAGACAAGTGCTCGATCCGCGTCCAAGAACAAAACACTTTCTCTGGCCGCGCGCGCGATTTTGCCCCATGGGCTCGATAGCGTAACATTTGCAGCAGCGGAATCCCCGGATGACATTTTTATATTCTCTAACAGTCAACGTGACCCCGGGCACACCGTTGCGCAACACTTTCTTTCATCTCCCATTAACACGTTACGCATATTTCACCAAAAGTGTGCCAAAGCTCCAAAGTTTGTCTGCTACTTGCAAGAGTATTTCAAATTAATGTGAATTGACACAGTCCCGTTGGCAAAAATATTACTCGACAAAATTACATCATTGACGGTGGCTTTGATATCTTACATGTATTAATTATGAATTGCAGAATTACGTCAACAGAAAATATTCTCTACAGATTTTCTCTTGTTATATAACTCACTAGAGTTTATGTCAAACCCATCTTGATACTTGAAATTTGTGCGGACTTACGTTTTAATTACTGCTTAATTTATTCATATTTAACAAAAATATTTTAAATTCTTAAATTTAATTACAAAAATGTTTTATTGCTGATCTTAAACAGAAATAATTACTGAAACGGTCCTTAATTAACTATATTTTATTAATTGTTTCTATTGCGCTTTTTAAAAATAACAAAATGCTGCAACACCTAAACAACTCCAGAAGAAAGTTTAATAATGGGATTAAATAATAGGCCACAAAACCAAAAGAGGCTCTTCTAGTTCGTGGTGCTCTGTTAGGTCTTGGGTCTAATGATCCGGTAGTTAAGGAATTAAACACTATAATTTGGAAATTGAATTGCAGCAATGAAATAGAAATCAAATGTTTATTTGCCTATCCGAGTGCAATAAACAACTCGATTGCTCCGGTATGCTTTTGCAACACGTTCGCTTTTAATGAATCGAGGGAACGCGTCAGTCCTGTGTGATTGTCCGTGATTGATGAGAGGTTTGTTTGCTGCGCCAAGTCGGAGCGTCTATTAACATCAACAATCTTGTTGCACGCATGGTGGGACTTTCATTGTATGAAAATCTAATTTGCAGCATATATGTAGAATAGACAAAGTGCTTGTAATAGATGCTCTAATGGAGAAGGCAATTTAGCCCTAGCCGTCTCTTTAATTTATGTCAAATTCATAATGCTACATTAAATTAAGAAGAGAAAACTACGTTGACCTTTACATAATAAATTAATGTGAACTTTCCAATGCTCTCTATTTAACTTGAAGTTCGATTCTCGTTAGGATAAAAATTTGACCATTTTTTCTATTCTGTTTCAAAGAAGTCCTGCATATTAACGATCCATTGTGACAATTATATGCAAATTATGCCGGAATATTTTGCAACTTTCAATTTTAAGGTGACTGAGTCATCAGAATTTGAGCGGATGAAGGATGAAAAACATTAGCATAATTACTAAATTAGCATTTATGCAAATAAATCCCACATTATGCAAAGATCCGTTCAATAGAGTAATAAAATATGTCCCTAGTTATGCAACACTTTTACTATCAGATACAAACTTACAAGTGATCGTTATTTTTTTTTTAATTTTAATCGCTTGCATGAATTTTTGATGCAAAATATTAAAGAATAGGTTTGAATGACCGCCGCAGCATTTTTTCTTTCTAAAGAAATGAAATACGCTTTTTTAACATCTTTTCTCTCTTGTATAGCAGAGATTATATTAAAAATTTACTACCGGGAAACGGAGAATAAAAAGGATATAAAATTTATCCACCACTCTAGCAATAAAGCTGTCACTTTTGACGAGAAAGTTTCTAACGCGTCTGATGAACGGAGATAAGGTCGGAGGTCGAGCCGCGAGGAGTGACCCAAAAATCACTCAAATTTTTGAAGGGGACCACTCGACTTCCTCTCCTTTTCCTTCCATAAATCACTTTCCTGTGAAAACACTTCTTCTCCGTTTGATCTTCAATGGTGCGTTAATTTTCACACGTCAAGTGCCCTTGTCGAAGGTCAGCACTCGTCGGCTCATCGCTCTCCTTTTGAATATGCATCCATCACGCGCCTGCATTTTTATCAGATGCAGATGAGATGCGATTTCTTGCGCAGATGTTACTTTTGAATCGTGACCAAGTATGCTCGCGGATCATGACTGAAATATTTAAGAAAGAGGTGAATTTCAAGGCCGCGAGGAACATGAGCGGATCATTTCATTTTCTGCATCAACGGCGTGCCTGGGAATGAGGATATTAACTTGTATTTTTCTTGTTCTGCCTGAAACAACGTTTTTCTTTTAGGAACTTCCTCGCCATATAAAATTCGTGCTCGCAGTAATTTGCACATAATTATTATGTCTTCCTCGTGCAAAATCAAAGCAATTCAAGACTTATAAAAATGCAAATTTGTAATTGCTGCCCTTCACACAGAAATGATTAAATTTATAATTTCAATATCGAATTTTCCGCACAATTGAAACTCGACAACATGCTCAAAGAGCAGAAAGATCTGGCTCGACCTTCTCTTGCGTTTATTTATTCATTCTCTCTCTGGCTGGTCTCTTTTACCTCTTATTTGGATTTCTCTCATGAGTAGAAACTGCTTGGCTGCTCTTTCTTTGCCGCAATGCACTTGGATGAGAGAAAGAAAAGCGGAGAATATCTCGGCAGCCTCCCCAAGAGGCCGCTGGGCGTTTTGCTTGATAATTATTTACATTTATTTTATGATCGAGGAAATTTTCACTCCGACTTGCACCTCGCAAGTGAGCGGTCTGTCCTGCTGGACGCACCGAAAGCTCGTTTTAAATACGCTCGGGGAATGCGAGCAAGTGGATTTCAAGGTTGATGTTGTGCGTCTGCTTCTTAAGTTCAGGATGCTGCAGCAGGTATATATAAGCAAATAAGTTTGTGCAATTTGCCTCTCACAATCAGTGTGGCGGTAATTTGAGTTTCTGGCCTGCCTTTGCACTTTTCTCTCTTCCAAGACGTTCCATTTATTTGAACAAAGGCGCAGTGAAGCTCAAGAAGGGCAATTTTGTCGTTACACTTTCGGCACAATGGCAGATCTTTTCGTGATCCGATCGGCCGCAAATCACTTTTATATTCTTATAGCCTTTTAAATTGACTTTTCACTAAGAGACAAAAGTGGGCCAATCAGATGGGATTTGTCGATACCTCAAGAGGAAAGGTGAATAAATAAGACGTACGTGCGGCCATAAAATTTTTATATGCCATCTGAAAGTCCTGATCCTGAAGCACGCTCTTTAAAACAATGCATTCAAATAAATTATTATATACATTGTTTTCAAATTTGAAGGTCAATTTCTGGCAAGTAATGATAACTTAAAATGCTAATAATGTAAATTACACATAATTTGGAAAACAAAAATACGTTTCGTACAATTTTTGCAATTTGATCGATTATGAAGGTTATTTAGGAAACGACTTTTAAAGAAATACACACAAAACCACAGACGTGTTAAAATAGTATCTATTATGCAAATCCTGGCGTGCCACTAACCTGAGTAGTTACATCAACACTTTAGGTGCAATATGAATAATTATCATTACAAAATATATGGTCTTAATTTGCAAATATGCAAAATTCACACGGATTCTTTCCGCTTAGCTGAGTATCCAATTGATCATTAAAACTTTACCTTTCCCACACTCATTTTCAACGAATACAGTGAGTGTGTAAATCACTTAAATATCGAATTCATTTGGAATATTATTTAACCGCGTAGCTCAGGTGAAAGTTCTGAAAAATGGATCGGCTGCGAATAAATACGCGAGTTTAATAAGCCTTCGCCGCCGCATTCCAAGACTGGTTCTCTTTTTTCACTCACTTTGGTGTAGCTGAAAACACGTAATAAAATTAGCATAAGTTACGAAACTGCGGATTTGTGCTGGTTCATTATTAATTGCAGTTTTTGTTTATAATTAAACTAGGATGCCTGTTGATCAAGAGGTTCATAATTTCTGTTATAATATGACTGAGTTCATGTGACTGATATTTGTTCTTGCAGTTTTTTGTCTGCGGTTTTTATTGCACAAATTCGCTATAGTTTAATTAAAATAATTAAATGTGTAAATTTAGAATTTTCAAAAATAAATTACTTTCCATTTGGTTTATTATAAACAAAAACTCTAAGCCACGAAGAGTACAATTTTGTTGCCGGCATGTCTGCTTTTATTCCTTTTATTTTAAGCACTCATGCATTTGAAGTGCAATGCACGTTCCACTGATTTACAAGCTTGAGTGGCCCGAAATTAAATGTCAAGCGGCAAATAGGAATATATTCGCACGACTGAAGCTCTTCATCTCCTTGCAATCTGTCTTGTTGGTCGAGAGCCGCCGAGAAAAGCAGCCGCGCTTTTATAATTGCAGCTGCTAAAACACATACAAACACTTCAATTGCGTATATGAGAGCCGACTTTTCTGCTGCCGATTACACAACCTGCAGTTACGAGGAGCACTGGAGATGCTGGTTGAACTTTCTTCTTTAATAATGGACTTCCCTGTTTGGGATCGCAGACGCCGTTTAACCATTTGGTTAATTGTGTAAACCGAGCGTTTTTTTCTCGCTGGGAGATTTTTTGTCGAAACTTACACAAGGAATTATTGTCGCTTTTCACTTTCATTCTCTCATTGTGTTTTGAATATGTTGCATGATTATTAATTACTTCACTAAATGTTGCTCACGCCTCTCTTTTCTGTCTGTTGCAGATGCGGCTGTGGCCTCAGCAAGGCCTGGGCCCTTTTGTACTGCTCATTGTTTCACTAGTCGCCGCAGGTATGTAGAAAAAATATTTAAAAAAATGATATTTAAATAAAATGATTTATTTTATGATCTGTTAAAATGATTTTCAGGATTTTATTTTAAAATTTTTCTCATTTTCAATAATGGTTTGCAATTATATATTAAAGAAAGTAGCTGATGCCTTTTTAGATTCAAATTTCTCTATTATTTCCAAACTATCATTTAAAATAATTTCACCTTTGATCCCACACTTCTTTGCGCATTGTTTCTTAATTTGCAAAGGCGTGTTAAATTGTTCTCAAAACTTATAAGATAACCGGCGGCGTAAACGAGAAATTTCCACGCGTTAAAATCTCTAAAAGGAAATGAAGTGACTGCATTAAATCTTCTTCATATTGATAATCCGCCGGCTTTGATTTCTCTCCAGCCAGACTGTCACTACATCGCACGAATCACACCCACTGCCCATTAAAGAGCCGGCGGAGAGAAATGGGCTTGTTTGAATAATACGTTCTATACAAATTCAAGAGGCGCCTCTGAAATGATTCACGCGTGCGTCAATTTCTCTTCTATTCTCTCTTCCACACTCGGACGCCTCTCTATAGCACGTGATTTATGGTTTGACCGCGAGTGAAAATAGCTGCCATAAAAATTCAACGAGAGTTATGGCCCGTGTTGTGCGATTAGATAGCGAGCCGGACAGGAATTACTAATCGCAATTTTGAAGGGCCCTTAATTGGACCGGTTGAAAAGTTAAAAAGAATAGGAAGGGCAGCTTTTAGATTGGGAAGAAAGTTTTTTTTATCTTTCGTTTGTTACGTGCACAAAAGATACGCTCTTAGTTGCAAAAGTGTGCTGATAATGTACTCATTAAAAATTAAAATTTTTAATTATTGACGTAACTTAATATTTTTTTATATAAAAAAAATTTTAAATTTAAAAAAAAATAATAATAATTATAATTATTTTAACTTAAATCTTTTCAAAATAATAGTTTATTATTTTTTGCATGATGCACAGTGAAGAAAAATGATTCAGAAAATAACTGCAGCAACCTTGCGAAAGTTTTTGTGTACTTTGATTTGAATACAAAGAAAAAACTTACGTAGGATGAATGTAATTTTAACGCACCATTGTTAATTTTTTTAAATTTGAAGGATGCGGAACGCCCGCACGGATCGTTAAGCAATTTTTTTCCGTGGGCTGTGTGAGAGACGATTTTTTGTTTTCTTTATTCTAATTTAATTTATCAATGTCATCATCACACGCATCATTACCTAAAATGATTATAGGAAGGATATTGTGAAATTTACTCTCAAATTTGGGTACCTTTTCTTGAAACAATAAAATGTGTTACAGGCGTTTCAAATGTCGCCGGTGAAAACCAAAGGGTGGTTTGCTACTACACAAACTGGTCGGTCTACCGACCTGGAACGGCAAAATTCAACCCCCAAAATATCAACCCCTACCTCTGCACCCATCTTATCTACGCCTTCGGCGGTCTAACCAAAGAAAACGGCCTCAGACCTTTTGACAAGTACCAAGATATTGAACAAGGTATTTTTTTTTCAACTTGAATTTCAAATTTGAAGTCGAGTAAATTAATTTTGTGCTTTAATAAATAGGTGGTTATGCCAAATTCAATGGTCTGAAGAGTTATAACAAGCAGCTCAAAACCCTGCTTGCCATTGGCGGCTGGAATGAGGGCTCAACGAGATTTTCACCCTTGGTGGCCGACCCTGAAAGGAGGCAGGAATTTGTTAAGAATGTCGTCAGGTTTTTGAGAACCAATCACTTTGATGGTCTCGACTTGGACTGGGAATATCCTGCATTCAGGGATGGCGGCAAAGCTAAGGACAGGGAAAATTATGCTCTTTTGGTTGAGGTAAAAATATCCCTTATCATAAATTAAATATTTATATAGTGATAGGACATACTAGAGATAATAAATTTTTTTTTGTCACTTTTAAATTTACTTAAATTTAGTGAATGCTTTGCAATAGATTCCAATTTTTGGCCTATTGGGAAAGCAATTTGAAAATAATTATATTCAAAATAATCAAATTTTTAGGAATTGAGAGCTGAATTTGACAGAGAGTCGAGCAAAACTGGACGTGAACGGCTTCTTTTGACAATGGCCGTACCTGCTGGAACTGAATACATTGACAAGGGCTATGATGTGCCATCTTTGAACAAGTAAAATAATATATTATGCTTAAATTTATTTTCAATTAAACCTTTTTGAATGTCAGAAATTTGGACTTCTTCAACATTTTGAGCTACGATTACCATTCTGCCTACGAGCCAGTTGTGAATCACCATGCGCCTTTGTTTGCTGGTGGTGATCCAGACAATGAATACAATTTTGAAGCTCAACTCTCTATTGTGAGTTAAATTAAATAACATTATTTCCAATGTCATATTTCACATTTTTTTTACTCAGGACCACACTGTTAAACATTATATCAAATTGGGTGCTGAAGCTTCCAAATTGGTACTTGGAATTCCAACTTATGGAAGATCTTACACGCTTTTCAACCCTTTGGCCACCGAACTGGGCTCCGCTGCTGACGGTCCTGGTGAGCAAGGTGATGCCACCAGGGAGAAAGGATATCTAGCATATTACGAGGTGAAATGAATGTTTTCTTATTAGAAATTATTTCATATTAGTTGCCAAGACCACTCATTGCAAAGAAATTTGCTAAAATTTAACTTTCCCTGACGAGCAGATTTGTGAAAGCATAAAGAAGGACGGCTGGACAGTTGAGAATCCAAATCCCACAGACATGGGCCCTATTGCTTACAAGGGAAACCAATGGGTTGGCTACGATGACGTGGAAATCGTCAAGACCAAGGTAAAATCTATCAAAAACTGGAAATTAATTTCTCCTATATACGCTTCTTGCGGTTTGCAAGTGATTTGTTTATCAGATTTTCTTGGAAATTTGATAGGCAAAATCAATACCAATGAGATTTCTCTGAACACGTGTTTTCTTTAAGACAAACCGCTTTTTCATTTAACAATAGGCTAATTTGAATGACTTCCTATTTGGCCCATTTCTCCTTTTCTCATTCAAAATCAAAAGCCGTTCTGGTTTATTTCGGCAAGCAAGCGCCTGGCAAAAGGGGCCATTATTCGTGCTTTGCCCGTAACATAACACCTGCCGGCGGCGCGTGCAAGAGAAATCTATTACGGGCGGCGTGGGAACGAAAGCGATCGGATTATCCGCCTATAACGCTGCCTTTTGTTTAGGCTCGTTACGTCGCCGCCCAGGGTCTTGGAGGAATCATGTTCTGGTCCATCGACAATGATGACTTCCGTGGAAAGTGCCATGACCGTCCTTACCCCCTGATCGAAGCTGCCAAATCAGCCCTTATTGAATCATCAAAGTATGATCATTTATTTTTAAGAAGAGGTTGGTAATAATAATTGTGAATCTAGGCCAATCAGCGGAGAGACACCTAAAAAGAGCAAGCCTTCGAGCACTGCCATCGCTGCACGCAGACCGTCCAGACCTCTGACGGCCACTTCTCCGTCTAGGAGTGCAGCCAAACGGCCGCGTCCTGCTTCCACCACAACTACTGAAGCACCAAGGCAAACAATCACCCCCATTCCTCCAAATACAGCTCATTTGAATACTCCCGAACCACCTACCACCCCTGATCCTGGAAGTGGTGAGTTATTTGGTCTAGTTGAATTTATTTTAATAAAAACAACCAAAATTATTCTAAATAATTAATTATTATATTTAAATAAAAATATATTCATATTTTTAATTTTGGTTTTTCAAGGCCCCTAACATGTGTTAATTCTAAAAAAGTAAATCAAAAATTAAATTAACTAAACTTTATAAAAATCGAATGACAGATACACACAACACAAGTGAATGGACAAATCACAAATCCTAGGATGTTTATTTTTAACTATTTTTTTTTTAATAAGTTAAAAAATGGATGCCAATTTAATAAATCCATTCCAATTGCAGATTTTGTTTGCAAGGACGAAGGATTTTTCCCACATCCCAGAGACTGCAAGAAATACTTCTGGTGCTTGGACAGTGGACCTTCTCAGCTGGGAATTGTGGCTCACCAGTTCACATGCCCTTCAGGTGAAATTTATAATTAGATATTTTCAATAAAATCTCACCTTTGTTCTTATTTACATATTTCCTTACTTATTTTCTTTTACTGGAATTGCAAATTAATTTTAATCTTTGTGCAGGGTTGCTCTTCAACAAAATTGCTGACTCGTGTGACTACGCAAGAAATGTGGTCTGCAAGCCTAAATCAACAGCAACAACTACAACTACCTCCACTGCTTCTCCACCAACAACGCAAAAGTCTCCTGTTTACAAGCCATCCACGACGACAACCACTACAACAACCACCACCACCACAACCGCTGCTCCTGAAGAAGAGGAATATGAATATGACGAAGAAGAGTATGATCCTCAAGCCATCAAAGATCTTGTTGCCCTCATTAAGAAATTAGGTAACTGTTCAAATTAATATATAATATTTGCAAAATTTATTTAATTGATAAATCAGGTGGAGTTGAGCAGCTTGAAAAGCAGTTTGGTGGCACAAAGGAAGATAGCAAGGCGCCCGTGGTACCCAATATTCCTAAGTCACTTTATGATAGAGTACTTGGGGGCAGAACTCGTCCTCAAAGTGGTACTGGAGGCTCAGCTTCTGCAGAGAAGGAAGCAAAAACTAAGCAAGAAACACCAAGGTGAGATGTGTTTTTATGGTTTTGGAATGTATGCAACTGGCAACGCATATGTGCCTTGCAGGTTGCAGCGTGATATTTTTAAGGAAGTACCATGATAAATTTAATTATCCATATCTTTATCTTTATTAGAACGACGTCTTCAAATAGAAGTAGAGGTCCCCAAAATCAAGGACTGGAAGATCTTGAAGAAGTCCGTGGACTTAATAAAGAGAAACCAAAATACACGGAAATCAGGAAAGCCAGGTAATTACAAATTTTGCACCAAAATTTTCCTTGTTGATTTTTTTTCTTATATTGAAGTTTATTTTAGTGATTTATTTTATAAAATATTTCTCATTTTAATGCTTAAAATAAAATTTAAATTTTGTGTGCCAGACCTACTCGTCCTGTTGACGAAGAGGAGGATGAGGAAAGTGTTGAAGAACATGACGAGCCAGAAGAGCAGGCTGCCCCAGAAACAAGCGCACCAAGGACAAGGAAACCTTTCACCTCCAACAAGTATACAAACATCGTAAGACAGCGACCATCAACTGCCGCTCCCGTTGATGAAGAGATTGAAGAAGAAGTGCCAGTCGAGAAAGAAGTCAAACAGGAAGAGGCGCCTAAGAGGTTAGAAATTCTCATTGCGTTTTAATACTTGTAGTGTCCCTACAGTTTAGAAAATTGTAAATTCTTACAAGAACAGAGTATTAGTTGAACTGTTCTTTTTAAGAGCAAAAATTAATGATCAAATATTTAACGATAATAATGCTAAGTAATTTGGTGTGAAATTTATAATGTGTTAAAAAATAATGCTGTAATAGAGGGCTTATTTGGGAGCTAATAAGTTGAAGTCAAATTAAATCTCATTTAATCATATGTTTTATTTCTTAAAAGTAAAGTAATTTTCAATTCTTAACAAGGTTAACTTAAATTTTCTTATTAGGTGGCAATAAAAATTAAGTGAAAAATTTATCTAACCTTAAATACTTCTGCTTGTTAGATGTTAGATAAAATATTTCATAGGTTTTGTAGTTGCCTTTTGTAAAGAATCATATCATTGATCCCCAATGAAAACCATATTGCTACGAGGGTGAAGGTGGTAGAGTAGTATAACTGAACGCTGATTGCAGGAAGCTGTACGCCTCCTTGAGCCGCTCCAGGTCAACTACGACTGCCGCTCCTGTGCAGGAAGAAGTTGCCGAGGAAGAAGTTGAGGGAAAAACTCAACTTGAGTTTGAAGGCAGCGATGAAGTCACTAAGGTAGGATTCAAAGACGGCAATTCGCTGCGAAGACAAGTAGTTGATGATCAGGTAGATAGTGCGACTGATGAACAGCTCCCTCCACAGGAGACCACAACCACTGAGATTCCCCAAGAAACCGCTACCCCCTCCGAAGAACCCTCCACTTCTAGCCCGACGGGCTTTTTACTGACCAAACGCGTTAGCTCAACTACTGAAAAATCTAGGGTGTTTGTTGTTAACGCGCAACGGGCCACTGAAGCACCTTCGACGACGTCCACCACTGAAACTCCGACAACTCTTGATGTGGCTACGACGGAGCCATCAACTGAGGAAGCGACGACTATGAGTGCCGCCTCAACTAGTACAGTGACCAGTGTTGTCACCTCAATCACCGAGTCACCAATCACCGGCAGGACGAAAATTATCATTAACAAAAAGCAGTTTGTCCTATTCCCTAGATCAACCTCTACAATGGCGCCTACCACTAAAGAAGAGGAGCTATCGACCGAAATTTCTTCAACCAGCTCAACCACTACAACAACCACCACCACAGAAGCTCCTACGAGCAAAATCAGAGGCACCACAATCAGATTTAAGAGGCCACCTCTGAGAATTAAGTCAGAGGAAAAACCTTCCTACCGCAAACAGCTTATCAGAAAGCGTCCCCTGAAGACGGAAAAGAGCACAGAGGAGCCAGAAGTGAAAGAGGAGGTTTCCACCCGGAGAAGTTTTGTTCGCCAACGATACAATTACTCGGCAATTGTCAGCACCACTGAGGAAACTGTTGCTGATTTCACACCAAAGAGGAAAAGTTTCAAACCCAGCAGCAGAGGTCGAATCACATTTTCATCTTCCGAAGAATTGGCTGACGATGCGTCGCCCCCCAGCAGTGAAAGACCAAGGTTCGCCGTTTCCAGAAGGAGACCGACCACAAGCACAACTGAAAGCTCGGCCAGTTCAGACGAGCCTACCTCAAGAAGGACACAGTCTAGGCGCAAATATTTTACCACAGAGGCCCCAACCTCTGGCGAGGTTTCCTCCAGAAGGCCCTCGAGAGTCAACCGAGTCCGTCGGCCGCAAATTAGCACTGCCAGTACTACCTCAACCACTGCTCCTCCGGCGACCATTTACTCCGAGGAATTCACAAGTGAGACTTTTGAACCGACCACATCTCTGCCACTGTTCACCGACAAAGAGGCGGAAGTGTCCAATCCCCCAAGACGAAAAACCGTCGTGTTAATCAGAGGCAGACCGTCCTCAACCACAGTCCAATCTGTGGATTCGCAGTACGACCCTTACTACGCCACCAATCCGGACGAGTTCTTCCTACTGTCCAGCTCACAAACCGGCCCAGACGCCTCTGTCGAAGAAGAGAATGTAATTGGCACATTTGCTGATGAGGTAGAGCAATCGCTCCATCATTTTCCCGAACCTAAAAAGTTCGCATAACCCTTTGGCTGGGGCTCGATGCGGTGGTGAACACAAACTCCTCCTCTTCTCTCTGTCCTCCTCTACTTTAACGCCATAAATAACTCTGCATGCCTCACCTGCGGCGGTGAAGACGGCCACCTGTGGAGGAGGCGAATATTCATACTATGACGACGACTGCGACTCACAGTACAGCCGTGACTTTTGTGGAAACACGGACGACAGACCAAGAAAACGCGACGCATTAAATTATTTAAACACAAAGAGACTGGAATGATCTAGCATGATAAACAATGTTATGTTTTATTTAAAATTGCATTAAATTTTGTTATGAAAAGGTGTTGGAACTTTTGTTTTTTTAATGGAATGCTGTGTTGAAAAATAAAATTTTATTATAAAAACTGAAGAAACTAATCATATTGGGTAATTATAATTATGCTACTTAAAAATTATTTAAACACATGGAATTAGGAAAAAACGATTTAAAATATGTTTGTTTGACATAATTGCTTCTTTTTTTTATTTGTTCTAAAATCAGAAATTAAATTTTAAAATTAAAATCAGTCATTATATGCAATGTTATTTGACATATTCTTTCATTTAACAGGCACCTGCCACTGTGAGACCCACCTCCAGGCCACTATCAAGCATAAACCGCAGACCTTTCCAGGGTTCTTCAAGGACAAGGACGAGAACCACCACTGCTGCTCCTTCGAGCACTACCAGCCCCATCCTGGAGACTGCCGATGATTACACCACCAAGGCTCCCCGACAGAGATTTGTCGTCAGGCGCAAGTTTAGACCAACCACAAAGGTAATCAACTTGTGTTGCCACAGCTCTACAATTTTTCAGTCAATTATTTTTTAGGACATCATTCAGAATTCCGAAGGCAAAGAATCTCAATTTGCAACCGCTCCCGAGGCCAGCAGCATCGCTCCAAGGCGCAACAATAATTTCCTGCGTCGGGCCAAAATCAGCGCCAGCACTACTTCAGAGGCACCTATCCCAAGTACAGCAGCTGACGTAGGAGAGACTTCTGCCCTAGTAGCGGAACCCTCTCCTGCCCTTTATTTCTCAAAACAACCCACAGAGGAGTCTCCCATTACTGAGAAAATTCCCTCAACTGGCCCTGCCCGTGATTATTCTGATCTGGCCAATGTTGATGTGTCTGCTCTGACTCAACTTGCAACTCCTTCACCTTGTAAGAAACTTTCAAAAGTTTACGTAAATTAAAATAGCTTAAAAAATATAAATTTAAGTATAAATGGAAAACTATTTTTTTTTTTTTTTTGGTCAATTTAAATTGTTTAATGTTATAAGAAAATCATTAAAATCTGTATATTTTTTGCAGCAATTTCTGATGAGCTGAATGTTGACCATCTGGATGCCGACTTCCCTGACCCTGAAGCTGCCCCTGCTCCAATTGTTCGCACAACTGCTGCCCCAGTAACCACAACTGCTGCACCCATTAGACAGCGCGCCCAACGACCTTCGTCTGCGGTCAGAGAGCAAATACCCAAAGAGCAGAAGCCCTTCACCAAAATTAACAGAGGCAGTGTCAAGTCACAACAGACCCTTGCCCCGGCAGTGCCTTTCACACAAACCGTAACTTATAGACATCAGGAGCCAGCGATTCACCAGTCAACCTACGATTACTACGACTCTGAGCCTGACACAGTAGGCCAGCCAAATTACTCAAACAAGGTAAAAACTAAAAAGAAGTTATCAATCTTAAAATGCAAATATATTAAATAATTTCATTCAGGTGAAAATTCACGAGGACGGCAGTCTTGAGTGTTTGGACAGGGGTAACTTTGCCCACCCCTTCTCTTGCCGCAAGTTCATTTCTTGCGCCTTGATGGAGAACGGCGCCCTCCTCGGCTGGATCTACACCTGCCCAAGGCACCTGGCCTTTGACCCCATTGGAGGAATCTGCAACTGGTCGGGCGGATGCAAAGAGTAAAAGCAACAATGCCAGTGAAATCTGAACAATTATCAAAACGTGATTTCAATTGGGGACATAAAGAGAGAAATGCTAGAGATCATACCTTAATTGCTTAGGTTATCTTTGTACCATTAAATTAGAATGTACGGCTTAAGATTTAAGCACAAAGTATGGTCTTCCTGTTTTATAAATTTTATAAAAAAGACAAATAATTTTGATTAAAATGGTTATCTGATCAAAATATTTATTCAGCTGGTAAGGGTGACTTTATATTGTTCTTTTGCAAGAGATTGTTTAATTTTTCAGCCATATTATTTTACAAGAGCGGAACTGAATCAAGGCCATGCTGTGTCTGACCACAATAAAATTGTAACGGATATTTTAATTGAGAGTATTTTGCATAATAAACTGTTAGGATTTATTGCTCTGTACTCTATATATGTGAAATAAATAGAATGCCAACATTATAATAAGTATTCCAGTTTGATTTGACGTTTTGATTGAAAAATAATTAGTAAATTACAAAATCTTATAAAAAAATTTAGATCATTAAATTTTTTGTGCAGGAGCACAAAATTCGTGGGAATTGTACAATATATATAATTAGAAACTTTTTGCAGGGTATTACAGTCGTTCCAGCTTTTTTGCTAGAAAAATAGTATAATTTGTTTGGGCTCTTAAAAAAATTGCTAACAAACTTCCAAAAGTTTGCAAAATGTGAGGGAGCTTTCACTTCAATCCGGTGGCTTTGTTGGCAGCTCTCGGGAAGGCTTTTAAGTTTTAATAGCATAAATAAAATCGGATCCTTTTGCTTATTTTTATTTCTTAACTATTATTATTTTCTACCGGTCTTTTTTTTACAAAGTTCATTGTATAAAGAAACCTTAAATTTGTTGAAAGCACACACTTATAAATTATACAGACTTAGCTTTCGGTCAATAAGTTTTTGGATCTATAATTAAATTTCTACATATTGGATTTGAACACACAAAAATTCCATTTCAGGCTCTTGTGAATGCAAGAGTACAAATAAAATTACTAATGTTCCGGCCGCAAACTAATTGAGAATTTGTTCCTGCGCAAGCCATTTAAAAATAAATATAAGCAACTTTTTGAAAAGAAAATTAACATATGGTACGTGTTGCACATACCAAACGATTACTTTTTGTAATCATTTTCAGAGTCGTCTTCATCACTTTCACACTCCTCTTCATCATTGTCCGAATCTTCTCCCAAGGCAGCTTTGAAATCATCCCCACACAAGATTTCGACCACCTCGTCGACAAACTTGGCATGCTCTTTTAGTATTAACAGAATTAAAAGTTATGCTTGAAATACAAACTATATGCTAAAGCGACTGTGCTTACTCATATTAAGTTTCTGGTCTGGCTTATGGAAGTTGAAAACAACTGCCAGATGATGGACTTCCAAAGCTTCCACACCAATTTTGAGCACTCGTTGAATTTCTCCAGGCAGATTTGTGGGACATCCAACACCATTTTTGTCAATTTTGACAACTTCAGATGAACAGAGCTTTTTCTTCACTTCCTGTTCCAAGGTGATCAAATCTACAAGATCGAATTGGAATGAGATACGAGATATAGAAATAATTTTTGTGATCCATACTCATGACTCCCGTGTCCATGATGTTATTCCAGAATGCAAGGACGGTGAAAATGATCCTGTTGAGGGGAAGTTTCTTTCTCTCCTGCTTCTTCAGCTTGGCTACGTAGAAGTCAAAGAGTGCATGGAGGCAGTTTGCAAGAGCCTTCCCAGGCACGGTAAATATGGACGAAGCTTTGCGCCAGTCTGCAGCTGTAATATTTTAATGGCTTTTAGCATTCACAAAATACTCAATTTTTAAGACACTATTTTAATTTGAATAAAAATAATTACCCTGCTTTTCCTTCAGCATGTTACTGCCTTCCCCAGCAGTGCCTCTAGTTTTCCTTTCCACCACATCTTTAGACACAGTTTTCCTTAGTGTGGCGTTGTCTGAAATTCCGATAAAAAGAAACTTAATTAAACTATTTTATTAAATACTCCGAAGATGAAAATTAACATTTGTAATATGCTTACCAATGTCAGCACTCAAACCCATTCCTTCAAACCAGGAGTATACGAAAATACGAGCTGGTCTCAGGCTGCTCAGTGAGCCTTTTGCGATGGCCCTCTCAATGTCATCAGGGTAAGAGGTTGGTACAATCATGACATCTGGCACAAGAACAATCCAGTTGCATTCCTTCAACCTCTTTTCAACAGCCAATTTGATCGGGCCAGGCACTGCACAATAATAAAATTTTTTATTCCTGATTTAAATTTTAAAAATTAACTACTTTTATTGCAAGTGTCAATAAGATTGACAACCGCCAGCAACTCAATGGCGTTTGCTGGCATATCCTTCAGCTTGCCCACATTTTCACGCAATTTGCGGCGTTTTGGTGCTTTATGCTCCCAATTCGACACATCCTCGACTGTGTCGACAATTTCGACCAAATAATCAGACAGAGCATTTTTGGGTACTAGAAATTCATCGTTGCTGGATGACATGTTTTCTGCAAAATGAAACTCTTAACATCAATAAAATCAAGAAAATATAATCAGAGAAAATCTCGATTCTCGGTATCTCAATTTACACTACAAAGTCTTGAAACTTCCGAACGAATCTGCGGGCCCGGCGGGACCGAACTGCACACACAATGTACCTGACCACACGTCGACGTGATCTGTCGATCTGTCCAGGAGTAAAACTGAAGAGAAGACAGATTAGAAGTGACGCTGCACTTGCACTTTTTCTGGTTGCAAAAACCGAGCTACATGTGTGGAACTTGTGGAGATGACGCGAATTTTTATACGCAGGCGGTGTGGACAAGAATGGACGAGATCGACTTCTCACAGTCAGTGGACTCGGTCTTCTCACCAGGGAGAGGAGAGAGGACTCAGGCTGTTTCGCTTTTCGCATTGCTTTTCGGCCTTTTCGCTGACTAGGAAATCTATAGTCAGGCATGCGGAATTTGGCTCCTCCCCCAAGATAGGCGGCGGGAAAAAAAAAGATTGGTATTATTTATGCTGGCATATATATAATTGGGCATTAAAATAAAATAATAAATTTAACTCAATCAAAGGAGAATTAATAACTACAAAATTTTTTACTTAATGAATTATGGCTTAAATTTGAATTATTTTAAATCTATTGTTTAATTTTTGGATACATTGCAGTGCTTTGTAAAGAAAAACAAATAGGATTTTTGAAGTATAACCTGAATCACAGGATAAACTTTCTTTATAAATCATCAAAGAAAAATTAGTTGTAACTATAGAAGAATAATATATATTCATAAAATATTATTTTCTATAAAATTTATTAATATAGGATCCAATAAAAACTTTTTAATGTCGGTTTGAAATCACTAGTTTAAACCAATCAAAATATTTGCAATGCACAAATTAATTATGGAGTCTTTAAAATTGCTTATGATTCATGGCTGATGAGGTGCAGGTTTTTGAATGATCGGTCGAGCTCCATGCAACCGTGTACCTGGTTGAAGAGTAACCATAAATAAAAATTAATTAGTCATATTGAATTAAATCAAATCGAATGGCAACTTACATAATAGTTTGTCTTGCTTGATAAGGCGGTGTTGACTGCATGCCTAATATTTGAACTTGCGGACATCTAGAATTTAAATGCATAATTTTTTGATACATATATATTTACTTCTTTTCTCATTAATTTAGTGCGTTTTCAAATTTCAAATTGCATGTAAAGGTGATATAAATTTCTCCAAATTTGCTCTTTTATAAAATTACATATTTAATTTTTCCTCTAAAAAAGGTGCTGATCATCGGTGCATGGGGTGTGCGGCACTGAGCGCGGCGCTATTTATTATCGCTTTTCGATGTTCAATCGTTTCTTCATGCATTGCACTGATTCCAAAAACTTTCAGAATTCAAGATTCTCCCTTTCACTGGCTATAATCAAAGCGCACTATTTTCCCGCCACTCCACCAGGAAGTCCACCCACAATCCGCCACAAAGCACACCAGAGATAAGATAAGAGAATAAATTGAAATTTAAATTCTCTAGACAATCCTAACGTGGCAAAAATTCTCAGAAATAAGAAAGAACATATTTCAATTTGTGTATTTTTAAAATGGACGCAATATGAAAATTACTCATGAGACTTCCAGAGAAAGTACAAATCAGTTTCATATAATATTCAAGACGAGCTATATATCATAATCGATTTATTTTTAACACAGTTAAATTAATGCTGTTTATCTGTTTTTTTTTTGGTTAGTCTCAATTATAAATGTCATATTTTAATCTTGACGCTGCTGGGGAAAATTTCGCTCCTGCCGGGTAGGATTTTTTCGATTCCTCTAGCTTGAGTTTGAATTGAAGCTTCCTCTCAATTGAAGATTGCAGAAATTTCTAAATATATTTTTTTGAACATTAGGTTAGACGCAAGTCCACATTAATTTTTTTAAATGACACTTTTCATATTGTTTTTTTTATACAAACAAATTGATTCGTACAAATAGATTATTTAACTGTTCAGCTTCGAGAATGCATGCCTTTATTTTAATTATCAATATTATCATTTGCATTTATGTCAAATGTTAGTGCAATAAATTTTCACAATCTTTGTTGGATCCAAATTTTAATCAGAGCTTTAAATTAATAAAAACGTCAGTTTTAATTTAGTAGTTTCAGAAATTAAAGGACAGCAGAATAGCAGATTCTGATGGAAAATGACAACATTTGCGGCTCAAAAAATCTTGAGCAGACTGTAATGAGATAACAGCTAGATAACTTTTCTTAATTAACCACCAACGAGCTGCAGATGCTGACTGACCATATTATACTGACTAGTGTGTAATAAAATTGAGGCAATGAGTGAGCAAAGGGGCATCTGGCTGGCTTGTGTATAATGACTCGAAGACCCCTCCGCGCAACAGGCTGGCGAAGTGCCGGCGCGCCGCTCGCGGTGTTGGCTCTACTCAATAGTTATACCAGTCTGCCTCTAACCTTCATGAGAGAAGGAAGTGACTATTTAGTAAAGTGCGCTCCATGTGTTGTTGTTTGGTCTCGCGGGCGGACGCGGCAGCTGAATCAAAGAGAATCAATAAACTTTTTGTTTTGAGATCGTAGCTCATTAGTGACCTCGACATATCAACGAGATGAGACGATACTGCCGGCCTGACAAAAAAGATCATCGCTGACACACTGGCACGAATTTCTGAAAATCAGATTTGATAAGAAGGATCATAGAGGACCACTTCGACGAAATATAATGGTGAGAAATATTTACATAGTAAAATTTTGATTAAGAGAGGTTGGAGGGGCGTTATACGTTATTATTTTTTACAAGCTAAGCAGAAAGATGATGTCAAAATAAACGATCCAGGTGAATATTTTTATGCGCCAAAATTTACATTGGCTTTTTAATTTCCACAGCAGTATAATTATAATGCTGCCTGAACGCTTTTATGGCAGGGTCAGATGTAAATATCTAAAGCATTTTTTATAACAAAAATGTCAACTTTTACACCAAGGAAATCGGCAATGGAATTTTTATATACATGAGTCAAAGGCTATGCTTATCTTTCTTGCTATAGATGATTGATCAGTCGGAAACAAAATAAGGAAAATAATCGCGGCGCCGCTTTTTAGCTGCGCGCAAACCGCGACCGGCGCCCTTGCCTTGCACACCTCCGAAAACTCTACCGCTTTTGGAATTTGTAATCAAACAGTGGGGCCGACCTTGAATTTTCACAGTGCTGGAGCAGCGCGACCCGTTTTATGATATTACGTTGTTTGATCTGCACACACAGGCGGTCCAGGCGCGTCTCTCGGATTCGCGAACCCACTAGCATTCCACCTTCGCAGTTTCGCACCTTTTGGCGAGAGAGGAAAAAATGCAAAAAATAAAAAAGGAAAAAACAGAATGGTTGCCTGCCGGGACGAGAACTGCCCGTTTGTTTTCTGCGCTCATTTATCTTTGTGCGCGATGGAAGCAATTTACGATTGCGATTAATCATTTTCATTGTGAAACGCGTGTGGGGTGAAGAAAATAAATCTGCTCGCGTGTACGTGTGGCGCAATTCTTCATATACAAATCAATTTTCTTGGCTCGCTCGCCAGGGCTTTTTTTATCCACCACGCACATCTGCAAAATATTGCAGGTGTCTCACCAGCGGTTTCCTCTTTTCCAGAGAAGAGCTTTTTTGAATTTGTATTCAGCGAAACGTCTCGCGTTGTTTGCGTCACGCGACGCTTTCAGAAAATGAATTAACGGCGATTCATTATGTGTGAAGGCGCCACTGGTAATAATAACTCCGTCACCCTCGTGGTCTTAATGACTTGAAAAATTATGCAGGCTTGCTAGGCTCCTTTTCACAAAACATTTCATAAAGCGTTTCAAAGTTTGTATGACGTACACGACGTGACGAGGCCTGTTTTTCAGGTTTGTTGAACCAACAATAAAACTCAAAATAACGTAAAATGTTAGGTGTTGCAAATTCTGCAAAATATATCTAAATTGAGCACTAGTGACGTCTTAGAAATAAAAAGTCATAGAAAGTTTTCTTGGTAAGGATTAATTAAAAGGGAAATGAAGCCATGGCACAGAGTATTTCAATTCTCGTTGCAATTAATTAATATTCATATCACAAACAGCCTCATCCGCTTCTCCACCCGTGTCAAATTTACATCAGCTGGTTGATTGAAGCTCAAATAATAACCACTGGGAGAAATGCAAGTCTCGAATTACTGTGCAGAAAATCCTGTTCAACAAGACGGCCAGGAAAAAAGATAGCAGGGATACGCGGCAGTGTGTCTTTTTCACAACTTCATCAGTGAATCGGCATTTATTTTTGCGGTTGAGTCGGCTCTCAAACAGATTTTTCTCTCTCGCACACTTTTATGCCCCTTAGAATCTTTATCTGGTTTTCCTCTTTTCGTTCATGCAATTTATTAGTTCAGAATTCTGGATAAAATTAACAAGCACTTTTTAAACACATATATACTCATTTTCTCCTTTCGTGTGCTCCGGCCACAGAGATGACTAACAGGCTTTTGCTGGTAAGACATACACAAATTAACACTCACTGACCGCAGCACCGGAAAATGTGTTAGCTGCAAAATGCCGCGTTTCTGATAAACCCTGCTCTCAGTTGGAACTTCCTTTTTGAAAATGGCTTTGAAAACGATTCCACTGTGTGTTCAGACTTCAGACGCCACAAAAATTGCGACACGTTTCTGGTTCTTCGCCAAAAACTGAAATAAGCAAAACTATAGAATATAAAAAAATTTGGTGGAACCGCTTTTAGATTGTGAAATATAGATAAAAATGACTTTTTATTACAACTGTGGTCATAAATTTAAAGAAACAAATTTTTTAGTGTCAAAATTAATTTTTTTCCTCCATCTCAGAGTGAAAGTGCAGACGTCATTTAGTTTATTTTAAATATCAAAAGCAAAACCAGACTACTGTCAGGTCAGGGTATAAATAGATGATTTACGATTGGAAAACAACATATGGCAGACGACAGACGGCAAAATAGAGGCGTTTTGTCGCCTGTAAATTAACTTGTTGATAACCCAGATAATTCAAGTTGCTAATCCAAAAAGTCAATACATGCATCATGTTGGCAAAGAAAAATGTTGCAACATTATTCGTTTTGACCGCGAATAATTGACTTTAGTCAGAGACACAAAAGACTAGACGACAGTTGTGTGGACGCTAAAAATAATGCCATGGTAAAAAATGCACCTTTGTTTTCATTTGGCAATAGTCAAGTTGGCATAGTACACAATAAAGAGGAATGCAACAAGTAACGCTTCCGCCATGACTATATTAGATGACCATCAATAATAAACAAAAGTTAATCTGCAAATATTGATGGTTACCAATTGAATAATTAAATAATGCTCCTTAAATTATTATGTTAACTATTTTAATTTCAGTTATAAAATAGATTCTTGTTTGTAATAATTTTTTTAAATTTCTACAATATATTATATGGATTAATTTAGTTTTTTAGCTAAAAAAATTAATAAACTAAATACGTACGCAAAGTGAACTTTTCCGGCATGAGTACGTCTCATACGATCTTAAATATTATGAATTTTGAATAAATAATTTGTGTTAAATGTATTTAATTAATACAATAAATTTTATATAATTTATTACATAATTTATATATAATTTGTGACTAATAAAAATAGTTATAATTTGGTTCAAACTAATGCAGCGTTTATGAGATGCAGTTATTAAATGAACTGTAAATTAGCTGATAATTCCCTTCCTGAAATGAACAGCCAGAGGCGGACATCATCTTGAGAGCAAATTGCGCAATGAAGCAAGGTGCTAATTCGAGCCGCCCTTGCCAATGAGCAGAAAGCAGAATTATTAGCAAACCGCCGATAGTTCAACAAACACACAAGAGCTGCGTTTGCATCTGCACGAACTCTTCTCGAGTTTTACTGGCTCGAATCCAATTTTGCGCCGCGAACTTCGCTGTTGATTATCTCTGGCCGCTGTGTCTTGAAAATAAACCAAAACTCATAAGAATGTCTCTCGGCGCTTCGTTTTAATTTCGGTGCCAAACTCCGCCGCCTAATGGCCATCTTAACGACCAACCCTTCTTTTTATTCAGATTTAAACGCCGACCAAACAAGTTTCTCTCGCACTTGATTTATGATAATGAATCTCGTTGCAGCAGTCAGGCGTGAAATTGCATCCTTTTAGCATGATATGCGTGGGGCAGGGAATGCACCGTGAAAAATATATAAGTGCTTTTAACTTATGTTCAAGAGTCAAGTATGATCGGTCAATGCACTCGAGTACGTGTAACAACATTTGCTAAATGAAAAAGAAAATATTGCATGGACGTACGTGCTTATTTTTAATTGAAAAGTGCAGCATAAGAGAGATCGGGGCTGCAACGATCCAGTGACCTCATGGATTATCTCAATGACATTGACTATTTAATGAAAACATACTCTCCTCTCTCTGATAAAGAAAAATTGTCCTCTTATTTACCAGTCGGGGTCGTCCTATAGACATCAAATTGTTGTTAGTTTAACACAAAAGTGAATTCAAAGGTCAAAAGAATTATCTAGAAATAGCTGTCAGCAACTTTGAATATAAAGAAAACATTTTTATCTTGTAGAAAATAAATTAAAACTAAAGACTAACAATAAAAGTTTTTTAAAATTTTTTTATACATGAATAGAGCTCTGGTATAACAAAAAAAACTTTTGGTTGAATTTTATTAAAAAAAAGAAATGCAGTTAATGATGTCTTGTCTTACATTTTTGCCTACAATTACACAAACTGTAAATTAACTTAAGTATAGACGAGGAATTTTTAAAATTACATTTATTATAGTAATTCACATGGTTAGTTATATAATAATAAGAGTGTTAACTCAAAATTTGAAACAAAAACTTTTAATACTTATAAACTTAGTTTTTAATTTTTGTGTGACTTGTTACGAGAGAATAAATTAATTGAATTGAATTTTCTTACTTTTCATATTTTTTTTTCTCATTTTTATAAAAGTTTTTATTGAAAAAATATTTAACACCATTATATTTGATCAAACTTGCTTTACACATATAATTCCAATCACGTAACTGACATTTATAAATTGTTTTCATTAGCAAAAATTTTATTATAAAACAAATAAAAAACCCATAGCAATATTTTGTATAGTATCGTCGCATTGTTTGCCAAGTATTCTTGACAGGAAATGTTTTGTTGAATTTTCATTATTTATCTTTCAATCAACACGCCCAATCCAAACCGCGGCTGTGCATCTCGTACGAACTTTTGCGAGTCTCAAGGGTGCGTCTCTCTTTTGCTCTTTACCATCATCGGATAAACATGAGTGTGTCTGTACGCCTGCTGCGATCCATTCATATTTTCAATTAGCATTGTTCGCCGCGAAAGGGCCCCGTCGGTTAACGTCCTTGTTGCAGGCGATTATTCAATTCAGAGCGCGCCTCACGGGACGAAATGACGCTGAATGGTTATAAAAGCGAGCTCTATTCGCTGCAGCTTTTCGCGTTTAATTCGCACCACAGCCGTTCGCAGCCTCGAGCCATTGGGTGCACGCACACAACCTTGCCGCAATTAATCAGGCAAATGGTTCCGTGTGCTGGCGCGAATCTAGTAATGATGCTTTTATCCTCAAATTTATCTTCCGTTTTGCGGGCCAATTACATGTGCAGGTTTGGGTGACCGGGCGGAAGGTCAACCATTATGCAACAGGGCGAGGCTCCTGTACTTGTTTTAATTGAAACTGTAATTATTACTTCCTCTTGTGAGAGTATATGAACTGTAAAGAGTTGTTTCTCAGAATTTCTCATGGAGAGGTCATATCACCGAATGAGAGCACAAAAATAAAGTCGTATAATATTTATTGAAATTTAACTTTTTACTTTCTGGCAAGAATTGAAGGAAAAAAGATATACAAAATTATTATTATTTTTTTTGCAATAGAAATATATTAAAAGTTTATTTTAGCTACAAATTTTTCTCTCAATTAAATAGTAAATAATAATTAAAAAATTTTGATTAAAATAATATATCAGATTGATTATTAATATAGCCAGGGAGAAAAGTTGACTGCTCATTTGCACTGAGAGAAATTAATTTTTTAGACATGGCAATAATTTGTATATTATGAATGATTGACAAGGCTGTGTAGTGCGTATGAAATCTGTTCTTGAGTGTCGCAGTCGCACCACAGCGTTCATGACAGGAGCCTAATGGATCACACACCGCTCTCTGTTTATGCGCGTCTGCGTGTTTTCCTGCCTGATCTCTGATTTTGATCTGCCAGACTTTGTTTTCCACGCATGCTAATCCACGCGATTATAATTATTGGAGTGCGCGACAGGCGAGCCTGCATCAAGGCCGGTAAAATGCACCTGGAGCTTGGAAAATGCACCGAGCGAAGGCCAAAATTGGACGGTCGCGTTTCGCAACTGCACATATTTATGTTTCTACGGGTTTCCTCCCGTCTCTCGAGCTTATTTTGGATGACCTACAATTAAAAATGAAAGTAGTATAAAATATCGCGACCGACCGAACGAAAATAAAGCCAATTTTCGAAATCAGATCGCACACCGCGCCAATTATTTATGTGCTTGTCTTTGTCCCCTGGGTTGGCATTTGCATGCAGGGCAGACACTCACTTGAAAGCATATTCTTTGTCAATTATACTCCTTCGCAAATTTACATGGCCCTGAAAATTTACATATTTTTACTTGCGTTCACTGCTGGCCACCAGAAAAATTGAATAATTTAGCTATTTATAAAACGTGAATTATTTGGAAAAATTTTCTCATTATATTAATAGATTTAATCACTGTGACAAAATAAATTAAGAACCATTTAAGCATAAACAAAAAAATATTATTTAAATTTGGTAAAAAAAATTATCAATGTGCAAATATTTATGTCGGTTACCTTTTTATTTTTAAGTGACACTTGTTGACAGGTTGAGCTTTGAATCAAATTCAGAAATTATGGAGAAAATACTTTTTATTATTACAACGGTTTTTGAGTGAACATTATCATTGTCTAGTTTAAAAAGTGTAAAAGTTATAAAAAAGTATATTTTTGAACTATTGGGTTTTTATTAATTGTCTCAAACAAGGGGTCACAATGAAATCTGTGGAACCAATTGTTATTATCAACAACTTCTTCATTGGTTACTCATATACTCAAAGGATCAATTTCGCCACTCTCAATTTCACTCCCCAAAGATAATGGTGGGGGCAATGAGACGAATTCGGGTGGCTTTAGCACTGGTGATTCGTGTGCTTTTGGTCCAGCAAGGGAGTTTTCACCTCCTTCGTGTGCCTTCATGTGGTTTCCTATGTCAGCTGGTTTCATGATACATTTGCAAATGTTACAAGCAAATTTCCATTTTGGTAATCTATGTGACTTGCCATGGAAAGTCTTTATATGGGTATCCACAATAGCAGGGGGTACAAAAACTTGACAAGCATCACAAAAGAATTTAAAATTTGACGATTCTTTGGCTTTTTTCTGAATACACACTTTTTGCTCATTATGACATTCCAGTGCAAATTCTGATCGGAACTGCAATTTGCAATACATGCAAGCGTATGGGTTTTCAGTGATGCCAGATAATTGTTTTGTCACAGAACTTTCATTTTTCGGGTGTAGCAATTCTGATTTTGACATTTCAGGGTGTTCAGAGTCATAATGTTTGGACTCGAGTTGTTGATCTGCAAAAATGTCGAAACAATTTGGATGTCGGCAAATATGTAAAATCTCATGCTCAATTTTACAGTGTTGTTTGATCATGCTAGGAACGATGAACTCATTACAAATAATACATGGTATTTTCTCCACCTTGGCATTCCATTTTTGTGAAAGTTCTAACATTTCAATGCTCCGCAAAGATTTTTTTGGCACATATAATCTTGGGTCTAGGGTTTTCTTTAGGTGAAAAAATTCAATGTGTTGATTAAGTCTGTTTTCACTTTTAAATAAGTGGTTGCACATTTTGCAAGGATACGGCTTTTGTTCCAGATAAGTCAAATCAAAATTACGATTTAGTTTGTGGTCGTATGCAATGTGCCTTAACAATACTCCTTTCGTCCTTAAAATCTTGCACTCAGGATATGGACAGACATAGTTTTGCTCGTTAGTATGATTACTAAGCAAATGTTTTCTCAGGCTGCTAAATTTCAATTCGCAATATTTGCAAGAGTTGTCCGCTTGTTGCTCGTTCATAACTGGAGGGACTGGAGGTTTCTTTTCGATCTCCGAACCATCTGTTCGTCGCTTTTTCTGTTCAGGTGAATTTTCTTCGTTAATTGAGGTGAATTTTTTCTCTTGCTGGATCGTCTTGCCCTTTACCTCCATAGGAAAATGTCCTTTGGGCTCTGAAAACATAATATTTTTAATTTTTTATTACATAAATTCCTTATTTTTCATTTTACCAATCACATGGTTGGGGATCTTTGAGCCGCAGGATGTCCACCAATCAATCTCTTTACCCTTGTCAACTGAACTATTTTCTCTTTCAAAAGTTACTCTGAAACAATCATAAATACACATATAATTTAATATTACATAATTCATTAGAATTTTGCATTAGATTTAATTATAAATGTTCACTTACATTGCGTCCTCAATGCAAAATCTGCAAATAATTTTGGCCTTGGTGAGGTTGATCACAGACTTTTCCATTTCGACGTTGAAACTTTCGAGCCACCAATTTTTAAGTTTCGTTGTGTCCAAGTCTGCGACGGCCACGGCGTTTTTGTCAGCAATCGACTCACACAAAATGCACAGGTCTGGCTGTTTGTCTTCCTCTTCCGACTCATCACTAGCAAGATTTATCACCGCTGGCTCTTTCATTCTGATTAAATGTCAACTTCGTTGTGTTGTGATGACTCAAAAGGTTGAATTAACTGAACAATTTTACATACTTCACAAAATTTATTCACGACAATAACAATAACAAGGAGACAGTAGTGGCGGGAGGCACTGCCTCTAACGACGAAATTTGGAACTATACTTCAAGCGGGATTTCTCACGACTTTATGACGGGTCCGCCGGGCCATGTGGGGTTTTCCTAGCGGTGCTTGTTTATAGTTTTTTTAATTGTTATTTATTTTATCGTGGACTGCTGTAAATAATATTTTTCAACATTTTTTGGTGAAAAAACCAGAAATAAAAATAAGATCTCGGAAAAGCAACTATTTAAAAAAAGAGAAGTAAAATGTCAAATAGCATTTTGTTATTTTTATCGTTATATTGAAAATGATTTCAATTACAATAAATTTTAAATACCATTAAGTCTTTTCCATAATAATTTTAATTAAGCTACAGTTAATTGTTATCAGATTGTTATTGAAAAGAGGTGCTATCGAACGTTAAGTATTACAAATAATACCTTTGATTTCAGACCAGATCTGCATTGACTTATTTTATTTTAGAAGAGAAAGTTAGAAAAGAAGGCTAATTGCGCAGAGACTTTTTAACAGAGCATTTCTCTTATTCAAATTCAATGCATTAGAAGTTTTTGTTTTGAATTTGTTTGTGGAAATCTTTTGTGTTGAAAACCGAGGAAATAATAGTATAAGAGAACACAATATCCACTTGTCTTCACAAACACATCAAGCTGTTGACATATTTTATTTCTTTGCCTTTTGCAAAGGAGCTGCTTTTCTCACTTAATGACATATTTATTAAATAGGGCCGCCGCGAGAACCGCAATCAATTCATGTTATATTCTCAAGTACGACAACACTCTGCAACTTAATTTCATAACTCATTTCGGTGCCACAAAGTGCTTTGTTGAAACAATCATGATATTATCAGTTATCATCAAGAATACTCACTTTTATTTCAAATGCGTGAAATTAAAAAATTCAAAACTGCAACGAATCTTTATAGGGAGAGAAGTAAAAAATAGAAGAAGCCATGAAAACAATAAAAAATAAATATAATTTATATAATTATTTCAGCTACTACAAGAAATAACTGAATTAAATTTATATTTTGCTTCAAAGCATGGCAGAAGAGATCAAAATAATGAATTTATGTATAAAAAATTATCAATTTAAATTTGGATATATCTATTACACAAATTTTGAATAAATTCCTTCTCAATCCTATCAAATTATATTTGTTTGCACCAGTTTAATTTTGTGTAATCTTTGGTACAAGAAGAATTTTATAAATAGATATTTTCTTCAGCACATCAGAGCAAAACTTACAGGTTCAGAGCTGACGATTTACAAATAATAAGAAGTAGAATTGCAGGTGGCATTTTATCAATCTTGATTGGCATTTCCTCCATTAAGTTTTTCCATAAAAGAAGCTACTCTTTAAATCAACAAGAACATAAAAATAATGATCTGCAGAAATATTGCTGAATTATTCATTTACAGCGATAAACAGAGAATGGTGTCTAACGAGGCTTGAAAAAACTGGAAAGTGAACTAGACGAGGCGACAGGGATATTCGCGAGATGCATTCCGATGCAGAGAAAATTCTCAAGTGAGGCGTGCGACGTGTTGGTAAAAAGCGAATCAACGTCCGGTTCTATAAAGCGAATCCGAAACAAAGCGTAGTCGGTAAGATTTTTTTCCTGAGCCTCATCTCGATATCCTTGAGCAAGAGCACAATGGCCAGAGAAATAATTAATAGGCGCCGTAAACGTCTGGATCTTTTTTTCATGTCTCGACGTACTTCAAAAAAATATTACTGCTTGTGTAAAAGCAAAAAATTACACTGCCGTTGCAAGCTATTTTCTGCTTGTTGTCTCTGGCTTGGGCTCGCATTTCGTGAAAGACGACTGCGAAATCTGATCGTGAGTTCAAATTGTGTGTCGTGCGTTGAAAAAAAACGCGCAAGTGTGACGACAACAAATTTCCGCTGATATAGCACAATCAGGTTTGCGATTTTCTGCAAATAGTTACGCATTGTTTTCCTCACTCTTGGATTCTAAGATCTCAAAGATCAAGTTTGAAAAAAGCAGATTTTTTTATCTATTCCACAAATTATTCTTTTTCCTTCTAATTGTAAGTTGAAAATGAAAAAGAATTGAATTTGTTTAAATATACGAGTGATTTCAAAACTTTAATTCTTTATTTAACATAGGGAACTAATTTTGGGCGTAATAGTAATTCCGTGAGGTTCTTTTTTATTTCCCATGCTGCAATATCATAAAAATTAGTTTACACAAGCGTATAAGTCAAGAATATGATATATTATCAATCATGGTTAAGTAAATAGAATGCTCAGAGAATTTTTTTTATAGTTGATTATAACATTTCTGAAATTAAAAAAAAATGCAATATAATAATAAATTTCTAATAATTGAATATAATTTATTTACAAGCTATAAAATTGAAAGAAAACAAGCTTTCCCTGTCGGTCACTGTTGAAAAATTGTTTGATATAGAAAAATCATACGGCTATCGTCATTGAAAAAATGTTTTTTTTTTTTTTATAATTTCTTCAACATTTTCTTCAGCTTTCATGATCGACTGTCAATTTCTTCAAGCTGATATAAATTTATATGTCATTTAAAACTGTGATACATTATTTTCTATTGAACTGTAAAATAACTTGAACAAAATAATTGTATATTTATCCTAAGGCTTTAGGATTTTAAAATTTGATTTAAAAAAAAAATACTATGAATAACACAAATTTCTAATGTCTTGTTTTTTTTTCTAATTTTTTCAAATTGTATTATGCATCGATTTCTTTTAAATACTTTAATGCGTGGGTTGCAGACGATCCGCCTGATTGTGTTACTGGCTTTCGTGGTGATGCGAACCGATTGCACCAGCGCGCCGAGCGAGTTGTGCGAAGTTGATGACCTGGCCTGCAAGAATGTGACCCGAGGAACCAACTGCGGCTGCACTTTTAGCGGCACCAAGGCCAAATGTTGCCACTTCAAGCTCAACCTGGTTTCTGACTACGTTTTCAACTGCAACCTTGAAAACCTGACCGCGCTGTTCTTCTTCAATTGCTCCTCGCCGGACACCGGCACCAACGTCCGTAACCTTGATCTCACCCCGATATTGAAGAAGTATCCTCAGTTGCTGACAATGTCATTCACAAACGCTGATTACAAGTACTAAAAGTTAAAATAAAGAACAAAACTATTTGAAATCAAGCCCTTGAAAGAAAGTAAATGTAAAAGTACAATTTATTCACAAAAGATTTTATTTAAGATGTAATATAAAGGCTTACTTATTATGTTTCTAATTTTTAATTTGCTATTAATATTTATTCTTTATTACATTTTTATTTTTGCTTATTGTTTAAATTTGTTCTCAGCACAATAGCGTTTGATCCTCGAAATGACAGCAGGCCAAACTTGCAGTGCCTAAATGTTTCAAGCAACAATCTTGAAAACGACACTGCTATCAAAAAAGTAATTGAATCAGTCCCGTCTCTGCGGCTCATCGATCTTGCGAGCAACAATCTTTCTTATGCACCAAACATTAGCAACGGAGAAGATTTATGGATGCATATGGCTGGTAATATTTTTCTTTTTTAATTATGTAAAAAAAATTAAAGGCTTATTTTATTCCCAGAAAATAAATTTTTACGCTGCGACGGGATAGCTGACATGATGATGAATAACAGTACAAAATTTCTAAACCCTGGGAATACCACTTGCGTAAAAACCACTAGTATCATCCAATGGGAGGCAAATACAGATGTCTTTCGTTTGTCTCTTGACAACATCGAATATGCAAATATGGTAAACAAATAACACATGTACAAAATATCAATATCATCATTTTTGTTTAATTTGCAAATTTTTCTTGCAGGTGAGCCAGCAGTGTCCTTCGAAGTGTATGTGCAACAAGGGTAGATTGATTCCGACTGGAATTTCAACGATCATCACAGTGGAAGTTAACTGTTCTAGCAGGCACCTTACAGAACTACCAGCAGTTCTTCCCATGCACACCACTGATCTCGACGTGAGCAACAATAATGTAAGAAACTGTAAATGTCCTTTTTCCTTTTTTCTAACGTTTTGCTCAAATTTCTAGATAACAAATCTGATGCCAATGTCTGTCAAAAACAAGAATTCAAATTACAACAAGTTGAGGACTCTCTATGCCGACAATAATAAAATTACTTCAATCGATGCCTTGGAGGGAACCGACTTTCTAAATTCTTTCGACTTGATTAGTTTGAAAAATAATAAAATCACAAATGTATGTGTTTTTATATTTTAAATCTTTTTTTTTTAATATTCTATTTTTAGATTCCGCATTTTATTAAAAAAGCCTTTGACAAGGATTCAGGCAAAGGACAGATCAGCATTAGTGGAAATGATTTTAGCTGTGACTGTTCCACAGCAATGCAAACTAAGGTAATGATTTTGTTAGAATTAAAAAATAGCGCGCTGACAAATATTTTATTCTCTTGTAGCCTTGGCTCATTACGCACAAGTCGCACATACAGGATTTTGATCAAATAACGTGCAGCAACATGGGCAAGAAAAAGGTATAATTTTTAAAATTCAAATTCATGAATCAAAATTTATATCTCACTTTTAAATCCATATTTCAGGTTGTGGATTTGGTGCAAGAAACTTTGTGTGTCAATGAAGAGATTAATTACATTTACTACATAATTGCTGCTGAAGTGTTGTTGCTACTTCTGTTAGTTGGAAAAGTTTCCTACGACTACTGGGTTTTCAAACACGTTGGCTATTTGCCCTGGCCAGCTTCGAAAATGCCCAGACTCCCATGTGACTATTTTTTCGAAAAGTGAGCCCAGAGATTTTGAGAAATGATGATAGGAGTTGTGGACATATTTTTGCACATATGTATTTATGTTCCTGAACTGATAATCGATAAAACTGCTTGTTTAGTTCATTCGGCAAATTAGTGTATTTTTTACAAATTTTGAGAACAAGTTTTTGTGTCAAATAATATGTAACATGAGGACTTTTGCAAGAGCAAAAACGTGTAAATTTTTTAAGGAAAAAGACAATAGTGTGTCAGCAAGGGTCATATTGTTTTTTAGATAATGATTGATCTTCATGTGATGAGTATTGAATCAAATAAAGAATTGCCATATTTATCTATTTAAGACGAATTCCTTGTCAAATGTGCCTGTTTGTGAAATTCTTTTTTGTAAAAAGTCCAATTTTGGTAATTGTATTATACAGCATGTAGAATAAATTCTAATTATAAGATGTATAATATTTTGAATATTATTTGTTGTATTAAATAGTTAATACAGCTGGATCAGCCATCATCATTTAAAATGTTTGAATTTTTTAAATTCAAGTTTTAAGGAAATTTTCCATCCGGGAAATCAAGCATTGGCAAAAATTTAGTTAAACTTTCCTCGTATAGGTGGCAACTCCTTCCTCCTTCCAGTGCAGAAAATTGCTCTGCCTTGTGCTATAACATGCTCCGACATGCCAATATAAATTTAGTTTTAGTAGAATGATAGACCTGTATAAAAAAATTCACGTCTTTTTTTAAATTTTGACTAAAACTTTCATTAAAATCACAAATGCAGCGCCCTCAAACATACAACCTTATCTTTATTATTATTATTTGTGACGGCCTGAACGCACAGTTGCTGTTGCATGTGTATGGCAGTTAGATTCCATTCCTTTTCATTGTGGCTGAGCAAAAAGCGGCATTTCATGCAAATTAGTGTTACGTTTGAGCTGCTCTCTCATTGCGTCCGTTTTTTTGTTTGTGATGGACACAACGCGGATTTATGGCGGCGCGTTTGTTCGCGCACACACAAAACACAATTTACATGATCGTTATTGTTCGGCGTACGCGGCGCACGCATTAAAATAAAAAAAGGCAACTCGATAAATCAGAAGCCTCGGGTAGTTTCCCGGCCTGCATTTCAACACACGCAGAAAAGGAAAAGCTATTAACAGAATTGGCGCTATGCAGCTCTCGGGACAAAAATAATGACGGCCTGGATGAATTTCGCCCACCCTTTATCAGGCCTCGCTCGGCGGAATTAACGCCCCCTCCGGTCGCGGAAACTGATTCCTTTTTGTTTGCTTTAGTGAGCAGAGCGCATAGCCGACTCGTTATTTATATCAGCACTTGATTTGCATTGAATTTAGACTAAAAATGTCCGTTGAATAATATTGTTCCCTTTGTTACAACAATAGCCATAATGCTTTTCAGAAGAATTAATTTAAAGAATTAAAAGAAATTACCAATGGTTATAATATTTGCATACCATATACATTTGAAAAGATATTTATATAATAAAATAAAAAGAAGATAATGAGAAAAAAAATCACAATTTGATTATGCAACTGCCATAACATCCCAGTATTCGGCCTATATGAAATTCAGGCGCTGTTTCAAACGTAGAAGGAATAATATATTACTGCAACATGAGATTGAGATAATTACAAATTTTAACGCGCTCTACTATAAAGATTTTACTTAATTTCTAATTGAAAAAATAAATAATGATAATAAAATTAAAAACATAAGTAATATTATATGCACATGAAAAGCAAAATCGCCTTTATAGTTTTAAGCGTGCTTCACCGTTAGGGTGTCAACTATCTTTTGAGGGACTAGAGAAACACTTAACGTCTGGCACACACACTTCGACGGCGCTCAGTCTCAATAAGCAGTCAATTTGCGCCTCGCCATAACAACAAAGAACAACGACGGCAAAGTCGGCAAACTTGCTCGAGGACAAAACGTGTACTTTAGCTGGCGAGAAATTCGAGCCTCTGCAGATCTTAAGCGACGCGAGTAAGTGAAAGAAAGGTGCATCACTTTTCTACGAGGAGAAGTGGCTGCTGCTTCTGCCGCTGAAAGTTGCCAAGAAAAAATAAATAAATCGCCCACACTCACAGAGTGACACGACTCGGTGACAAATGGCGCTCTCTCGCCCGCACCTTCGGTCCGACACACGTCGCCCAGAGATGACGAAACAAAACGCGAGAGCTAAATGCGCTCCCTGGAAATGAACTCGTGCAGGTGCCACTGACACGGGAAGGCTGAAAAATTTCAAATATTTTTAATAACATTTGCCATTTTTCACAGTGACTTCTGCTGAGAGCAGCCACTCGGTTCAGAGCATCGCGCTAAATTCCGACGCAACTTTATTGCCGTGCAAAAATGGTTGGAAATTTATGGCTTTATCTTTTTCTGAAATTTTTTATGGTGTGAAATTTCATTGGACTAATAGAAAGGTGACATTCAATTTAAACTGAATAGGAATTATTATATTTTTGCTACAGTCAGAGTATCTCGTTTTAAGAAAAAATTGTTATGATGATGCTCATAAGGATAAAAAACCAAGTCAATGAATTGTAAATTTTCAGTGCATAGGTTGTTATGCTTAAAATAGAAAATGCCTGGTATTTTTGTTAGGTTCATATCATGTGATAAAAATAAATAAAATTATATTCATTTCATTGCTCCATTATTTCTGTACAAGAGCAAAATAACTTTCATTACATTCAATACATTTGTTTTGCTCAATTTATTATTGGCGCAGCGATTTTAAAGCTTTAATAGTTGCACCCTCTCACAACATCACATCAGGCTTCACTCACTGTATGCACAGAGAGCAGCTTGATAATTTCATCATCGGGTGATTGGACCGAACCAAAAGGCACCAACATGCATGCACCTGAAAGCAGGTCAGCGAGTTAATCATCTCCCGCCGAGCAGAAATCACTTCCGAGGGAAAAACAAGAAAACACAATCAACCGCGCTCTCGCGATCAGCGCTCGCGAGAAGTTGCAAACAAGCACTTTCTGATCTATTTATTCATGAGAGAAACGAACAAACGAGCGCGTATTAGAAATGCACAAACAATGTCGGCGGGTTTCATGCTCAACAAGCATTCATCCAACTTCTCCGTGCGACTCAATTACCAGTGACGGGGAAATATAATCGAAGTTAAATTGCAAACTGGCAATTCTTTTGTGGGGGTTGTAAATCAAAGCTATTAGTTTCAATGCACAACCGATGTTGTGTGATTAATTACGTTTTATCCTTGGTTATTTAAAGTTTTAAATTATCCAGCCATTATCCAACAAACTAATTCACATCAATTCAAATTACATGCATTAGAATTAAATCATAAAATGAACAAGTTCTGTTAATTACAGCTCATGAATTATGAATTCAGCCCGCAGCCAAAATATTTAAAGCAGGATGAATTGTTTTTTTCTGTGAAAGAAAACATCAGCAGAAAAATAAAACTATTCCGCTGAATTTCAATTATTACTTAACAAACATTACAAAAAAATAGTAAAACTAACAATAAGAGAATGAAACGATTTTATAATTTTGATTCGAAAAACTTTCAGTTGCTTCCAATGAATAGAAAATTTAAAAGTTTTTCGTTTTGAATATGAATTAAGTTGTTTGCAGCTTTTCATTAAGGCAAATTGTGAAAATCGAGTTGGCGGAAAGCCGCGCTGTGAACCGCCGCTGCCATTAGGGCTATTGAGCCGGTTTTGTGTGCGCCGTGGCCTGACTCGGCCGCCGCATTTCATCACTGCCATTTATATGGAAATTGAGAGCTGCAAATGTCAGATAGCGCCGGACCTGTCATTGAAGAAACACACCATTTACCCCTGCACAGCTTGGTACGTGGACACCACCGGCTCATAATCAGTTTCATTTGCCTCCCAGCAAAGAGCAGACGCAGCAGAGTGGCAAAATGCGCAACCTGGTTGACTTAAAATAAAAATTTTAATGAAAAGTTTTCATCATTTTCATTTTCTTTTAATTGATTTAATTAAATTTGTTTTCATTCAATTAAAAGCAAACATTACACCAAGTTTATAAAATTGTGATAGCACAATATGAATTGGCCTGTGTACTAATTTATTTTTGATTCTATTTTAGATAGAGCTCTTTCGGTAGGCATATTTATCTCAGTCTTTATCTCAATGTTTAAAAAAAATATCTTTTCTTGATAAAAATTTGCCTCTTTAAGTATTGACTTATTCAAAAAGTTGAGATTCTTCCACTCTCACGTACATCCATCTGAAGTTCTATCAAAAGGGCAGGACCATCAGCATTTTCATTCAAATCGCACACCTGCAAATTCGAAAAGGGCCGCACCAAGTTTGAGAGAGGTTTGCGCCCACAAAGTTTTTTTAGGGGCGTTGATCCCTTTTTGTTTTTGTTTCGGCGTGCGCACCAGAAAGTTAAATAATGAAGTTTAATGACCCGCTTGTGCTGCTCGCGCGAAGACAAAGTTGAAAGGGAATACAACACAACTTGCTCAGCTGAATACCAAACCAACCACCTCTACTTCCAGTACTTTCTTGCACTCGACCTGCCGACTGCGAAGGGTTGATGGCAGGGGCGCGTGCACCCCACTACACACATAAGCAGTCACTTCGTGTCTTTGCCAAACTTCCTGAGAGACATCTGGAAGACAAAAGCGATCGTGAAATCAAATTGAGTTAGCGCAGGAGTGCACACAGCATTTTGACGTGCTGGAAAAAGAAGGAAAGTCGGCTCGGAAGGCGCCGCCGGAATAAATATTATACACACGCGCGCGCTCCTCTTCTGGCTGCACAACACTGAGGATAACTTTTATCCAGCACAAGCTGCCGGGCAGAATTACTTTTCGCGACAACTTTAAGCTGCTCGCTAATAATTTATCTTCAGTTGAATGAATTTAAGCCGCGCTTTGTGCGCACCACTCGGTGACGCATGCATCCGTCCTTATGCTGTCTGATGAGTGGGAATTGTTTCTCGCGCACATTATCCAAGGAACAAAGAGAGAGAGAGAGAGTGATTAAATCAGATCTTGCCAAGGTCCGTTTGTTTAGCTTCACTTACGATCAGATGAAGATGAAGGTTTTGTTTGTCACGTATCCACTGATTATTTTAATTAAAAAAATTAATAAATAAAACTGAGAATAAATACAATACATCAAATTAAATAAATTGATCAACAATGAATGAGTTTGTAGTTATTTGTACTATTGCAGGGAGATTGTGTAGCTTAAAAAAGCTAAAAAATTATGAAGTTTTAAATTGTTTGAAATTTTTTAAGAAGAATAGTTTTTTTATTCAAACTGATTCAAACTAATCAAATTGCAAAATGCAAATTAATGCGCATATGCTCGTCCTTTATCTTTCTTAATAACACAGTTTTATAATAATGAAATTTATGAAGAGATTAATGTAAATGTTGATTTAATTTATAAATTTCTAAATTGATCCATGTCAATGATTACAGTTTATAGTTAACGTCACGTCAACGCTTACAGATGATCACTATATGTAATTATATTTTCTTCAAATATTTATCCTCTAGTAGCTTTTTTAGCTTTTTGATAAAATATTTGTCACGAAAAGTTACAAATACAGTACTAAAAAACATTGTAACAGTTGAAATGTGACACTTCAATTAAGATAAAAAATTGTATTCATTTAATATTGAAATTAAAAAATTTTTCAATTTTTTTAAATACAAATTAATATTATATAAATTAGCTTTAAAAGTTTGCAAATGATAAAAATGACTTGCAGATTATTTAACTATTAAAAAAAAAAAAAAAAAACAGGTTATGGGGTGAACCTAGATCAACTCCTACTTCTGCGTGCATGCCCCTGTACCTCTAGCCTCTATATTGCTTTGCTTTTCTTATACAGTCGTTTTACGTCTTCTTCAACATGCACAGGTGAAAGAAGAGAACGCTAGATAAAATTGGAAAATAGATTTGCATGCTGCGGGTACGGAAAACGTAGGACGTCGGGAGCTGCTTATCAAATAAGCGAGTCTAGGCCGTGAAGGTGCAACTTGGTTCGCCAGCTAGATAAGTGCTTTATTCCTCTGCAGGTGCATTTTTTCGCGGGTAATGAACAAACATCACGCCATCCAGCGCGAACACAATCTGCAAGTGAAATGCAATTTGCTGCTGGAACGAGGAGAATCAACTCTTGTCTTTCTCCTGCAAATTGGGTTGAAGTGCTTGTTGATTGAGAGAAAAGATTTCGCCATTTGAATGGCAAAATTATTCAAATAAGGTTTGTGTAAATGTCTCAATTGGATGTTCGGATCGCAAGTCAAATTCTCAAATTGATACTCTATGCGAGTCAAACAGCTCTGCTATTGATTGCGGTCGTCTGGCGCCTCTATATAGTGAATGAGCGATCCGCCGGCACGACAAATAGGCTCGCAAACTCGCCGCGTGTTGACCCACATAACGAGCACATTGTTGACTGGGGCTTGCGAAATGACATAAATGACAAATTGAGGGGCGCACACCGACCGGAGACTGCATGCGTGTCAACAACCAAAGAGGCACTTCTCCGCTTTGCCACCGTGAATGCAGGACACAAAATGTGGATTCTGCCAATTTCAGCAGAATCGCTTTAAAGTCTATTAATTAAATGAAGGGATCTGACTGAAATCACATACATTTTATTTTAATTAAAACGTCAAAAAGTGAAAAATCTTCAAATTAGGTAGAGATATTAAAAAAAAAAATTGGATTTTTGTAATTGCGATTTAAAATTTAATCATCATATTTTTTTAACTTCCGGTAATTTATAAAACTTAGTCAGAGAATACGTTAAAAAAAGACACAAAATAAATTAAATAATTGAACAGAGAAAAAGAAAATAAAGAAGGATATATTTTTCACTCTCATTTTTTATTGTTGGCAAAATTTATTTCAAGAAGAGTCATTTGAGACAGAGGCATTATTTGATCTGTTAAACAGTATAGCGCTTTTACAAACGCAATGTCATGTATTTTTAATCCCATGTTATCAACGATACAAGGGCGATTACTTGCAGCTTTCTTTTTGCGCTTTAATTCTTGTGCTTGAAGATTTTCTCGCGGGTGAAGCAATAGTCAGCCAAGTAGGTTCCGTCAATCGACGTCTTCCTGCCTGCAATAGTAAACCCAAAAACATTATCGAATTGACGATGATTGATTTTCGTCATGATTTTTTATATGTATATATCTCCACAATTAAAAAAAATCGTAACAATATTTTAAAAAGCAATTTTTTTAAAAATATTACCATTTGATAGGCGTGGAGTATTATCAACGATCGCTTTGGTCCTCTTGTTGCACTCCAATTTGTAGCAAACATTTCTGCCACAGGAGCATTTGGCCAATTCAGTAGGATTGTTGCTAGTGTTGCATTGGTTCACAAAATCCTTGCACGATTGCAGACCGGTACCACCTTAAAAAAATTTTATTTCTCTATAAATATAGAGATGTTCAGTTCACTCTATTAAAATTTAAATATAACTGCTACAACATTAAATAATGTATTTAATAGGAACCAAAACAGAAAATATATTATATTTAGAAGGCAATTTCTCAATTTGTTTATCATTTATTACAAGATCAAACTTAAAACATGGTCAAATAGATCAAGTTAATAAATAAACACCTTCTGGAAATTTAATGCTGTTTACGAAAGGAATTCAACAAAATTAATATTGTTACCAAGTTGCAAGAAAAAATTATTAAACCTTTAAATAATTTTTCTAAGATCACTGAATTAGAATTATACTCACACTCCTCAAGGTCCAGGGGCTGTGGCAAAATTCCATAAGGGCTTGGTGGCTTCTGTGTATCATCTTTGGCGCTCAATATAGGCTGGGCAACCAGCAGAAGAAGTAAAAGCTTCAGCATTTTGATTATTCAAGCTTACTGGTCACACTGTCAAAGAAGCACTGAAGCGAAAGTGCGCACCAAGGCACCGAGTTCAAAGACCAAAAGAATAACGCCTCCCGGAAACTTTCGATACTGATAAATGCAAAACAAACTCTCTGCTGACGATAAGGTTGTTTTTCACATGTATATGTCATGTGTCGTTATGTGCGGTTATATGTATGTACATACATGACATTTATCTTGTATACACGCAGAGGCAGCGTGATAAATTATTTTTCCTCTTGCGAAATATTATGAATCACATCCACATGATGATGAATCTGTGATGGTTAGGTCAATTAATTGCAAGCGCTTAACTTTTTTTACAATTGGTAGTGTATTTGAGGGTTTTGCGTAGAGTATAATGACAAACAAAGAATCTGAGGGAGAAATTTATTTATTATTTCAATCAAAAAGTGTTTACTTTTCAAAACATAATTCATATTGACCTGATATTTACGTCAATTTAGAAATAAAGGAGAGTTAAATATTTTTTACTTCTTTCGTTGCTATTTTATTACTTTAAATTTTAAATTGAATTTGTGGAAATGGGCACTGAAAATAGCGTTTTATAAAAAAAGGACTTTTTTTAAATTCAAAATTAATACAATTATTATTGTTATAAATTTCCTACACGATGATTTTTTTTTAGAGTTACATTAATAAAAATTAATAAATCCATTTTTCTCTTCATAATTTATTCCTAAAATAGAAATTGCGCTGATCACACATAGAAGGTTAAACATATATTTTTTGTTTCTTTATTGTCATCTTGCTACAGCGATGATTAAGGACAATTGAAATAATGGATAATTAAAATGACCACTATAATTATCAAAAATCACTGGGTCAATTTTTAATTTTCGTATAATTTACAAATATTGGCTAGAACAATGTTTATACCACAAGCACTGCGTGCTTTCAATTTTAAATTTTATATTTCCTACTAATGTGAAACTTATTAATTGATAACAAATTAATTAGCTTTCAATAATTATACTTTTTGGCTTTGCATTGTAAGAAAAAAAATTCTAGGTTTTTTTTTAATTATTTTCTTTTTTACAATTAGATGCATTTTAAAACAAAATTTGATTAGATATGAACAAAGCAAGCAATAAGAGAAATATTTTTTATTATTATATTATTTTGCTGAACAAAAAACTAAACTAGAATTGGTGAATCTAATTTTTATCACCACGACTGCTTTCTGGTAGCATATCGATTGCCAATAGGGTAATAACTCACTTTCGGCAGGTGGACATTACTCGCGGTCGCAATTACCAAAAAGCTGGGAGTGTTTTTGGCCGTTGAGCGAACAAATGGACTCTGCGCTTAATGAGTTGGCACAAAGCGCGACAAATCGCCAAATTGCTGCCTTTTTCTTTGCCACCCGCGAGCCACGTCGATTTCAGCCGAAAGATTAGCCGGCGGAAGCAACCTATTTCTAGTCATGAGACGGAGTCGGTTATAAATTATTCAGAGGAAGAATGTTGCGAATTTCTTATTGGTTTTTCAGCCAGTGTACACATTCGGCGGGCGACGCGCCGCGCAGCTAGTGTTAGAATAATAATATTTGTTTGCCAACAGATTTGCATGGAAATAGATGCAGTGGCACCCTGGGAGCCTGGCTGGTGAAAGTAGCGGCGCAGAGGACAACTTCCCGCTGTCGGCGAACGCTTTTGTGCCGCCGCTCGCTGATAATAGGTTTCTTCGTGTGCACAAGGATTTGCCGGATTCAAATCTCATAAAAAGTGTGTACACAACTTTAAGCAAAACGAAGAAAAAACTTATATATTCTTCAAATTCACCGAATCCATTACACATTAATACTTTACTGTCCCTATTACTTTGGATAACACTTTTTTTTTAAAAGCATTCTAGAATGTCATTTAGATTCACGCAGAAATGAACATTATTTGAAAGAACATTTAGCTTTAGCTTACAGAGGAAAAATCTTAGAAAATAATACTCTTTAGGTTCTTCTAAATTTTAAGTCAATTCAGCCCCCTTAGAACTTTTTAAAAAAAATTTCAACCAGGTAAAATTTAACCAACTATATGTGGTGGAAAAAGCTTAATAAATTAAAAAAGTAAATTGATTGACATGGTTTTGTTTTTGCAATAAAAGAAGAACAAACAATAACAAATATATTTATAAACTTTGCAATTTTTAATTTTTATTCTAGTCATCGAGGAATATTTTTAAATTTGTTTTTGAAAAAATATGGATAAAGCCTATTGCGGTGTGCAACACTTTTGCGCTTTTTTCAAATTCGCTGAATTAACAAGCCCATTACGCGCCGAGTGACGGCTGATGCTGGTAATTGACTGATGAAGACAGATGGGACGGTGGTGGCACGAGAAAAGAGGGTCGATCATTTTCTCACCCGCCACGCTTTCCCGGTGGTTTGCATTTTAATGCATGCATTTGGCGGGATTTGCGGGTCGCGTTATTCCGGCGTGGTGTGACATAAAAGTCATCATTAAAAATAATAACACATTTCTCCAGGCAGTTCACTCACTCGTGTGCAATAAAGTTCGCGAGCGTGTGTGTGCAACGGAGCCATAATCGGAGCGAATACGAGCTCACAAAGGTAAGGTGAGAGAAAGAGAGGGGCGAGGGGAGTGCGTCGGGTACGGCGCAAGAAATGCAAAATCTGCAATTTAAATTTTCATTAGCAAAGCAGCGAGGAAACTTTTTTCTCTCTCGCGACGACGAGCGACGGAGTGAGAGAGCGGATAAAAATTTCATCTCATCTCAGTGGAAAAAAACAGACGGAGAAATCACTTGAGCTGCTTTGAAAGAATCTCTTTTCCGTTTTATGCATTGCAACTCAAATGGAGGAAATTTCAATGGTACAAAAAAAAAGTTTCAACTTTTTTTGGGGTTTTTATCACAATGAAAATCTCACTGAAAACGCTGGCAATTCCTTCTTCAGTAAAGTATTTAAATACGTTAAAATTTGAAGGCATAAGTTTTCTCTATGAAATTATACCAAAATAATTTTGATTAAAACGCGAACTTTCATAAATATAACATTAGTGATACCGAGTGATACAACCGGCTTGACTTTGAAGCTTACCAGGTTGCATAATAATACATTTCCAGGCATTATCACGCCCACTAAATTAAAATTCCTAAAATCCCACAATGCACTGGTATAAATTATTACGTTTATTTGTCAAATATCATGTAAAAAAATCTCCATTGAAATTGATATAAATTTTAATTCATTCTTCTTCATGAGTGTTCTTGAAAAAGAAAATAGAGAAAAACTTTAAAATTGACCATATCAGCTTTCAATATGCTCACCGATATACTTTATTTGGAAAAAAAAATAAATAAATGTTCATTTGAAGGAGCTAATCATTACAACAATTCTCATTATTTGTGTAAGGGAAAAGGATAATTGTTAATAATATTTTCAATTTGTATTAGATCAATATTACAATTTCTTTTATACACTTCATAAAAAAATTGTTTATTAACTTTGATGCCAGACATTTTTCCACAGCTTCTCTCTTCAGGATTGAGTAAAAAGTAGCAATTCAAATTTGATGCTCCAAGCTGGTGGTGCGGCTGGTACGTCTTAATTGGGAAATTTGCATTCGCGGCCAATGAGCGGCAATACTTGTTGATTTGCAGCATCGGCGACGAGCAAGATCGGCCGGGCGAGTAAGTGACTGAGCAGGGAGGGTGCCGACCGCGCAAAGTCTATTTTTTACTGCGGTTGAGTCAGCAATTTTCTGATAAAATCACCCTCGCTCGTGCCGCTGCTCTTTCTCTCTGCTCAACTACTCGGCGTCGAAATTCCTCTGGAACAAAGTCTGCGGCGACGATAAAAGTGTGTTTGGCACTGCATCAAAACATCTAAAAGGGCCCATCAGCGATAAAACAAAGTGACAAGCCTTTCGCAGGCGCAGCGCAAAATCCTTTGAAATAATCGCGTTTGTCGAGATGCATTTGGAAACTTTGGTGCAAGGAGAACGCACAATTATTCAACACGCACGGCGCAAACCGACCCGCTAGTGATGCCTCTTAGCCAGAATAGATTTCACGAAAGAACGTGGGAATTTATTATGCCGCGACTGTGGAACAAGTTGCCTGCCCGCTTAAAAAACTTTAATTCAATTAATACGGCTAAAGAAAACATAAAATTATGGTATCAAACCTTAATTCCAGACTGAAAAAAATTTGCAGTTCCAGCACACACAAAAATTAACCCAAAATTAAATGAAAACCTTTTTATTTTTAATTTGCAGCACAAATAAAAATAAAAATAGACATAATTATTGAAACAAAAAATTATGCAGTAAATCCTTAACACCAAAAGATATCAAAATCTGACCTTCCCCTACCCCAACCAAATCCACATCCTTTCTTAATCTTTTTTCTCTCTTTTAGTTTTCAGCTTTGTTTGTCATCATCGCGTGGACCAAAATTAAGGATATGCCAGCAAAAAATGATGATTTTTTAAATAAAGTTGAACCCAAAAATAAAAATAAAAAAAAATTAATTGGGTGGTGCCTTCTGTACCACCAATAAAGGGCACAGGCCGACAAGACTTTGTCTTGGCCTGACCCTAAAAAAAAAAAAAAAAAAAAAAAAAAAATTAAAAAAAAAAAATTTAAAGAAAATGCCTCGAGCGGCCTGTTCATTACCAGGCCTCTATATTTCGCTCGTCTCGTTCCTTTGGTTTAATAGTTGAGTCACGGAACAGTTCAAAGGAATTGCTGGCCTGCTTTTACCTTGCCTGCCGAGCCCGCCCACTATGTATGTGTGAAGCTGCTGCCGGTGCCTTTTTTTGCGCGTCTCCCGCGCAACGTGTGTGTGTTGTTACTTTATTTTATTTGGATGATAACAAGGCGTCATTGGAAGAGAAGAAATCGTCGAAGCGTTTCCTTTCTTTCCTTTCCTTCGTCTTGGGGAAATGTGCAATTTATTTATTTCGCTCCTTTGCCTTTGCTTTGTGCTGCTTTTCCGACACCCCGTCTTATCTCTTTGAGAGATGCTTTTTGTAAAATTGCCCACTGAAAAATTACTCGTACGTGACGCTCATTTTTGTAATCCAAGCTGCAGCTGGCTACAGCGGCTACGCGCTGCCTTATTGCAGAGGTCTGTGGTCTGTTGCTTCTTTCTATTTCTCTTTTCAAGTTGTTTTTGGCATTGTTTTTGTTTGAAACGAGCGTGATTTGCAGGGATGTGAAAACAAAATAAGCACAATCCTGAAATCTGCAGCACAAGCGCTCAGCTGCGTGCCCATTTTTTTTTTAACTTTAAAATAGATGGGGGAATATTGATTTTGTCATAGACGTAACTATTTCGTGTTATCATATTGGAATAAATTTGAGCCATAAAATTATTCAATTATTCTTTACTTAATGAAAGTTCACATAAACATAATGATATCTTTGTTTAATCTTCAGATTTACATATTTCATTTAAGTAATAATGTACAAACTATAATAATAATTGTTGGAAATAAATTTTATAATTATATAATGATGATAAAAATTTATTAAATCAATGGATAAAACTATTAAAAACCATGATAATAATATTTTTAAATTTCAATTAAGTTATATTTGCTTTTAATTTTTAACACATTTTACTTACAGATTAATAGTTGAGAAATTTATAAAAAGTAATAATAATTTACTAAGCATTACAAACTATTCAATAATATGTTTATTACTTTTTGTTTCTGTATCAGAATTATTTATATGTTAGATTAATTGATGGAATGTGAGAAAAAGTATGGATTTTCTCCTTTATCGAGATAAAATAAGATTTACTGTAAAAAAAATAATTGCTGAAAAACAATATTTCAACTAAAACTTGCTCAACTTTTTTCATATCAAATAATTTAAATCACTAATATTATGATCAATGAAAGAGGTATTTTGTTCAGATTTTCATTGAAAATCAAGTTAATCAAATGAAAACAAATATATCATATATAATTCATACTCTCCATTCTTTGTAATTACCAATAAGCAAACAAAAGCCGCGAATAAATAAATAGGAAATATTTGCTCTACGCACCAATTAAAATCACACACGCCGCTGTAAAGCTTTATGAGTTTAAGAGGAGATTTGACGAAGCAGTGCACAGTGGAGAGAAACAAGCCGCGCACACACTCAATTGAAGACGCGAGGGCAAAACGATTGAATTTTATGTCCCGTGTCGCCGCCTGAGCAATTGGCGCCGTTTGAATATAACAGCGCCACTCAACACATGCACGGGCAGCAATTTTATAGCTGCTGGATATTGTGAGCGCCGTAAAATGTGTAGCGCAAAATACTAAACCGACACACACGCGCTCCCTTTTGATGCCTGGCTCTGAGATGAAATCATTTTGCTCTCTTAAAGTTGATACTCGTCTCGTCGGCCGCCTTCTTACCGGCGGGAGATGAATTTTGTTGCTGACAGCGCGGGTTGACTCTCTTTCATTCTCTCTCGCCGTCGACCTCGTGAGCAAACAAACCCTCATCCCCGGGATATTGGTCCATTCAGCAGCATCAAAATGCCGGGGATCAACCTCCTTTGGCACGTCGCACCTTTTGCTTTTACTCCCTTTTGCCTGCCAACACCTCCGCTGCCCTGAATGTGGGAGGCACGCTTTCATTTTTTCGGCTGATTTGCTTGCTTCAATTTAGAGAATAATTCATAAGACTAAAAAAAAAATGAAATATTTTATGTGTGAAAGTATAGACAGAGAGACAGAGAAGAACAATGACAATTCCAATAATTACTAAATCATATTTACTGGATGAAGGTGAGAAGATGGGAAGCTCTTACCCAAAATGCGAAGTAAATTTAACTCTATTATTACTCGATTTCAAGGATAAAACGTGTTCCATCCTATAAATTTATGTGTTTTGCCTGCTTTAAGAAATTGAAAAATAGAATTATCAAATTAAATTAAATATTCAATTGAATATTCTGTGGGCCCGCGGCACCTGCAATTTTTCCGAAAAAAATCCCAAAAGATAAATATTGCAAGCTCATTTAAGATAAAACCTCTTCATATTGTAGCTTGAAGTGGCGCGCCCCTCTTAGAAATTGAGTTCATTGTTGCGATTCATTTTTCTTATCTGCTTTGTTTGTTATCATACGTGACGCTACTTTTTAAAGCAATTTTAAACATTCTTTCTTGAGGGCACCTCTTTAAAGATAAAATAAAAATACAAAAATGTTGTAAAATAAAATTATTATTGTTTTCTTTTCATTTATGACGTCAGGTTATGATTAGTGTGAACAAAAGAGAGAACAAAAGATCCGCATTAAAAAATATCCAGTGATGATTTCTGAGCATTTTGTAATCTGCGACGTCAGATATGCAGTAAAAAAATTGATTAAAATTATATTGCTTAACATGTGACTGCTCTTTCTATACTATGACCCAAACAAAAACTCGCAATTGACAACAATAGTTAAATTAATCAGGATTCACACCAACACACAAAAGACACGTGATTTGTGAGACCGCGTGACCACAAAAAAAGCGGACCGGGATATTTTCGGAGATTGCGAAGCAACAAAGCTCGCGTAGCCAATCTTCATCGAGAACGACCCACATCTGAGACGCTCTTTTAGTCACCGCGCATAATTGTAAGTTTTCTTCCCTTTTTATCTCAAATTATAAAATCAAAAGCCATTGTATGCGATTAGTAATAAGTAAAATATTAAGCTTAATTAAATAATTAAGAGGGATATTAGTTTTATTTCTCTATATGACAAAAACTTTCAAAAAAGTGGAATTTTTTTATGTATTGGGCAGGTATTGGGCAGTCAAAAACAAATGCAAGCTCTCAGCAAAAACCATTTAATTGTTTGTTGTGTTTCAATTATTTATTTATGTTTAAATTATTAATGGAGCTTGGTATGATCATCGACTATCCAGATGAATAATAAAAAATAAAAAAATATCACTCTAAATTTGTATTCAAGTTGCAAAAAGTTTTATTAATCTTATTTTTTAATCAGATATTATTAAATGTTATCGCTTTGAATTTGAGATCGACTTATCTCAAGATGGGTAATGATTGCCTATTGATATATATATATATAATTTGCAATTTTCAACTAATACATACATGATTGAGGCCAGGAAGTATGGACACGGAAGAATTTAAGGACTTTGCCCAAAGCATGGCCGAATTCATCGGCAACTACCTAGACAACATTAGAGAAAGGTCGTAAAATTGTTTAAACTTTGGAAAAAGTAAATTTGGTTTTAAATTTCCCAAAAAATGTTTTTAAGTATTTTCTATTCATACTAATTTTGGTCATACTACTCTTACTAGGCGAGTTTTGCCAGAAGTAGAGCCAGGTTACCTACGGCCTCTTTTGCCAGAAACTGCTCCCGAGGACGGCGAGCGCTGGCAGGCACTGATGGGTGACCTGGAGAGGGTCATCATGCCCGGCGTGACCCACTGGCATCATCCCCAGTTCCACGGTTACTATCCAACTGCACAGAGCTACCCGGCAATTGTCGCTGACATGCTCTCAGGTGGCATCGCATGCATAGGGATCTCATGGGTAATTTGAAAATAAAATAAAAACATAAAATTATTGATCTTATTTTTTTTTTTTGCTGAAAATTGCATGGCTAAGAAAGAGGCGTTCTGTCAAAGCGCGCTTTGAAAAAAAAATATACATTAAAAGCAAACGGCAAATGAAACCAATAAGAAAGTCAATTCAATTTTTTTCGATGAATCTCAATTCAAATTTTTGAATGCAGAAGTGTATGTTTTGTTTTAAATAATATTATTATTACACCAACGAAATGATTTTCTGTATTGTATGCAGTTATGCACATAAAATACACAACACTTTTGCGTAAACTTAGCAATAAAACACACATTATTTTATGCTGAAAAAAATGAAGGTTGTAAAAAATTATTCTTAAGAAAATACAAAAAATTTTCCTAATAATTGAAATGAGATTAAATTAGATAAAAACCAAATTGTATTGATATTGAAAAATATTAAAAATAAAAAAATTTAAAATTTAAATTATTTTAATGTGCCAGATTACCAGTCCTGCTTGCACCGAATTGGAGATGGTCGTGCTGGACTGGCTGGGAAAAATGATTGACCTGCCTGTCGAATTCCTATCCTGTTCCAACGGCAAAGGTGGTGGCGTAATACAGAGCACTGCCTCAGAGTCAACCTTGATCGCTCTACTCAGTGCCAAAGCCAAGTACCTGAGCAGGGCCAAGGAACTTGAGCCAGATCAGCCTGAGGGAGTTCTTACCTCTAAACTCGTTGGATACTGCTCAGGCAAAATATATATATTTTTTAATGATTTGTGTGTTGCAACTTTTCAACTAAATAGTTGATCAATTAGTGATCTAAAAATAAGTGGTAGTTGAGATGTGAGAAAAATATAAGGCAAATTATTTGTAAGAAATATTTCAGATTTAGCTCATACATCGGTAAATCGAGCTGGACTCCTTGGGGGGATAAAGATGCGAGGTGTCGCCGCTGGGGACGATTACCGTTTGCGTGGTGAAGCCCTACGAAAGGCCATCAGGGAGGACAAAGAGGCTGGACGGATACCTTTCTTTGTAAGTGATTATAATTATAAAATTTTAGGTTAAAAAAAAAACAATAAAAAAATTCTGATTTATTTTTGATCATAAATTGTGCACAATTTTGTATAAATAAAAATTATAACTCTTATCAGGCTGTCGCCACTCTAGGCACAACTGTCAACTGCGCATTTGACGACTTGGATGAAATCGGCACCGTCTGCGTTGAGGAGGACCTGTGGTTGCACGTGGACGCCGCGTACGCTGGCGCTGCGTTTATCTGCCCAGAGTTTCGACATCTGATGCGTGGCATTGAAAAGGCCGACACATTCAACTTCAACCCGCACAAGTGGATGCTGGTTAACTTTGACTCCGCTGCAATGTGGTTTAAGGATGCCAGCTATATGATCAACACATATGGCAACGATCCTGTCTACCTCAAACACGAACATCAAGGCGTTCCAGATTACAGGGTTGAAATTTAATTTTTGTTAATTTAATTCACTGAAATATTTTAATTAGATGTAGAAATCTCAAAATAATATTTAATATTAAAAAATTAATCACAAATTCAACACAAAATTATTTTTTTTTTGATCATTTGAAAATTGCCAAAATTTTAATTTATACTTGAACAAATTTTAGCATTGGCAAATTCCATTTGGAAGGAGGTTTCGTTCTCTGAAGCTGTGGTTTGTGCTGCGCATTTACGGCGTCAAGGGTTTGCAGGCGCACATCCGCAAGCAGGTTGCTCTGGCCAAGCAGTTCGAAGGCCTCGTCCTACAAGATAACCGCTTTGAGCTTTTTTGCCCTGCTTCCATGGGACTCGTCTGCTTTAGACTAAAAGTAAAAGAAAGTGCATACCTTAATTTAAAAGAGTCGTTGAATTAAAAAAAAATCCTTTCAGGGAAGCAATGAAACGAATGAGCTTTTGCTGAAGAAGATCAACGCCAATGGAAAAATCTATATGGTTCCGTCCAAGATAAAGGAAACATACTTCTTGCGTATGGTCGTGTGTTCCAGGTTTTGCCAGCCCACAGACATGGAGCTTGCTTTTAACGAGGTCTCCTCTATAGCCAGTGAGCTCCAGTAGGAAGTGGAAATTTTAAGAAAATTGTTGTATTTTTAATGAAAAATTTCTTTTGCATTATCATTGAGCAAGTTTTTTATATTTGTAACAAATTCAGAGTGAATAATTACTAAAATAAGAACGCAAAACCCCACTTCTCATTCATCGTAAAATTTCCAGCCACAAAGCAAAATATCGTTATTTAAAATATCTAGGAAGATGAATGTTACTATGTTCGAATGCCCAGAAATAAATTTTTTCGAAGGTATTTATTAATCTCTCATTTACTCTAAAACAAAGATTAATTAATTGATTTTTGTAATGACTGACGCCCAATTATTCATAAATTTTAATTAAAATAAAATCAACTCTTTTTGTGTAGAAGAAATATCCACATTACTGTATTTCTGGTACGCGTTGAGACATGCCAAAAACGCCGTGAAACAACGTAACGAGCGATCGCCCACTGGTGCTAGAAAAATGTGGCCCCGCGGCTAATAAATCACGGGATCGGAGGAAATGAAAAGAAAAAGAGCGCATTTCAGTAGTTGTGTTGTTTTTGCTGAGCTCTTTGTCTCCATTCGTTTTTCTCGTGCTGCAGGAGAACAAAACAATAAATATCAATGCGGAGGTAAGTTTAAGGTTAATTGAATTTGCTGCTGCTGCTGGCGGGGTCCGATCCGAGATAAATCTTTCTTTGGGCGGAATCAGTTCAATCAATGACTGATATAGTGCCCGGCAAGGTCGGCCGCGCGCAGTCGGATCACGATCGGCTCGCTAAACAACGGAAAGGAGCTCCAATGTTGCTCCCCTATCCGGTCAGATAAGTTTGCTTTTTCATTAAAACTTGCAAACTGTTAACAATGACTCTGCCTGGCGGCTGATTGCTCAAGTCTATACGTGGAAAATCTCCTCCATTGTAAGATCAATTGCTCATAGTCAGTGTCAAATGTTATCCTCTGTTAGTATGATTGATACAAAGTGGAGAGAAAGGAAACACAAGGAAACATTGTTTGAGCCTGATTGAAAGGAAATATTGCAAAAATAAGCCGAGCTGAAAAATTTAATCCAGTATGTAATTAATTTGAATGTTTCTGCAAAAATAATACGAGTTCAAAAATGAGTTTCTTGCGCAAAATTTAAACTTACTATTAAAAATTTGTACGCATATTTATTATAACCATAAAAACCTTAAATTTAATTTTTCTAATGTTGGTTTGAAAATTTAGGGTTTTATGTTCCATTAAGGTATAGAGGTGAATTTAATTATTTGAAAAATTTTGATGCTTCTAGTTAAAAAGTTATTTTATTTAATAATCATAATCACCTATTTTTACATTTTATCCCCAGCCTGAAATTTCTGATTAAAGTCAGAAAGACACTTAAATTATTGTTTATTTTTCAATTTTATCCAATTGAATTTTATGTGTGAAATCATTTCTTCATATTTAAACAATTTTAGTTTTGCAACAATGAAGTTTGCATGGATTTTAAATGTAGATAAAGAATCAAACTGTAAAAGATTATTAGAGTAAAGATAGAAATTGTTGGAGGAACACTCTTGGAACTTATGAAGAGAGTCAAGTAGATTCAGATAGTGTTATAAGTGCACGGTGGCAGCTTCCACGATAATTATTATTACAAACAGAGCAATGCACGGCACCGTGTACGTTGGGCCAAATCACAAGTAGGCGCCACGATTATAACAACCATCAAGGCGGCTAATCGCATTGCCATGCAAATATGCTTCTCGCCGAGTTGGATACCCGTGGGAATCGGCGCCGTGAGCCCATTAGTGCACCGAGTGCATTAAACACGGCGTCAACTCGTGCGCCTGCTCTGGCTCTTTTCTCGGTGGATACAGAAGAGCGAACAAAAGTATTATATGATTGTACGTGTTGCTTCTTTACTTTTATTACCTTTGGTGCGCGATGCACTTTTATTCCTCTGGCGATCACAACTTCGCTACTAATAATAGCGACCTCTCTGCTTTATAAAGTCTGCTCTGACTGCTAATTACTCTGGGCTGTAATTTAATGAGCAGTGTATTTCCGACTTGCACCGGAGTAGATTGAGAAAAGCCTCGCCCTCAGGGGGGTTTGATGGCGTTAAGACCGAGTTAAGAATGGAGTGGCTGCACAACCTTTTTCTCGCCAAAGGACTTTTGAAATTTATTATCGAGTTAAACCGAGCTTCATTTAATATTTTCAGTTATAACTTTTCAGGTAGATTTTTTTGCCATTTAACGATAATTGTATAAACAGAAAAAAAACTAAATATGAGTTACTTTCAATAGAATAGGACGGATTAAAAAAAGTGATTTTAGGGGGAAAAAATCAAAATAAGTCAAAATGCCATTTATTGAACTATTTTCAGGTACTTCATGTACAGGTGAAATTTATTATAGCAGATAGGTGATATTTTTTTGAAAATTTAAGTTGCCTCTGGGGAAATTAATTTATAAGTTAAGTGAAGAAAAATAGCACACTTGAATGATTTCTAAAACTAAATTTTGGCATAAACAAAAGTTATGCACTTCTTTTGAACATCTTTAAAATCACTTACAAATAAATCTTTTAAATTTTATCAGTTTTAAGGTTATAATTATTATATTAAATTATTATTGTTTGTTCTCCACAAGTGTTGTTTTAAATTACAGTAGTAATTTATCAGTAAACGCGTTTCTGTTTTAATTGGACTAATCAAGCAACCCAGTTTAACGGTGAAAATCATGATGAGAGCATCGTTGCGAAATGATTCCGTTTTATTTGTCTACAGCCAAAAATAATTCGAGTCTGTGACTCTTCCTTCCTCATTTGGCGCCATTAAATCCGCCAAACTGTGCTGCTCATCCCTGCACGCCATTGAGACATGCTTAATTGTCGCTCAGCGAGACAATTAAGAGTTGCCAACAGCACTCTCTCGCCCTCTAATCACCCCTTCACGGGCGGCAGTCACTCTTCATTCCGCGCCGAGATTTCAAGTGTCCGCCTCGGCAACTCTTGAGTAGAGCATCTTCAGCTCCTTCGGGAAGGAACAGCTCCAGATTTGTCCGGGCGTATTTGTTTTGATTGGCTCCCTCACCTTGTTTCGCTTGTTATGCGGGTCACAGATACACCGAGCCGTCTGGTTCAATGCATTTCCTATGAGCGCCAACGACGTCATTTCCAATGCATTGATATTTTTGAATCTTTATTGGATGGGGGCGGATGAGAGCCACCTGAGGCTTTCCTATGTTTCTTAAATTGATCCGGCAATAAGCGTGGCTTTTGAATCAGATTTTCGCGATATGGCGATTTGGTAGAATTGGATGATTCGTGAGCCAAATACGTTTACTTTTTAACATGAGAATAATATGAGCTTGTTGTTGTCGGATAGACAAAATAACATTTCTACCCCTTTATATGAAATGAATGTTTAATTATGTGGGCGGTGGGCGCTGTTGAAGGCACACATGCCAATAAAAATAAGAATCTAGTCAAAGGTTGCTCAAAATTCACACATTTTATTATTATTATTAAGAATTGATGCTCTATTAAGATAATTTACATTTCTTGTGATTAGGCGAAAAAAGTTTTTAAATGTAATGAGCTCTCATTCCTTAATTTGCTCTTCCATATTTCCAAATTTAAATTGTTTTAAATTTAAGTAATTTAAATTTAATTAAAATAAAGCAATTAAAGATAAAAATCGATGCTTAAAGCTTATTGAAAATTAACAATTTACTGCTTAAGAAATAATTAATTATTATTATTATGTCGCGTTGATTGATCACTTGCTCACTCACTCAGCCTTAACGTAGAACTCGTCTTTCTCTGTCCAACTTTTCCCCTTTTCAGTGCTCTCTGGGATTGGCAACACCTTTTTTGAGCATGGAGAGTGGTGTTGCAGCAAACAAGTTGGCACAAGTACCTTGATTAAAAGCACTGGGAGCATGTAGCAGCCAGTGTAAAGGGATTAGATCTCAATTGTCAATTGCTCGTTTGCTGCCATTTGGAGTGGCGCCAGATGAAAATCCATGCACTCGTCCTGCGGCCGTCGAGAGCTGAGAGAAAGAGCGCATGGGGAGAAAAACCCATCGTCACTAAAAAGTGTCTCTTTCTTTCTCCATCACGGGAGGGAGAACAGACCCTCGCTGATTAAAATCTTTCACGCCAAAGTCGCGCGAGAGCATCTTGAAGACGTTTAGAAAAAAGATTTTGGGGATCTCGTCTCGAATGAAGTGGGACAAAATTTTCACTTTGCACTTAAAGCGTTTGTTTGAATAAAAAGTGCAAAAATTTCCTTTCACCCCTAAATTGTATCATAACAAAAACTTTGCAGACTGAATGGAATGCTAACAATAAAAGTGTTCTGCGGGTGTGAGATAGAACAAAATACTGCCATGTGCATTTTTCTTATCACCTACTATTAGAATGCCAAGACGCTATTTAAAAAGAGCCATAGAACGGAATTGTGTCGAGCAAACTCAACGGAGTGTACGCTTTTCTGTTGTGTGTTCGTGGTAAAAAGAAAAGAAAAATGAAACATTAAACCTGCACACAGCAGCACTCGCAACACACGACTCCTTTTTCATTTGTAGTTTATCAGCAATGACAGAAAGCACTCAAGTTTCTGCTTAGTATGAGAGAAGATGGAAAAAAGGTAAATGCATGCACTCTATCAGGCCGAGCCGCTCATATTTGCTTCAACAACGTTGTTATTCGCATAACAGAAATTTAATCTCTTGCTCTAAGTGCACCATTGAAAAATGCTAGAATATCCTGATGAGTTATTAGACAAATGGAAAATAAATAATAATGTATTTTCCATCATACAGAAGAATGCAATCCAGATTGATATTGTTTAAAAAAACTGCGTATGAAGAGGGTCTTGAAACATAATTATATTAAATGATATTTTAAACTTAAATTTTAATCAAATTTTTTTTTATTTTAAATAAATAAGAGGATTTAGAATTCAAATAATTTTTGGCTTGAAAACCACCTCCTCTCTGTTTTTTTCGCTAAAAAAATTATTCGCTGTGTTTTATGAACAGTGGTTACAAAATGATTGAATCATTAAATCTCGCTAACGCGCTTAAATTGTCATTGCACATCGCCGAAGGGATGAAATACATTTGCACGTCGCCGCGGCATTTACACAGTCTATTGAATGTTGTTTTTATCTGGTTCACATTGTCTGCGCGTTCACCACTCGCATGCACACAAGGGTGGCGCCACCGGCTTTTTTATGGAGTCGTTGTCGCTGACAATATTGACT